GACCCGCTGACATTCTCATACCAGACCGTGTTCATATTTCTTGCCAATGTTGTTGTTTGTTGCGGGATGAGAAAATGCGAGGTGCTATTCACTTGGCGGCGACGCGTCGACCGGACCGCGCTAATGCCAGCACACCGTCAGCACTGGCTGCAGGCCGCTGCAGGCCGCGGCCAGCCTAGAGGTGTCATCGCCGTCCTGATTGATTCCCCCGCGAGGTGATCTGCAATGTCACCTTGCTGGCGGCCGCAGGCGGCTCGCCGGACTGCTGTTGTCACCGCGCCGGACCATATTTCAAGCTTCTTTACGGCGGCTCGGTGCGGCACCCGCGGCGCGGCGGTGCGCTTCGCTCGGCTCCGCTGCTCCCCACCTCGCGCCTCCCCGGCCAGGCCAGGCCAGGCCAGGCCTGCACAAAGTGTCCTTGGTTATTACTTTTCAGATAAAAATGCCGGTTTGCCGGGACGTGAGTTGACATACAGACGGAGACCTCCAGCGAAGCCAAGAGCAGCGCGGCCGCCGTTCGCCGAGCCGCTCTTCGCCGCGTGCTGCTCGCACTGCCGCACTGCCGTCGACCCCGCGGCCCCGGGACCCCGCGGCCCCGCCCCGAGCGGCACGCCGGGCGCCACGACGGGGGGAGCTCGCTTTAGTGTCACTCTCTCTCGCTGTCGGGCCCGACGGGCCGCGCGTCAACACCGCCACGCCCTCGTCGAATCCGTGCGAAACCCCCGCCCGGCCGATCGCGTGGCCTGGAATCTGAATTACCTTTAACCTTTACGAGCGCGTCCCGCCGCGCCCCGCCGCGCCACGCTCACCTGCCGAGCATTTAGACGTTGTTGCGCCGCTTTATTACGGGCCTGACACTGCCAATAACGCGCCGCGGCTGATGGCCGCCGGGTGAATAACGAGTCGGGGGGAGGGGGCGGGGGGGGGCGCTCTAGTTGATTTTCGAAGCCGGGCCAGCCTAATGAATTCTCGTCAATCCTCTCCAGGCGGCCGAGGGCAGGGCCGAGGCCGTTGGAAGTGCGTGGTGTGAGTGCGACGTCATCGCCGTGCAGGCGTGCGGCGATGCGGCGATGCGGGGAGCCGGGGTGGTCGCTGCCGACAATGCCATCACCGCCGAGGAGGCGAAGCAGCGAAGCAGGCCACGCCGCCACCCTCGGTGCCCCCCGCGGACCGCCCCGGCCGAGGCCCCGGCCGTCCCCGCGGAGAGGAGGGCAAACATCGCGGACAGCACCGCTGCGGCTGACGGAGCACCGCCCGGCGGGGCGCCCTCGTCCACATTTCTGGCCGTGCAATCCTAAGCCAAGCCGGGCAGGGCCGCGTCGGCCGAGTCGGCCCGGCTAAGCCGAGTGAGTAATGCACGCGCTGACGGATGGCCGCCATTTCTCTCTATCTAAGTTGTGTTTCATTGGACGTTATTCCAGACCCGGTTACCTGATTGTCTCACCTGCCTGCCTGCCTGGCCTCCGCGCCTCGCCTCGCCCGGGGCGTCGGCCAAAGTAACAAACGCGTACTTTGTCCCTGGAAGTGGCAGCCAGAAGGCTTTCGAAATTATTTAACGACGGCCCGCCGGTCGGATGGAACGGGCGTCAGCTCCTCGCCTTGACATCGAAAGCCGCGACCAAAACGTTCCATTTTTTCAGATTTTCGCCGCGCAGTTCGCTGCGACTTGGGGGATATTCATGCAGCGCCGCAGCCTTGGCCTCAGACGAGGCCTGAGTCTCAGACGTGTCGCTGCTCAGAAGGATGTACGAGCAGGCAGACGGAGGCAGTCCCATGCGTGGCAGCGTGGCGACGACAATCGGACGCCAGCAATTGAAATACAGTACAAATTGCATTCTTGTGGTGCCCCCGTAAAACGACCCGTCGCGTCCGCCCCGCCCCGTCGCCGCCGCAGCCACCGCTTCCTCCGTGTTTGACAAGGCATTCACGATTCCGCAAAATGGGGACTCGACTTCCCCCTCCGCCTGCCTCCTCCCCGCCCTGCAGCCGCCGTCTTCCTGTGTGTTCGGGACACGAGAAAAGGTCCTCGAACCACTTCTGTTTCCCCTACTAATGCTGCGCCGCAGTTGATGTGTCTGTTCGGTTGGCGGCCGTGCTTTTCGGTGTTTTGGCGGCACGACGCGGGGCGGGGTGCGGGGCCGCGGGTTGGGGCGGCCCCCGCAGGCTCCACCAGGGCCCCACAGGGACGAAGGGAAAAATGGTGCCACCGTATTCCGAAATAATTGACGGTTCCAAGTCGGCCCCAGGCAGGGCCAGGCAGGGCCAGGCAGGGCCTGGTGGGCCCGGGCCACGCCGCGCCACGCCGGGCCAGGGGCACGCAGCGGGCGGAGGCAAGGCAGGCGCCGCGCGGGAAAAAGGTAAACAGATTCAAATCACGACATCGGCTTCTCGGATGAAGAGGAGAAGAGGAAAAAAACGAAGATTACTGTTTCCCGTGATAATACGTTTAACCGAAATGAGAATACACAGCGGCAGTCTCGAAAACCACTAAGTGAAGTCAGGTTGACTTTTTCTCCGTGTCTCTCGGTGCGGCGGCGGCGCCCGCCTCACGAATTTCACCTTCGGCGTCGTCAGGGGTGTGGCCGCCATCCCAGCCCAGCCAGCCCAGCCCCGCGCCTTGACAAAAGGAGCAAATGTCTCAGCCGGGATGCAATCAACGCCAGCACTGGCTTGTCTTTCCGTGCGAGCCGGGGCGGCGGGGCGGCGGGACGGCGGAGCGGGGAGTATCGGTCCGATGTCGCCTCCGTCACGTTCGTCCTGGCAGATGGAGCGCGGTCGCTTCGTGACAGACGCGGGCGACGCGCGCCCCCGCCGCCCCGCCACGCCCCTGTTCCGAGTGCTTTTTGCAATTAATGCAATCTAACCTTGACAATTAACAGTCTGCACGCAACTCCATTTCGCGCTCGCCGCGCAAACACCGTTTGTTTTTTATATGCGGAATGACACCGGCGTCATCAAGTAGTGTGGCAAAGTGGCGCTGCATGCAGTGCACTTGGCTCTGCTCGACTGGACCACTCCGGGCCCGGCTGCGCCTGGCTGCCACGCGGCCGCCGCGGAAACCCCGCGGATTCCGCTTTCTGGGTGCATCTAGGAGGATCCGTCTGGGGACTCGGTTCGATCCCCGACGGAGGAGCCCCCGCTGCACACGGATGGAGTCGTTTGCGGTCGCCCGCTGGACCAAAAGCCCCTGATTACCAGTGCTGGCGCTGCCTGGCGCTGCCTGGCGCTTGGCGGGCTGTCTCCGGACCGCCGACTCGGACGCGGCCGTGGCGCCTGACGCTGCCTGACGCGGTTTGCAGCGCGGGGCCGTCTGCAAGCGATGAGTGCCCCGCAGGGTTCGTGTCCTTGGCGAAGCAGCGGACACCCGTGTCCAGGACGGGGCGAAATTCGACCAGTTTTCCACTTGTTTGGGTGCAGTATTGACTCAAAGTTGATGAAAACAGTAAAAAAATGCCTTTGAAAAATCGTGTTTTGGGCCGACTTTAAGCAGCCACTGCGTCTGATCCGAGGCGGGCCTTCGTTTTTTCTCAACGGGCATTTGGTCTTTGGACCTTCCTTTAGGATACCTTTGTTACGGAGTGCGATTATGCGCCTTAGCTTGGGAGCAGTATTGTCTCAAAGTTGATCAAAACGGTCAAAAATGCCTTTAAAGTCGGTTTTGATCAACTTTGGGGCGCGCTCGCTTGGAGCACGCACTGTGCGCACGCACTTTTAAAAAGAGCAGTAAAGTATCGAGTTACCCATCGGCAAAAAATACGTATCGGTACAGTATCGCGAAAATTTCGTTAGTGTCGGCAAAGTGCCTCGACACCAATTTCAAAGTAACTTGCCCATGCCTGGTGCCAAGGCACCACGGGGACAGGCTCGACAGGCCGACGGTGCATTTGGCTTTTGGCTTTCGGCTTTGCCACTCATTGAACGCAGCGCTCTCACGGACCAGCGCTTCCAGGAAGCCGGCGTGTCGCCACTAGTAGTCGCCACGCCACTGCACGGCGTGGCACGGCGTGCACCCAGTCCGCGCCAGACGCACCATCCGGGCCGCATTTAAAATACCTGGAATAATTAATGGTGGAGTCGCGTAGGGGGAGTGCGAACGCGAGTAGGGAGGGAGGGGGCGGGGGGTCTGGCGGTGTCCAAGATTTATAGCGAGCGAGCGCGGAGGGTAGTGAGGCGAAGGCAGTACGGGCGACGCCGTCCTGGGAGACGTTGTGAGTGTGGATACTATTTTGTGGAAATGGTCTGGCGGTGCGGCCGGAGCCGGGTGCTCTCTGCTGGCGGATGACCCACGTCGCTGCGGACCACACCGCACCGCTCTCTATGTCTCTGCCAGCGCCACCAGGCCAGGACCAGGCTGCAGTGCGGGTGGATCCGCGGGGAGGGCGTTTTGAAAGCGCCGCCAAACGCGACGCTAACAGGCACGACGGATGCCAGCCACGGCGGTGGCGGACTTTGAACCGGCGTTTAAGCATAGGCTGCTGGTCCCAAACACTGCTGGGGGGAGAAGACACAAGTAGAGCACTCATCTCCTTAAATCTTTGCTGCCGACGTGCGTTCAAATCTCCAACAACGGGCAGCGTCCCCGAGCGCTGTTCCCGAGCACGACGCCTCGTTCCGTGAGTTGAAGGCTTGCCAGGACCCAAAACAATGTGTTGGTTTATGGTTGAACTAACACAGCGGCCTGGCCTGGCGGTAGGGCACCACAGTGGCCTGCTCGCGTTTTCGCCCTCTGCCCAGTGTGCAGAATCGCGGGCCGCGGGCGTCGCGGCGAGGCGTCCGCTGAATGAGCCTGGCGGCGTGGCGCGGCGTGGCGCGGCGCGGCGCGGCGCCGGTACCCGGTGGAGGGGCGCCTGCCTCGCCTCTTCGCCTCTGCCTCGCCTCTGCCTCGCCGCCAGGTGGAGGGGGCGTAAAGGTTACGCGGTAGTAGGGGGTGGCCCCGCCGGCCCCGCCGCCCCGCCTGGCAAGGTGCATCGCGGCCCGCTCATTTCACCGGTCGTCGCCGATCGCAGCGCGCGTGCCCCTCCGCGCCGTGTGTGTTTGTGTGTGTGTCTTGGTGTGAGTGCGCCAGTGCGCGCACGTGGAGCGGTGTGCGCCAGCGTGTGCCGCCGTGCGGCGACGCCGTTTGTGACAAAGTGCAGAGGATTATATCGCAGTGTGGCAAAGTGATTGTGACCAAGTGACAGTGAGTGCGACATGGCGGAGACCTAGCCGGCGAGCCTCCCCTGCTGCCACACGGAATACGACTCGGTGACGCGGCGACGCCGCGGCCCCCTGCAAGGTACGGCGCCGTCCTCGCTTCCTCGCCGACGACGTCGGCGCCTTTTTACGCGCGTTTTTTGCCGCCGGTGCATCTTAAGGCGCAGGAAGGAAGGGCAGGGGGTGACTGTCCTGTTTATCGGCATTGACTGACTCCATAAGCATGTCTTTTGCCGAGTGCGGGGCGCTGCAGGGCGGGGTGGGCTGGCGCGGGGCGGGGCGGGGCGGGGCGGGGCGGGGCGGGGCGGGGCCCGAGGCGTCCGGGACATTCAAAATGCAGCGGCAGAGCGCCTTGCAAATGAGCGGCCTGACCTTTCATTCTACATGATGCTGCTGCAGTCAACATTATTATTTTTGCAGGGCGGACGCGACTATCGTCCGCGGAGTTCGAAGATTCCGCTGCTTCCAACTTCATTTTGTGGGGTGCATGTGGGGACTAACGGCCTCTCTCCTTGACGAGTTTCGTCCGAGTCGCACCCCACATGCCCGCTGTCACATGCCTCGCGGTGTATCGCGAGGGTGTTTACTTGCAGAGGCGCCGTCTGATTCGGAGGTCCGCTGCCTGCGTGCTGCCAAAGTCGAACGCCCCCTGCTTGGCTTGCTTCGTTTGCTTCACTTGCCTCGGAAACGGACGACGGCGCGACCGTGAACACCGAGTTATGACGCCCCACACTTCGTGCCGTACGCGAGATCATCTCCAATGTTGCAGATCTCTTTCGCAACTTCTCAAAGTAGCCGTCCTGTCGGGCGAGTTGAGACTGACCCGTGCTTTCCCCCCCCCCTTCCCTTTCCCCTCCCCCTTTTCCCCCTTTCGACTGTAAGGGCGGCCATATAACACGAGCAAGAAACCGACATTTCTCGTTTGAGCCGTGAGAATTAATAGCCGAGCCGCCCTCTTTTTTCTCGAAACGAAAATAAATTGGAAGACTTGATGGTCTTTTGGGGGAATTACCGGACAAGTGTTCCCCGACGCGGCAGCAGTGGCAGTGTGGTGGCAGTACAGCCCGACCGACTAAAAACCATCCGGCTACTTGTTTATGGTACAAATGTGTTCCGCAGAGCAAGGAAGCAAAACATTCTCATCAGCAGCCAGCGAATATAAAATACGCGTCCTTTTGATTGCGCAATTAATTTCGTTCGAACCCGGATTTAATTTATCGGTCGTCGTTTCAGTGATTGCTAAAGATAAAGATTGCTTTCTCGAAAGCACCGCGCTGCCAGCTCTTTTTTTCCGCGCCCGTCAAATCGCAAGTCTGAAAAGATGCGCAAACCGCGCGTCGGGGAAGCCACGCCGAGGACACGTGTGAGGAAAGTGCGATGGGATTACGATCCCCCGAGGCCCTGGGGGCCTGGGGGCCCGGGGGCCGAGGGGAGGGGGGGCGCAGTCACTTGTTTCCCATCGCCTCGTTTCGCGGCAAACTCAATAATAAATACGGTAGCCGCGCACTTGGAGCACTCCGCGCCGCTTCGCCGCTTTCGCTGCAAAACGAGCACAAGTTTGGCCGTGTTTTACGGTGGCTGTTAATTGAGGCCCGCGGGGCGGACGGCCGCGACGTCGCCGCGCTTTGACGCGCCAATCTGTATTCGCGAAAACGATTCACTTTTTCAGGCGGCGGCGGTGTTCGATAATTTACAGCTCGGGGTTGAAATCGACGGCGGGCACGACACGCCACGCTGCTACCGGGCTTGGGGGGCTTCGGCTGCGAGCGCTCCGAGGCGGCGGTCTGAGGCGGTGCGGAACGGAGCGGAGTCCCATGAGCACCTCATGGCCAGACTTGTGCGACCGTACTTTGGTCATTTTTCGACAGCCCCAGTAGCCAATATTCTGCACGATCCTAGACAGGATTTATCGAAAGCGACGTACGCGAGATTTTTGACAGCAAACGGATTTCCCATCAGGTAAATCGACTTCCAGCTTGGTTTGAAAGACTGGGGTCAGAAGACTGACCGAAGCTGTACTTTCTACATTCTCGGTGCTCGTCTAGCAGTGCAGCGACTCGGTGGGGCGGCCGGTGCATGTGACAGTCTTATGAAAGCACTTCGCAACGCTTTAGATGTTCCACCCCGGTGGTTGGCAGATGGCCGCGTTGACGGCCACGTTGACGGACGCGTTGACGGCCACGTTGACGGACGCGTTGACGGCCACGTTGACGGCCACGTTGACGGCCACGTCGCCGAGCCACGCTTGCTGAAATCGGCCCTCCACTCCGTCCTCTGCCCCGGTCGGTGACTGGTAGAGGCCCGCGCTTTGACATGCACGTCGACCGCCATGTCGCCCAGCCATACACCCCACAAGCGCCAAAGATCGGCCTGGCCTTGGCTCTCCTCCCCGGAGCCCGACCCAGATCGACCTTGCGCCTCGAAAACTGTGTGTATATTGCGGGGCGGGTGGGGCTGGGCGGCACGAAGCAGTGTCGTGAGGCGCGGTGTGAGAAAGTCCTCCAGAGCGCCTTGCTCAACGCGCGCGTGTGCACAGGGCTAATTAATGGAGGGCCCCGACCGATTCGGCAGGCGCGGCAGGGCTGGCAGGGATAGCAGGGCTCCATACCAAGGATGGACGCAAGCGAATGCCCTGGACGGTGGGCAATGCATGGGTCCTGTTTGCGTGGACATGATTTTGTATACACGATCTGAGCTCTATGTGAGCTCTAGATTCCTTAGAAAGACCTCGACGAGCTTGTCTCAACTATTTCCAACTCACGACAGCAACAGCCAAATTCAAGTGTCCCCGTCCCTTGAAGAAAATGCCCTTGACCCGAAGAAATGCTTTTGGCCGGCGCTACCGGGAGAAATGCTCTTGGCCGGAAGAAATGCTCTTGGCACCAGGCCGCGACCCCAAAATATTTTTCTGCCACTCTAAATGGCGTTGCGGTCCCAAGGCTCGCCCAAGAACCATAGAGCTCGAAATAGGTCCGTTCGTCCCACTGCGCGACACGGGTGACCATGGTGACGCCGGACTGCACCGCGCAGCACCGCCCAGCACGCATTGTGTCATCGCTGCTCGATGGCGCGCAAAGCCATCCGCGCGCACGCCAACCTCCTCGTCACGCGCGACGCTCGCACGCACGGCGCGTTGCGCGAGCCGAAGGCATGGCCGGCAGGCGGGCCCTGCTGCCCAGTAGTCCCGATTACACTAATGTGCCAACCACCGCCGCCGCGAAGGAAAAGACGACAAAGACTCTGTGTGTTTTGGCAACACGGTCGGCGGGTAATTGCCGGTAATGGGTCTCACGCAGGCAGACGCAGGCAGACGGGTGGGCAGGTGTTTACCGGGCAGTGCATGCGTAGCGTGCGTCAGATGGCGCGCGTTGATCGCTTAATTAGTGTCTATCGCCTCCGCGGGCTGCGCGCTGCCCGTGGCGCGGAGCGGTGGCGGTACGGCACTGTCGGCGTGGCACCTTGGTGGCACTGCGTGGAACTGCGTGGAACTCTAGGTGGAACTTCACCGAGACCGCGCTCGCCACCCTCCGCGTCCGGCTGGGTGGGCTATCGCCGAACCACGCGGCAAAGAGTCTTTTCAGTTTCCAACTAAAGGCGCCCAGCAAGAAAAAGGACCACATCAAAACCATTTTACACGCGCTAAAATTGAGAGTGGGAACCATTTTTGAGCACTCACAGCAGGAAAATGAATAAGTTGTGGTCATTCCACTTTAAGATCTAGAAGCAGTGCGAGCGGCCTCTTTGCGTGCCGAGGCACGCATTCTGCTTGTTTTCCGCGGCGTGGTGGCGGTGGTGACGGTCCGGCGGTTTGGCGGCGGTCGGTGCGTTTGAAGCAGTTCGGCGCTAACGAGGTGACTTGTCCGGCCGGCCTAAGCCCCGGGCCCCCCGGGCGAGCCGCCCCTTTCACCAACGCAATCCATTCCAGGGCGCCCTGGCGCCCTTAGCAACCCAGCGGGCCAACCCCTCGGCCTGGCTGGGCCCCGCGGTGCCCGGAAACCCGATGCACAGGGTGCGACTTTGAGGGCGAGTCAGTTTCTCCGCCACGGCACGGCGTGGCGCAGTCAGGGTGCACCCCGCCATGGCAGGTGGCCGCTTGCGACCGCGCGGAAGACCTCCCAGTAAAATCTAAGCTCTAGAGAGAGAGGGGGGGGGCGATAAGCATCACGAAACACCCCATTGGCAAGATTTATGGCGCGCGGAAGTGGCATTCCTAACGCGATAATATGAAGCGCGAGGACCTCCGGGGTTGTCGCCCAACACTGCCGACTGCTGGCGACGCGCCGTGTGTGTGTGAGTGTGTGTGTGAGAGAGAGACAGTGTGTACGTCTCATGGATAGCGCACCTTCCTGTGTGCGTGCGATAGCTTTCATTAGCCGCGTGGTGAAATTGGTTAGCGGAATTAGGCCCCTTGGGCGATTCCGTCTGTCTGCAGCATCCGCAGCATCCGCAGCATTCGGTGCCCATTCGGCAGTCGGCAGCGCACCGCCACCGGCGGCCCGCTAGCCTCCGCGACGACGTCTAGGTCCAGCGCGTGTGATTCTGGCATCCTGGTCGGGGCCGCCAACCAAACCGCTGGGAGGTTGGCAGTCACGGCATCTGACATATAATTCCACAAGCGGGGCTCACAAGGTGGACCCCGTAGAGGTTTTTTTCGCCTTTTGGAGAACTTTTTTCTGCAGTTCACCCATCTTGAAATGGCGAGACTGTGTGTGTCTGTCGGTGTCCGAGGTCTGCACGCCACGGCGGCGCACTGGTGCATCAAGCACGATCAAGCAGCCGGGCAGACAAACTAGGAGGCGTCGCTGACAGGCCGGGCCCACAGGCCGGGCCCGCGCGGCCCCGCGGTGCGCGAGTGCCCGTCGACCAGACCCGTCCCGTCGTGGAGGGGAGGCGATGAGGCGTGTCCGCGTGGTGCGCCCGGCCGCCACCAGAGCGCAGCACTCGCCGCGTCCCCCCGCCAATATGCTGTATTCCGAACGGCACTCGCCCAATCTGCCCGACACCGAGCAACCGAGCCGCCGACGACGCCGCGGTGGCGGTGCCCCAAGGTTCGCCACAGGGGCTTCCCGGCTTCCCTGTCGCAGTCAGGAAGCAGGAAGAGCTTGAGCGCTTGAGCCACCCGTGACGTTCGCATAAAACTGCATCTCGCTCTGCTCCTCAAGCCACACGTCGTCTTCTTCTTCTCCTTCTTCTTCTTCTTCTTCTTCTTCGTCGTCGTCGTCGTCGTCGTCGTCGCCGTCGCCGCCGTCGCCTTCGACTTGCAATAGCGGGCCGCACTGTCGCTGTGCCGCAGAGCAATCTTCATTTTTCAAGTGAATCGGCTAAAAAGGCCCGCGCCGTGCCGCCGTGGCGCCGTGGCCTTTCTGGACGCGGTTCGTTATGTCTTCCACGGCACCGCCTGCCATCGCCCCATTCGGTGAAAACTGGCGGTAGTTTTTTCCTCGGCGTTGTCGCCGCCGTGGCTTGGCTAGCGCCGCGCCTTCGTCTTTTAGGGGGATGATTTGGAGGAAACAACCGTGCTGGACGGCCGGTGCAATTTTTCGGTCCAGTCGCCATAGGAGGCAGGAAAGGAAACGAAAAAGAAAAGATGGCGCCATCCGGAATTCTGGAATATCAGGGTTCAAGGAAGGCCGTGGTCTCCCGACGACCCGCCACCATCGGCGGTACCGCGGCAGCGCCAAATTTTTCCACGCCGATACAAGAAGAGAGCAGTCGCGATGCTTTTGCCGCGGAGTGTACTACTCCGCTTGTTTGTGGCCAGTCTGGTTTGCACACGTAGCCAATGGCACGCCAGCTCGCGCTAGTTGGGCCGTCGGCGCCGGCGGCCAATCACAGTGATTCGCTCGCCTGCATGTTCAGGTACTTACCTCAAACTCGCGCCGCGCTGCGCGCACGCCCCCACGACACATGCTTCGGCCTGGCCCGCTGGGCGGCTGGGCGGCTGGGCCGCTGGGCCGCCGTCTAGTCGGCCGTGCCGCTCGCTGTGTGAATATCAAGCCGGCGTGAACCGTTTCCTCATCAGGACGTGGATTTCCTCGTAATGGCACCCGGTACCCTGGGTACTCCGGGTACCCTGGGCGCGTGTACCCGGTCGTGCACCGCCTGCCCAGTCATTACGGCGCCCGATGCGATGAGTAGACACAGCCAGCAAAAGCCAGCCAGCCTAGACTGGTGCGGCTCACCGCACTGCACAGCTCTCGGATCTCAGCTGTGTGAGTGGGTGTGTGGGTGGGTAGTAGTGAGCCGTACACTGCTTCGCCTTCCGCGTTGGCACTGTAGCGTCTGACCGCGTGACAACCAGACCTGTGGAGAGGCAGTCGGGATACCTGTTTAGGCGGACTCTGCTCTGGGAACATTAGCTCCAAAATCGTTTGGCAATGGGACTTGAACTAAGCACATGCTGGCACCAATAATGTCTCTCCGAACGAATACAATGATACTATCCTGTGTTTGACTAGAACCCTTGAGTGAATGGAGTGCGATGTGAGGTGCCCGATTGACTTGAAACAGCCCGCTAGGCCAGCGGTTCCCGACCTTGGGGTCGCGGCGAGGTGGTTGGGGTCGCCTGGGGTCGCGGCTGTTTCCCGGCTGGCAGAATTGTTCAAATCGGTCGAAAATGCCTTTGAAAACTCGTGTTTTAGGCCGACTTTAAGCAGCGACTGCGTCTGATCCGAGGCGGTATTTCGTCCTCCCTCAGCGGGCATTTGGTCTTTGGACCTTCCTTTAGTATGCCTTTGTTACGGAGTGCGATTATCGGCCTTAGTTTGGGAGCAGTATTGTCTCAAAGTTGATGAAAACAGTATAAAATGCCTTTGAATGCCATTTTGATCCATTTTGAGACAATACTGCTCCCAAACTAAGGCCGATAATCGCACTCCGTAACAAAGGCATGTTAAAGGAAGGTCCAAAGACCAAATGCCCGTTGAGGGAGGACGAAATACCGCCTCGGATCAGACGCAAAGGCTGCTGAAAGTCGGCCCAAAACACGATTTTTCAAAGACATTTGTGGCCGTTTTGATCAACTTTGTAGCAATACTGCTCCCAAACTAAGGCAGATAATCACACTCCGTAACAAAGGCATGCTAAAGGAAGGTCCAAAGACCAAATGCCCGTTGAGGGAGGACGACATACCGCCTCGGATCAGACGCAGTGGCTGCTTAAAGTCGGCCCAAAACACGATTTTTCAAAGACATTTGTGGCCGTTTTGATCAACTTTGCGGCAATACTGCTCCCAAACTAAGGTGGATTATCGCACTTTTATCAAAGGCATGCTAAAGGAGGGGTCGCGTGGGGTCGCGAAATTTTTCCTGGGGGTCGCGGAAATTTTTGTATCAAATTTGGGGTCGCGAACCGAAAAAGGTTGGGAACCGCTGCGCTAGGCCCTTGCCCTGTGGGGCCTGAGGGACTGCAGCTCTGTGTGGATCCTCTATGACGCTGTAAAGTAAAGTCTTCCAGGCGTGCGGTGCGGACCCATGCGGCTCCCGGAGGCGGGCCGAAGACCAGGCCCGTCCAGCCTGTGACCACATGAAGCGGCCTGGAGCGGCCTGGAGCGGCTTGGAGGATGGAGGTGACCGGGGTAATTACGGGGGTCGGGCGGGGTCACGGCCAGCAGTGTGTTCCGGGCCGCCCGGACGTGCTCGGCTCGACGTGCCGCGGCGCCGCGGCCCAATCCACACTTTACTCCAGTATGTGTGCCTGCCGTGCCAGACCGACTAGCCTCCCGGTCGCGCTGCCATTTGACCGGCAAGCTTCGCGGCTACGATTCGAGGTGAGCTCTTCCCGAACGGAAGCCGCGGTCGTTCGGGGTCTCACATCGAGACGCGACGCCCCGGGGAGCCAGCGCGGCGACGCGGCCATGTCGCTCTGAAAGCGGCCGCTGAAGGCGTCGAGGCGACGGCCATCTTGGACGCGAAGTGGTGCTGCCGCCGATCCCATTGGCGCCTCCCGTGGGACCCGGAGCGCGGCCGGAGCGCGGCCGGAGCGCGGCACGCCCGGAGGGTAGCAGGGCGCGCCAGGGCACGGCTCGCCAGGGCACGGCGGCGTCGTCGTGACACTTGAGCGTGGGAAGCCCGCCGGCCCGGCGCGCCCCGCCGGGAGGCTGGACCCGGATGGATCCGGATGGACCCCGCGGCCGGAAGTACACCGCCGGTAACAAATGACCGCCGCGGCGCGGTCGTCCACCGGGTCGCACTGCTTCTGGTGCTCCAGGCTTCTGGTGCGGCGGGCATGTGCGCTGCCGGGGCGCGCGGCGCTCTGCACGGTGGGGCGGGGCAGGCCCTTGCCTTGCCTTGGGCTGCGGGGCGCCCGTCGTGGGAAGCGGCGAGATGAGTCGCCCATTTCTGGAATGTGATAACTCGATCTTCTTGAGTTCTACATTTCGAGACGCGCGTAATTCGTGCTTCCCGTCGGCCCGTCGGCGTGATGAGGCGGCGAAGTGGCGCGGACGGACGCACTGCCGGCCGGGAGCGGGGTGGGGCGAAGCAGGGCGCGGCGCGGGGGGGGGGGGGGGGGGGGCACCCAGAGGCCCGCTGCACCACCGCGCCGACGACGGACGCCACCATTTGCATAATCCTCGGCGTTTGTGTGGATAGTGTCCCCGTGGACGCGGGCCCGGCCGTTACAGGTCAATTTAGTGCGATAAGGCGAAACGTGGCCGGGTGTGTGGTCGACCCGGCGCCAAGACCTGTTCCGAATGTTTTTGGCACTTTCCGCGCTCCAAATAGGACACGAATCAAACTCTTAGTGGTAGTTTTGGATTCCTCTTTTTACTGTAAATCCACCGATACCATCATGTGCTTGATTCGGGTCCTACTTGAGGACTGCAGAGCTCGAAGTCTAAAGGCCTGAACACTCGTAGAGCGCCGCTGCCGGCCGCCGCGCCCCTCGCTGTATTCCAGGTCACGAGTCGTGTTGTGGTGTCCTTTATGACGAGCGCGGATTGCCACCGCCTGGCCGCGCTGCCCGCACTGCCGCCTCAAAGGGGTTATGGCCGCGACTAGGATACAAGTGGTGCTGTAGGTTCAAGCTGCTGGCTGCCTGCTGCCTGGCAGCCTGCTGGCTCATCTAGGAGCCCCGAGTGCCATTTCGCTGCTCGCACTCCAGTGCGGGATTCCTGCCCAGTCTCCACCCGGCCCTCCAGCTGGCTCCCGGTGGGGCCTCGGTATCGCACTGGACGGCCGCAGGGCGATTTGTCCTGCTCAGTGACCCGACCCATCGCCGGGCCCCCAATTGGACCAGCCCTTCTCCGCTAGACCGGTGGGACCAGCTGGGAGTCCCAGCCTGGGACCTACCACCCGGCCGGGACCAGCTATCCAGGAGAAGGATGCCTTTGGCACCTTTGCCACGCCAATAAAGGTTGTCTCTGCATAAATGCGGGTCGAGGTCGTTACCGCTGCCAATTGTTTATTGATTTTCTTTCCGTTCTTCGGACGGGCTAGGAATGCGGAGAGGGGCACTGGCTGGCCTGCGCGTCGATCATCGATTATCTCTGGGGACTCGAGTTGCAGTGCGTCGCAGTGCGTTGCAGAGCCACTCGTTGCAATCCTGGACGGGTCACGCGGTGCACGTCACAGGCCCCCATTGTCGACCCGGTAGCAGCTGTGTGTGTGTGCGCGCGTGTGCGTGAGCGCGCAAGCCGCGCAAGCGCTTTCCAAGTCACCTGGGGACACGTCAAGGGGTATGGGGCGTTTCGAACGGGACGAAACGAAACAACGCGCGCGCGCGCGCACGCACACACACACACACACACACACACACACACACACACACACACGCTCACACACACACACACACACGCACGTGGCGCGCACGCGTTCGCGCACTCGACAGCCCCGACGGCTCCCCGCGGGGACTGCCGCCGCGACGGATGTTCTTCGGGAGCGCCTCGTGTCGTTGCGGCCCGCTCATGGAAAAACTTTGACTTCCTCGACGCCGTTTCCGCAATTTGTCCGATATTTATGTTCTGCTTTTGGTCGTGTTCCAGATGAACCAGCAGTGCAAAGTGTGCGGCGAGCCGGCGGCGGGCTTCCACTTCGGCGCCTTCACGTGCGAGGGCTGCAAGGTACGGCACTGCAAGGCACTGCACTGCAAGGCACGGCACTGCGTCGTAACAGGCTCCATCCTTGTTTTACTCGCCGGGTGTCAACGGCGGGTCAAATTGCCCGCTCGTCTCATTTGCTTCTGGTAATAAAATGCAAATGGATTGCCGGGCGGCTGATTGACGCGTTGCGGGATAAATGATAGCGCATCCCCGTTAACGCGACTCGCCAAGGCTGCCAAAGCGACGAGCACTCTGCCATCGAATTCCCTCTGAATTCCGCTGATTCGCCTATGTATTAGCGGTCCGTCCTTGCAGCACATCTACGGAGAGTCGTGCAGGTTTGATAAGGAAATATTCGAAGTAAAGAAAATTTGCCAACTCGCTGGATAGCGTTTGTGGTTTTCCTTTGTCATGTGGGCTCGTTTTAGAAATGAAACATCATGAGGGAATTTTTTTGTTGTGACTAGCTTGTTGGGGAAGTTCGGGGTAGCTTTTTTCCCTTCATTAGCAATTTGAGGTAGGAAATAAATGTATTTGTGCAAGGAAAACTAAAATCTGGCAATTAATTTCGGTTCAAACCGTTTATTAAAATCAGCAGTCTCCTTTTGGACGGCCAGCGCAACGGGCGTAGTTTTAAGCATACGAGCGGACTATGTTATAGATGATGAGTCCTTGGCCGTGTTTCACGGTGAGTCTTGTGCCACCATTACTGCAGAGAAACAAAACGAGAGTCCGGCGCTAAAATGATCGGTAGTTAAGGAGGGTGCGCGCTCCGCGCATGCGCAGCGTCGTGCAGCGCGGTGCACTGCATGCAGTGTGGTGCAGTATGCTGCAGGTGATCAAAGTCATAAGGTCGTAATCATGCGCGTTATGCCCGCCATTCGGGCCGTTGGGCTGACGGCTGACGGCGGCTGACGGGCGAGCGCCGCGTTTTGGGCCACGGGGCAGCCAGGGGCAGCGGCCAGGGAGGGGCGCCAGATTTGAAATCTCCGGCGGTCGGTGCAGGTCTCGGTGCCCCCGGCGGGGCAAGGCAGCAGCGCTGCAGCGGTGACACGGAGAAACGTGTGGCCAAATATTCGGCTTCGATCAAATTTCTCGCCTGCAGCCGCTATTAAATCTCACATACGACCTTTCAACTTTCGTTTTAATGGCAGATGGGATCCCTGGTGACCCCGTTGGGCTGCGGGGAAGAAGGGGAGGGAGGGGGGCTCCTCGCGGGGGCACCTCACAGGCGCAGCCAGGCGCGGCGTGCCCCGCAGCCAACTCTACACGGATTCAGCAACAGTTAGATATTTTTATGGGCCGCGCTGCAGCCATGCTTTTTAGTTATGTCGTTCGCTTTAATTGTATCGTTTTTCATGCATCCGCTTGCACGACCACGGGGAGCGCTAGTCAGCTCAGAATTTGCCAGAAACCTTATGATTGTTTCTGCTTTTTTTGGCAAAAATCACTCGGAGCCGAGCAAGGCGAAACAGAGTTTCGTTTGTTTTTGTGTCTCGCCGCTCCTCCTCTGGACACACGCACACACACACACACACACACACACACACACACGCACAATTGAACGGTTGCGTCAGAAGGATGCGCGCAAAGCGATGCGACCATTGTGGATGTGATCCAGAGCGCGTCCAGCCCGCCGCCCGGCCCCCTGCACTGCCGGGGCAGGGGCGCGGGGCAGGGGCGCGGGGCAGGGGCGCGGGGCCAGGGGTCAGGGCGACACCGACTCGCGTGTACAATCGCACAATCGCTCACGATGCCACCGGCTGGGCTCCGCGGCTCCGCATGGCTGCCGCATGGCTGCAGGTTCGAGTCCTCACGACCCGCTTTCGTTGCCCCGCGCTGTTTATTTAGGTATTTATTTTTTGCGGTGGCGGCGATCGGCATGGACTTCGAACGGGTCCAGTCTTTCCAGAGTACTCCCTTGCGCCCGGCCCGGCGGCCCGGCCGGCCGCGTGCGATGGGCCGGTATCGCCCATACCTGCCAGCCATGGCTGCTATTTGTCAAGTCGAGAATGCAACATTGTTCGGCTTCGGACTATGACCGTGCCATGCCGAGCCGCGCCGCGCCGCACCGGGCTCTATGACTAATTAACTTCGGGCGTTGATATATTGGCGTGTGCCTTATGGTCCTTATGGCTCCGTATTGTCCGGGTAATGACGTCCCGAGTCGTCCCGACATCGGCGGGGCTGGTGGCGGGGCCCTGGTGGCGCGGCGCGCGGCGTCGCCCGGCGTAATGGTGCGACTGCCGTGCACTACCGAGCACTGCCGTGCTGGCGCGGCAGCCCGGGAAACTTTTTTGTCCCTCGCGGAATCACCGAATTCGTGGCGAGATGGCCTGCCTCGGCCTCGACCTGCCTCCGCCTGCCTCCGTGCGACTCCGCCTGCCCGTGTGCGTGCAGCGCGCCGCAGCCCTGCGGCCCGCGGAGCGCTTTCTGTCGGAAGAAGAAAACAGTAAACTCTCGGCTCGGCACTGTGAACGCAATAAAAGGAGGCGTGTGTGTAACACTGTGTGCGCGACACCGGGTGTGCGTGTGTGCGTGCGTCTGTGTACAAGAGCATCCAGCCCGCCAACGGCGGCCAACGGACAACGCCCGCCCATCTCGCATCACACGCCTCGCGCCTTCCATGTAGAGCTCGCGGCTGCCGCGGCTGCAGCGCCGGAAATTCGACTCCACACGCACGACCTCCGGCAGCACTGTTAGCACCGCCAGCACCGCCAGCAGCTCGGGAAGCGCATCCGCACGATGACGCTCCTCTTGTTCGTCTTCTCGCTCGCCGTGGCCCCGAGGTGCCCCGAGGCGCCCCGAGACACCCGACGGGCCCCGCGGTGACAGCGTGATGCAAGCCCTCGGGTCCTGCAGGACTAATACGACGTGACCCCTGTGGTCCCTGTCGGACCAGCGGGCCTTTACGTACGGGCCCTTCAGGCCTTTTAGGACCGTTTGGGTCCTGGGGCTCGCTGCCTGCAGGTCCTTTCGGCTCTTTGGGTTCGGTGGACCCTGCGGCCAACCTGCGGCCGGCCGGGCCCTTTGCGCCCCGTGGGCCCCGTGGGCCCCGTGTCACCGAAGGGAAAGGGCGGGCATGGCGAAGGCATGGCGAAGGCGGCGGCACGATCGTGACTTTCAGTTCGAATGCGCCAATCATCGCTCCTCCTAGAAGTTCGCCACGCCGCGGAACAAGCAAGCAGGTCCGTCCATGCCTTCGCTGCCTTTGCAGAGGCGCGGCTGTCGGTTCTCGATCTTCTTCTCGGCAAAGAAAGCCGCGGAGTGGCGCGGTGAGCGCGGGAAGCGCGTGGCGTGTCGGAAGCAGCCAAGGGCGGCGCGAGCGCGAGCGCCACTCGGACTGTGTATGTTAACCGCGTTTACCCGCCTCGGGGACCACTCGCGCGTTCAGGTCTCCGCGTTGCAGGTCTAGGACCGCCAGGGCCGCCAGGGCCACGATGCTTTATCTCTCGCTCTCTCGCACCCCGGCCCCTCTCGCTGCTCGCTCGCGGTCCAGTGCGCGGCTAAATCGCCCGCGCCGGCACCGCGGGGGCGAATTTGAACAGTCATTTCTGTACAGCTTTGCAGCTCATTATTTCTCGTCGTCCAAAAGAGAAAAAAAGCAAAAAAAAATGGTCCAGAATCAGTTGTTTGCAGCGGGGCAATCGAACATGACCTCAGCCCTCCGCGGCGCAGATACGGCGTGGCTAGGCACTTTTTAATAGCGAGCGGGAAAAGAAGCGCGTCGAGCGTGAGTGGCATGAGCGCCCATTTGTTGGCCGGGTACCCGTTGACTCAGTTACGTCACTGCCACTGACCTTGCTCCCAGAGCCGGCGCAGCCCGCGCAGCCCCGCTGCTGGTGCGCGCTTCCTTCACGGCGATGATACTACATCTTATTCAGCGAGCGCAGTGTACCATGGCATCGCTGTTGTTTCTCTCTCGCTCTCTCTCCCTCGCTCTCCTTCTCTCTCGCAAACACTGCTCCTCTGTGCTCAGCGTGCGTGACATCGTCCCAGCGGCCCGGCTGGCCTGGCCCTTCTCGCTTTCTGGCTCGATCGACCGATGCAGGGCCAGCGGAGCTGGTGGGTTTGGCACAGCGGAAAACTGGAATGGACGCCAAGGAACCCCCTCCCTCCTTTTTTCCAAAGGGCCTGCCTGCTTTGTTTTTAGTTGTATAATAGCACCCCCGCCGCGCGGCCAGCCGCCCGCCCGCCGAGGGCCAAGGCTGGCCAAGGCCGCCGCGGCCGAAAGTGAGTGGGGACCGCGATGGCACGGCGTCGGCACGGCGTCGGCAGGTCGGCGCCGAGGCATCGTGGGCGGACCTTGGTGTTGCCACTTCCGCCGCGAGTGCCGCGTGCTGCCGCGAGGATGTCGTAGGTCTCGGACGCGTTAGCGAGCGGCGCCGATGTGCCGCCCCCGCGCCGTGCCGCCGTGCCGCCGTGCGCTGCGTCAGCTGATTGTCCGCGTCGCCCACGAGGCGCCGCCACGCCGATGCACTGCTGCACCGCTGCACCGCGCCCCAATAAGACGGCCGGCCTGCCGATCGCCACCATGCAGACGATGCAGACACGCGCCGCGCTCGGTCGGCCGGCGTCGTCGCCTGCCCGCGGGCCTCGCGTGCTCCTTGACTCGGAACGTGGGAAACTGGGTCGAGATGCTCGGGCCGCGGAGGAGCGCGGCGGGCAGCCAGGGCTGTCGGCAGCAGGGCAGGTAGGGCAGGCAGCAGGGCGTGGGCGGCGACCTTGGAGAGGAAGAGGCAACCTGCGCGCACTTGTGCCTCCGTGCCACTCCGTGCGTGGGTGTGGCCGGTGTGGCCGCGCGGCAAGACGTCGAGGTCGCAGTCCTTGGCCCTTCGGCGCTATCGCCGCCCCAGACCGCGTTGCGCGGAGCACAGCGCAGTCCCAGGCGCGGTGTTGTGGCGGCACGCTGAGCGCGCGGAGCGATCTCCGACGCCGGCGAGAACCTCGTGAAGCTCGTGCTTCAGTTTCGGCCGGACAGGACAGGGGACGGGGGGCACACTGGGAGCGCGGCGCGCACCGCGGCGTGACGCTGCCGTGGGACTGCTACACTTACGCGAACATATCAACGGTCTAATGTTACACCACGGCGCGCCGCGGCGCCACGACGCCGCCGTGGCCCCGTCTCTTTCGCCTCGCGTGACCCGGCGCGCCGTGGCTCGGCGCGGCGCGGCGGCACGGCGAGTCGCGGGAGACCACCAGGCGAATATCGGCCAGCTCGTGACGGCCCAATGAGTTCTGGGGGCCGTGATTGAATTGGACAGGCCGGCGAGTCAAGCCCTTGATTCATGAGGTGGGCGTTGTGGTGCATAGGCCAGCCTGCCGGCGGTTGCCAGGTTCACGGTCGCGGCGCCCGGCGCTGTGCGGGTGTCGGGTGGCGCGAGGCGCGGCCCGGCGAGGCCTAGGAGACACGGAGGCTGGCGGCGGAAACCTCCTCGTCCTTTCCAGGCCTTGCAGGCCTTGCAGGCCTTGCATGCGTCTGCTCGTGAAAGCGGCCGGGCCGGCCGGTCTGAAGGTGATGCCCGCTGCCCGCGCGGGTCAGCGCAGCGCAGTTCCAGCGCGTCCGCCCGCCCGTCCGTCGCGGCGGACTCGGTGGTGGGCAGCGCGGCGCCGACGTGGCCGACGTGGCCGACGTGGCCGACGCACTGTGCAACTGGCCGTCCCTGATTCCAGGTCATAGAGGGCGGAGATAGGACAATGGACGGGTGGCCCAACCAGACGAGGCTCTGCCGTGGCTCTGCCGTGGATGTGCCGTACCGCCACCGCCGCGCTCCGCCCGTGTGCCTCCTGATGTACAATGGCCACTTACTGTGCCTCGCCGCCTCGCCGCCTCGCCGCCTCGCCGCGCGGCTTTGCGAAACCAAACTACTGTTTTGCTCATCCTCTGACTGCCAGATTTTTCATCTGCGTGCCGCGACCCTGCGGCTGTCTTCAGTAACGGCCGCGCTGATGACGGCAATGAGCGCGAGGAAAAAGTCGCAATGACGGCGCGGGTTGCTTGGGTTGCCTACCCAGGCGAGCGCTCGCGCACTGGGCGGCGTGTTGTCTATTCAGCCTGGCGGCGCCAGGGTAGGCAACCCTGCGGGCTGCATGCACGGCTGTGCGGCGTGTTGCCTATTCCGCCTGGCAGGCGCTAGGGTAGGCAACCCTGCGGGCTGCATGCACGGCTGTGCGGCGGGTTGCCTACCCTGGCTTTGGCAGGCGCTCCCGGAGCGAGCGAAGATGAGGGCAACGTGTTCGGTGGGCGCGGGCCGCGCGGGCTTGCTGGAGCCGAGCATCATTGACCTTATGTCATCAGCTGCAGAGCGCCTTGGCTCGGCGAGCGCAGATTATCGCAGCCTTACAACACCCTTTAAATTTTTCCTCTCCACGCTAAGGTCACCCGTGCCACCGGCACCGCGCCGGCGCCCGTCGGCCGATTGGCTCGGTGCGGGCGTCCAGGTCGTCCGGGGCGTCCAGAGCGTCCAGAGCGTCCAGGGCCCCGACGTCCTCGCTAAGCGGTCTTCCCGTCCGACGGGGCCCTCGGCGCCCTCGGCGTCGCTGGTCCGGCACGCGACGCTGCAAAATGGGGGGAAGTGTGCACTATGGAGGTGAAGACCGTGGCGTCATCGGAAGTGATGCAAGATGAGAATTGTATCAGCATGGCTAGGCGTGGCGCGGCGCCGTTGTTGTTGTAGCTCGTTTCCGTCGTGGCCTTGTGAACAATCAGCATGCAATGCCGTTGCCATGCCGTGCCGTGCCGTGCCGTGCTGGGCCGGGCCGTGCTGAGCCGCGCAGGGGCGTCCCATTGTTGACCGCCACACTCTCCGGGTGGCAGGGGGCGCCACTGACCTACGCAAGGCGGCGCCGCGCACGCCTCGCTGGAGGACGGCACGGGACGGCACGGCACGGGCGGCTCCAACTCGAGCGTGGCAGTGTAGCCGTGACTGCGGGACGGACGGTAGCGAGCGGGCCGACCCCGCGGGACGCAAGGCGGCGCGGGACGTCATGCTGATGATCTGATGCGATTTGGAGCGATGGAGCCGACTCTGCTAGACACGACTCGAGCTAGCGACCGGCGCCTCGCTCGGCGTCTCGCTCGGCGTCTCGGAGGCAGCCCGCGGGGAAGGGGGCTCTTTTCTGACGCGATGCGCAGAGTGCGCGTCGATGATGTCCTTCCAGGATAGCGGCCGCAATGTCCTGTCGCGCAAAGGACGCGACGCGGCGCGGGTCAGAGGAAGGCACTTGACATGCGATCGCCGCTCGCCTGGAACGGCTCGCTGGCGCGGCTAGACCGGCTAGACAGCCCAGGGCGGCTGCCCAGTGAGTGCCCGAGCGGCCCGAGCGCCCCGAACTGGAGCGGACCGTCCTCTGGTGGCCTTCGGCTGCCTTCGGGCACCTTGAGGGCGACATCGTCCTGGCGAGTGTCAAAACGGGCGCGCTTCTGGAAGTGATGTAACGGCATTGTTATCCTCGCTGGATCGTGCAGTCGGACAGTCAGTGAGCGAGCACCTCACGCTAGCCGCCTTGACACCGCCCGCCCGGCCCGGCTCTGCCCGGCTCGGCTCAACTCGCCCGAGCTAGGTCACTGGCGCGCGCCTCGCCTCGCGCTCCTGAAAAATGAGACGAATTTGTCTGCAGGAGGATTTCGCTTTCCTGGGCAAGGTCAAGTCGCATTATGCTGCACTGCAGCCCCGCGGGTCGTCCTGCCGCCCCGCCGCTGCCGAGTGACACCACAAAAGGCCGAGAGAGAAAGGGATAAACGAGTCGAGGCTCGCCATCTACTTCAAGTGCTAGGCGCGCTGGATCGCAGGTCTAGGGATTTGCAAACTCTGGGCAGGCTCCAGAAAACCTGAGGTACATAGAGGACCCGCGCGGCGCCGTGGGCTCATCGGTTCGTCGGGCACCGCCGGTGGATTGTGACGGGGTCGCTTTTCCGGAGGTGGCGGTAACGAATCCTCCGCGGCACAGCGCAGACAGCGCACGCAGCGCATGCGGACGGCATAAAAAGTTGCCTTCCAATCAGAGCCAATTTGTATGTATTGAAGCCGTCGCGCCGTCGAATGGTCGAAAGCAGCAGGTTCGGCGCGGCCTGCGGGTCGCCGTCACGCGGATTACCCCGGCCGGCCGCGCTGCCGCGCTGACGGGGTCTTGGCCGCGGCGGCCGCGGCGAGCTTCGGGCCGGCGCCGTCTTAAGCCGCCGACGGACGAGTCATAAAGTGCCGAGCAAAAGGCCTTTTTCGGCTTCTATTTAACTGAAATCAAATGATTTCGTTGAAAAAAGGAAGGAGTTAGTTGTTCTGAAAAAGTCTCGGTCTGACTCGGCCCCGGCGGTGCCGTGCTTGTTCTGCTCCATTATTCGCAGCCCGGCGATCCTAATTGGTACTTCACGTCAGGCTGTGCCGTCCCGTCCCGTCCCGCCGCGTCCCGCCCGACTAGACGGGAATCCAGATTCAGTCGGTAACGTGCCGACCCGTCCTTCACCTTTCGACCGCCGTGATAAGCGCTGTGCCGCGCCGCGCCTTGCCGAGCCGCGCCAATAGCAATACTAATAAGAATAATATTCCGCGAGGCACGCGCGCTGAATGCTAAAACAGTGTCGGATTTGCCAGCGCCGCGTCGCCGCGTTGCGCACGCACTTGTTGACCCCAGTCCGGAACGGTCCACTCGGTCCAGAACCTAGTGGACGCTGTCGGGAAAAACATGCCGTTCCTTCCTTCGGGAGCAAGAGGACCCAGTGGTCGTCGATTCGACCGTTTCTTCTGTTTTGCGATGGTTTTCGCTTGAGTCAGACGGCGTGACCGCGACGACATCTTGGCTGCTAATCCATCCATCATGTAGCCGCGCAGGCGCGCGATTAGCAGGCCGGCAGACGCAGGCAGACGCAGGCCCGCGCGCAACCTTGGCGGCCGGAGCGGCCGAGCGGCGAAAGAGTGCCGTCACTGCTTCTCCAGTCACTTAGGCCTCGCTCCCGCTCCATATCGGGCTTCCGGATGCTCCAGCGCGGGCCAGGCCGGGCCAGGCCGAGCACGTACAACAAAAAATACGAAAACATAGAGAAATAAAAGGCTGCGCCGGAGTGGGACCACACCCGCCGCTGTGCCTGCTGCTCAACTGGACAAAGTCCCCAGCAGCGGCCGAAGTGCCCGACCCGACCGGGCCGGAGGTTTCCGGAATCCGGCATGGAAGCCGCAGATCCGCGACCCGATAGCCGGAAGCGCGTCCATCGCCGGAAATGATAGGAGAAATTTGCATGGCGGCGGCGAAGTCCCTCGCGGTCCCTCGCGGTCCCTCGCAGTGTCGCACCGCCGCGGCGACGCGATTAATGCAGCAGCCCGGCGCTGGGCAACAAGTGGCGCAAGTGGCACACGACGAACCGGCACCTGCCGCCGGCCTGGCATTCTTCTTCCTCCCCGTGTAGGCCGCTATCCAGTGCGCATCTCCACCCCTCCCCCGCCCAGCCTCCCCCTCCTCCCCCTCCTCCGCGCCGTACGGGTTGGCGAGGTCCGCGCCGCCAGCTTTTCCGCGATGTCCCGCCGTCGTACACGCGGTTACCTGTAGGACTTGCTACCCGGCCAGCCGCGGCCAGCGGCCCCGCTGGACACGCCGCCGAGCTGCCGGTACCAGTGCTGCACCACAGCCATTACAACTCGAGGTGAAAATTATCGCGGAGGGGCAGTCTTGACCGGTCTCGTCTCCGGCTGGACAGTGCGCCACGCGGCAGGAGGCCGCGGGGAATGCGTGTGCATGCCGACGAACGCCGCGCCGTCGCCTTCGTCACTAACGTGGCCTTGCTCGTCTGTTGCAGTCCTTCTTCGGCCGGTCCTACAACAACCTGGGCTCCATCACCGAGTGCAAGAACCAAGGGTCGTGCGTCATCAACAAGAAGAACCGCACGTCGTGCAAGGCGTGCCGGCTGCGCAAGTGCCTGCTGGTGGGCATGTCCAAGAGCGGCTCGCGGTACGGCCGCAGGTCCAACTGGTTCAAGATCCACTGCCTGCTGCAGGAGCAGCAGCAACAGCAGCAACAGCAGGCGGGCCAGCAGTCGTCGCCGGGCTCGGGGCACAAGAGTCCTCCCCCTCAACTAGGTCAGTTAGTAGTTCGGGGGGCGCGACCATCCCCTCGGTCGGGCAGAGTCTCTCCGACCGCCACGGTCGCGGTGCAACGTCCAGCACGAGAGCCTACATCTTGTCCGCCGCGTTGCCGCGTTCCGCCTGGGCTTGACCACGGGTAATCCGCGCTGCGCCGGCCAGGCGTGTATCGGCCGCCCATCGAGTGCCGGCAGAGGCTGCGGGCAGAGGGCGCGGCCGCGGAGCAAGGCGCAGGCAGGCCAGCCCCGACCAGCCCCGGACAGCCCCCCTCGGGGTCGCAGGTCGCGGGGAAGTGCAGCGAGCGCGGTGCGGCCCGTTCCACCAGTTTAGTTGGCGTGAACCAATTCATGCCGCGGTGCCGTACCGCCGCGCCGCATCGCCGGGATAACTCGCCGGCCGAGCCGAGCCGAGCTGCTCAATAATCGTTCATTATTTCAGGACGAACGAAGGGTGTAATTTTGAGGCGCGCGATGTGCCGCGCTGTGCCGTGCCGTGCCGTGCCGTGGCCGTGCCGTGCCGTTCCATCTTGCCCCTCCTAATTAACGCAGGCTGAACAAATGCTGTTTGGAAGCCATCGTGGCGAGAGGCGCGAGGGCCGCGTCCGGGGTGGGGTGGGGCCGCGCCGCGGCGGACTGCAGCTGCGGGGCAGGCGCAGCAGGCGCGGGTGTCTCGGGCGCAGCCCTGCGCAGCCCCAGTCAGCCTACTACTTATTGGACACAATGCAAATCGCTTGCTAGTATGTTAATGGTGGCGTGGCGGTGGAGTGCCGCGCGGTGCCGCGGCGGACAGCCGGGACTCGCCTTGCCCATCCTGATGCTTTCGTCTCCGAATTTGTTCCAGCACCAGGCCGCTAATCTTTTTCTGCTTTTGTTGGCAGGTATGCTCGGCCCTCACGCGCTGCACCAGGTGCTGTCCCGCGCCTCCACCAAGGAGGACCTCCTCATGCTGGGCATGGTGGACGAGTACAAGCACTCCGAGCACGCCGCCTCCTCGCCCAGCGGCTCCTCGCCTGAGTCGCACAACTCGGACACCTCCGTGGAGGTGGGCGACGGTCGCCTGGGAGGCCACCGCGGGCACCACCCTGGCCACGGACTGAGCCACGGACTGAGCCACGGTCTTGGCGGCCTCGGCGGCCTCGGCGGCGCGCTGCCTCCCTTCCCGGCGCGGCCGTCACCGCTGCAGCACGCGGCGGGGCCACCCCAACACCCACCGCCGCCCCCGCACCCCACGGCCAAGGAGCTGCTGCTGCCCCTGTCCCTGCAGTCGCTGCCCTTCATGATGCCCCACCCCGCCTTCCTGCAGCCCCACTGCCCACCCTTCATGTTCCCGCCGGGCGTGCTGCCGCGCGCCTTCAACAACAACACCACCCCCTTCAACAACAACAACAATAACAACGAGGACACACTCGAGTACAGCAAACGTTTCTACCTGGACTCGATCCTGCACGCGCCGCGCCCGCACTACCGCGACCACGGCGACGACGGCGACGCATCGGACGGCGCGGAGGAGGCCAAGGCACCGCGGCGGCGACCCTCGTCGCCCCCGCGACCCAAGATCGCCCTGCCCGCCCCCGTGGACGACCACCCCATGGACCTGTCGGTGCGGGGCGGTGGCGGCAGCGCGACCAGTAACCGCGACGCCGACGTCTGCTCCGTGGCGAGCGGCGGTGACGACGCGGAGGCTCCGCGACGACGCCCGTCCAGCGACGCGGGTGGCATGGCCGACGACGACCGCAGCTTGAGCGGCGCCAGCGAGAACGGTGACAGGGAGGACGAGGACGAGGACGTGGACGTGGAGGTGACGCGCGCGCCAGAGAGGACGCTGCGGGTCATCCCTCTGGACCTGTCGGCCAGGACGTAGAGGCGCTCTCGGGCGCTCCGGGCGGACCAAGCCGGCGGCCAAGCCGGACCGAGCACCGAGGAGGCCCGCGGAGACGAGGGAGCCCTTGGTGTCCGACGTGACGTTCACCACGGCGATGCGCAGCTCGGGGACGGAACGCCTCAGAGCGCCATGAAGTCATGGTGCTTATCTACTCCACTGTCCCCAGGCCAAACAGCCAGCATGGCCAGCATGGCCAGCAACCACAACGCACAAATTGGAACGGTTCCTCGATTATCTTCTTCTGCCCACCTCGCGGACGATGTTAACTTGTGGCCAGAAATGGACTCGCGATCGATCGTTTTGGAAATGAAGTTTGGCAGCGTCGAGTGCCGTCGGAACGTTGGCCACACGCGAAACTTCCCCGCGTCAGACATGAAGTGGGCTTGAAGCCTAGGGCCCGGCTCAACCTTTGTGGCCGCGACCCCAAATTAAAGCCGAAATTTTTCCCAGAGCCCAGGAAAAATTTCGCACCCACGGACCCTCCTTTGACATGCCAGGGGAGCCAGGCGGGCCATTTTGCTCCCTCAACGGGCAATGTCTTTGGACCTCCTATATGCGCCTGTTACGGAGTCCAATTTATGAGAATCAGTCTGTGGTTTAAAGGAAAAGTGATAGTAAATTTCGGGAGGGTCTATATTTTTATCTTTAAAGATAGAAATTTCATGAGATAATCGTATAGGTCGATTTTACCCAGCGTCTATCCGAGGCGGGCATTTTGCTTTCCTCCGGGTTTGTCTTGAACCTTCGTTAGCATACCATGTTACGGAGGCAATTATCAGTTTTAGTTTGGGAGCGTATCGTCTAATTGCGAAACGCTCTTAAATGGCCATGAAAAATTTGTATAGGGCCGATTTTAAGCAAACAGAGTCTGACCAAAGAGCAATGTCCCTCACGCGCAATTCTCCCTGAACCTGGCCTTAGCTGCCTTTGGTCGGAGGCGATTACAGTCTTAGGTCGGAGCGTATGTCTCAAAGTTGACCAAGATGCCACAACCGGGTTTTCAAAGACACTTCACGTTTGACCGACTTTGAGACAATACTGCTCCCAAACTAAGACTGATAATCGCATCCGTAACAAAGGCATGCTAAAGGAAGGTCCAAAGACCAATTGCCCATTGAGGGAGCAAAATGCCCGCCTCGGATCAGACGCTGTGGCTGCTTAAAATCGGCCCAAAACACGATTTTTCATGGACATTTCCGAGCGTTTCGGCCAACTTTGAGACAATACTGCTCCCAAACTAAGACTGATAATCGCACTCCGTAACAAAGGCATGCTAAAGGAAGGTCCAAAGACCAACTGCCCGTTGAGGGAGCAAAATGCCCGCCTCGGATCAGACGCAGTGGCTGCTTAAAATCGGCCTAAAACACGACCCCAGCATCGCCGCGACCCCTTAAAAAAATTTCGCGACCCCGCTTGGGGTCGCGACCCTAAGGTTGAGAACCACTGGCCTAGGGCTCCCCGCCGAGCCAGTTGTGGGCAACTTAGTGTTGTACATATGACGCGAAATACCAAAGATGCAGTGTTTTGAGGAAGCATCCATGAACTTGATTGTGTTCTGACTTCCAGCAGCCAGGCCCTTCTCCTCTACTTCTTAATAATTCATTAATTAATTAATTCAGAATAAATTTGCGCACTGTTAATATCTCCCATTTCGACGTGGAGGAATCTGTCTGGTGGTTCATAAAAGGAAAACTATTGTGATAGTAAATGACGAGAAGGGGGTTGTTGATTGTTTATCTTTAGATTTAGAGTAAGATTCTATTTTAGAGTTGAAGAGACTACATAGTTCTCTTTTTCCCTCATGTGGTCCTACTTTGTTGGCTTTTGTGTTACTTCTGTCTCTCGTACAAGAACTTGTGTTCAGTTACCAACGTTCAAAACATTGGTGTATTTATTTATAAATCTGTTTATATTTTTGCATCGTTTGATATTTCAACATTTCTTACTCTGGGATAGTGACATTTCTTAAAAATGTAATGTTTACAGTCATAATAAAGTGTTACCAAAATACACTGAAACGGCGGTTCCCTTCGTTTTCCTTTCCCGAACCTGGCTCCCTGCTCCTCGCGGCCGCGGGGCGCCAGGGCCAGGCCAGGCCGCGCTCAGGCCGCGCTGCAGTCTCCAGGATGCCGCCAACCGCGCCAAGCCGACACGTCATTTGGAAGGCGTCAGCCCAATCACTAGCCTTGTCCCCTCGTCGGGCAGACTCGGCAGACTCGGCAGCCGAGGACGTGCCATAAATATCTTGTAACGACATCTTCGGTCCTTCGGTCCGGCCGACCGCGGCTCGGACGCGATGTAATTAATTGATTACCCCGTGGGACGCGGGGGGACGCGAGAGAGAAAGAGGGAGAGGGAAGTCCGACACGTCCCTCGCGATGAGGCAATGGCCCGCGCATTGTGTGGATCCGAAATGCCGAAAAAGATGCGAAAGATCCCCCTCCCCCTCCTCTTCCAGCCAGCCATTGTCATAACGCTGGGCATTTGTGGTGTGGAATGATAGGGGGCCGAGCAGAGCCGAGCCAATCCGCGCGCCGCGCGCCGCCAGCGAGAAAGTCACAGCACACCAACCAGAAGAAGTGGCTCTGATGGTGCCGGCGGATGGGCGGATGGAGTTCGGTTCTATACAAAGCAGCGGTCTGCCAACGAACGCCGCAGTATGATTTGGCGACGCACAGCGGGCCAGCTAGGCGAGCACGACTGCACTGGACACGCTCGGAGCTCTGCATGATGTAGAGCATCGTGGACCATGTTGTTATGGTACTCAAATGGGCCTTAAAGAGATGGGGCTGCCCTTCAACGCAGTGCACAGCAGTGTACAGCCCACCCCACGATGGCTAAGCCCTGTGCCGATGTACGCCGCATATGGCTCCGGCTTTCCGCAGATAACAGAAACACGGATGGCAAGGCTCGAACAGAAGCTCGCCTCGCCTAGAGCCTCGCCAAGCCCGTCCACCACGGCGGTGGACCTAGGACCGTGCCGTGACCCCACGCGGGGCCCCGCGGGGCCTCCAGGTGCATCGGCTCGAGCGGCCCTCGTCCAGTAGCGGTAGCGGCACGCGGGGCTGTTGTAGTGGTGGGGCGCGTCCGGCTAGTTGCGAAATCTTGCTGGGGTCGGCTGGGACGCGGCGAATTTCACCGATAAGATTTATCTACTAACCCGGCGCCAACTACAATTCTTTCATTATCTGGGAAATTTATGGTACGATGGACGATGTGGAACTAGAACATAGTATTGAGAGCTATTGCAGAGAGCTCCAGCACAATGAACTCCGCCGCTTTTTCAGATTTTCATGTTTTCCCCGAGAACGGTTCCACTAATAATATTTAACCCTCGCAGCCACCGATCCTTCTGAAATTGATAAGGAACGTTGCTGTGAGTGTGAGAAGGATATTTTGTTTGCTCTATAAATGGCGTTCCCAAGCGCGTCAGTTGCGCAGCGTGACAGGCAGCGTGACATACGTGCCGCAGATCGCGTTCGGAATCCGATCGCCGCTGCGGACGGTGAGTGTCTGCGTGTCGAGAGTGGCGCCCCGCCCCGCCCCGGGCGGACGAGTAATTACTCGGGAATATTGTCTTGCCGCTCATTAGCTGTCATTTACCGGTGCGGCGGGCTGGCCGGCCGTTCGAAGAATCGGAGCTCTATCTCTATCGCCTCGCAGCGCTTGGTCGGGCCAACCGCCCGGGCCCCTAGGCAGGCCCGGCCTGCGCCGATGCGGCGCCCTTTTTGCATCATCGCCCTGCAGCACCCGCCCTCGGAGGGATGAACGGCCAGTTCTAGCCGCACAACGCCGAGGAGAATCGTTTCGTCGTCGCTCAGTCCCAGTAACTAGTCCTTAGAGTTCCGCGCCGCGGGCATATTTGCGTAGAATATTGCCTGTCGTCCTTTGCCAGACACTTGTGTGGACTCCGAAGACCGCAGATAAGTGCGGGAAGCCGGATGTGGAGAACTGGAAACGTCCCCTCCCCTTAACTACAATTGTTCCACCGCTTCCAGAAAACGTGTTGAGCTCGAAGGAACGGACCTATACGGATGCCCAGCGGCCGGGACCCGGGTAGCAGAGCAGCCGAGGTGCCGTTGGGATAGGCCACCCATCCGACATGCAACGCGGGGCGGCTACAGCGCCGGGTAGGCAGGCCGCCCATTCGACGTCTGGTCTCACGAGACTATCTCCGTGCTCACGCCACCTGAGAGTTCTGAGAGTAACCTGAGAGCGGCCGTCGGGGTGGAATCATTCAAACAGGCGGTAACTCAACAGATTTTAATACGGGCACAAAACAGCTCAATTTATTGCTAAGTACAGAGGAACACAACATGGATGACAGCGAAATAATTTAAAGTACAGTACTTCCAACAATTTAAATAGTTCATCAGCACTCACACATTAATTAAAATAAATAATGGTTGTTATGATAACATTAGATTCCGTAAAATGGATTGAAAACATATGAGAGATGTGGTCTTTAGGTTCATACAGCATTCACTTAAAACCACAAATGCTTGTGAAATGAGGGCACCTTAACACAGAAACAGCAATAAATACGCATTACATAAGTGCTAAAACCACAATTAGAATTACATCCTCCAGATTTTCTTGACAGTGTTAGCAAAGCCTATATCATTATAGATAAGTTGGAGAAGACCTGCCATGGTCACAATAGACAAAACATAAACACCAGCCAACGCAATTTTTGGTATGGTTTTGCCAAAGATGATCGGTCGAATATAATCAACAACATTGGCTTCAACACCCCTGAGAGGAATAAAAAGAAAAAGGAATAGAAGAGGATAATACACCAATATTTTAAAATCACAAATACCATTAAGTGCAAACCTTACCAGTGGCAGTGCATCACCAAAGAAACTGCTGCAATTGTGTCCAGTAACTTGTTTGGAGATGCCAGGGCTGCAGGAATAATGACAATTAAAGCTGCGCTAAGAGCTCGTTCAATTGTCCACAAGTTGGAGTGGCTGTGTCCTGCTCCGGCACTGTAGCTCTTTGGGCTGACAGAGAAAAATTGAACCTGCAAATTGTTGCTTATTAAGGAATTGTTTGTTGAATGTGTAACACAGTGACGGTGCTAAGTAGGCACCTGACAATGTACCTGATTGGTGCGACCAAGTTGTTGGCGGCTGACACCAGATAGCCCTGCCTGGGGTTTGACGGCTGACTTCAAAAGAATGAGAGATGATGATGATCCAGCGCTCAATCTTGAGGCATTCGAAAGAACCTGAACTTGACCAGCTAAAGGTTTTAATAAAAGGGAGAAAACACACGATAGTTAAAAAAAATATTTAAAGCACAATCCGGCTATTTCGCTAATCAAACACATATGTCAGGGTTATGTGGCCCTATGTGTAGCAGACATATCAAGACATCTTTTAGATCTTTGAAGATTCTACATGCTAAATGTGTCATCATTTAAAAAATTTCATGCTACAAAATATTCATTATTTTACTTGAAAGAAAGAAATGTCAACAAGCAAAGAGACAAACAAATAAAAATTGAAAATGAAAAAGATGACTTTCTGCTTCTAGATATTAGATCGATTTTAGCGTCAACTTACCCATGCCACGGCAGGCAGATGAACGAAGAAGACTAACAAAAGCCATGATTTTTTGAAGAAATGCTTGGAGTAAAAGTAGTGTAGCTTATTGTCTTGTTTTCATTGAAAGACTGTAAGTTCTGTAGGTCACCAAAACTGCACCAGTCAGGGCCACGGCAGGTCAGGTGCAAAACTGCGAATAACGCAATTATCGTTATAGTGTATTTGCAGGAAAGTATCGACGCTCGACCGTCGATAGCTCGACGCTCGTCGAGTACTCGACGGCAAACGGCAACCCTACCGCGAGTTTGATTTGATTTCCGTCCGTTGTGAACTGTCACTGTCAACAAAATCTTGTTGAGTCTCGCGGGTCTGGTCTCGCGTTAAAACACTGCACGAATTTATCCTCTTATCCATGGTGATCTGAATAATCCCTTTAAAAATATGGCCAGCCAAATAGGTATGTACAAGCATGGTACAAGTACTTACAAGTGTCCTTTTCCATGGTCTTTCAAGACACCTTATTTTCATTGGTTTGTTTCTTTCCAAATGTCAGACGATCTGGAGCTTGCTGCACTAGAAGCAAGACAAGGCCTTGCCGAGCGTCGCGCAGGTCGCCCCAAAGTTTGCTCAAACATATACATGAAGACATTAAAGTGTGACTTAACAACCTCTGTTCGTATTTTCTCCTGCTGGCTTCCCGGCTGCTTAAATTAACTTTTCCTGATGTTTTTAAAACTATCGACAGAATCCGTTTCTTTCAGATGACTTTCAAGGTTGATACAAGATCAAAAGTTCAAGTATAGCTGAATACAATGGTCGTGAACTCATAGAGAATCTTGGCTTGCTTAAAAAGATGAGTCTTTCATATGAGGTATGATTTAATGTCTTTATTTCTTAGTTTTGCCCCAAATTTGCCATCACATTGTCTTACGTTTCTCTTTTTGCATTTTAGAAACTTGATAGCCTGGAAGAATACTTAACTCAAGTTACCAAGGCTTTAAATATCATCAGCCAGAATAAACCCAAAAAAATGGTTTCTGGCGATCAGTGCTTCAATTGAAACCTTGAAGATACTTTAAGGACACACCTTCCTACGCCATCCTTTCATCATTCATTTGTATGAGCCAATAAACATTAGTTGATGCTGTTGTTCAATAATTTTTGCAATTTCATAGAAAAATATTTCATTCATATTTATTCATGTTTATATACAAATCATTCCCTTTATGTTCCACTTTTATTTGATTAATTTGAACTTGTTGATGTATATATGAAATATATAACACATTATAATAATACCTATCGACAGGCACTTCACAAATGTCTTTGGTTCTTTCCACCTAGACCCACTCACAAAGTAAAAGCAAAAATATCCTCAGTTAAACTGTTAAATAAGAGGAACAAATTGGTAGAACTCATTTTTTGTTGCAGTCACTTGCATCAGTCAGAATTCGTACTTAAACATATTAAGAAATAAAATACAGTATAAAAGAATAGTAATCAAAATTATCAACAGGATGCTTGATTCAAGCTTGAAAAAAAAAAAAAAAAAAACACTTGGCAAAGTCTAGGCTAGTTACAAGTGCCTCTCTTTGAGATGTTCATATGAGAGAAACAAAGGGCTGAAAGCAAAGTCTTGGTTTGTGTAACTCAAACTAAAAGGCGAAATTTGTTATCAGGAAGGCTATACAACATTATCACAGGAGCATTTTTCTCAAAACGTAAGTCATAGATTTCATCTAAAACTTCAGTTGTTATCTTTTTGTTCCTTGGCAACCTGGAAAGGGGAAAAATTGAATTAGGTGTGGCTAGTATAAACAGAAAAGTTTTATTTGAATGGCAAGAGCTGTTCTTACTTTTCACTTGCGACTTTGCAACTCTCCTTAAACTCTTGCTCACTTTCCAAATCAAGCAATCCAGCCAAGGAACACACAGCTGCTCCATCTAGTGCACCAACAGCTAGAACCTCAATAGGTGCTCCAACTTCTAGTTTCTGTAAAACTCTGAGAGAATGGCTGAAAATCTGAAACAAAGCCAACATTTTGAGAATAGTATTCAACAGAATACAACATGATCAGACTCATTGATAAAATTTGAATCTGTCAGGCTTCAATGATTTACCTGTGTTTGATATCGCTTTCTAGAACTAGCTGCCATTCTTTCTGAGCTTAGAAAATTAATATTCATCATTGGGTGGTGTTGATGAACATGTGTTTCTGATGAATGAGAATGCCGGTGGGAATGTGCATGATTATGTGCAAAAGAGTGGGAGTCCCCACCAGCTTGAGTCTTACTTTCTTGCCTTTGCAAAGATTGAGCAGATCCCACTCCCTCAATCTGATCTCTTGAAGAACGAAGAGCTCTTTGGAGATATTCAACCAATTCAGAGCGAAGGACTTTCTTTTCCTGCAGTCTGCAACGTTATAATAATGAAAGTCAAAAGCTTCCAGAAAGATGAAAATGAAGGACTGTAAATTGGAATTCACACTTACCTATCTTTCTCCCAACTTCTAACATGAAGTGAATTTGTGTCTCCCTCTTTTAGCATAATCATCAGAGGAACTTCCATTTCTTGACAATACTCCTCTATATCCTGCTCCGTCTAAAAAAAATATATTTATAAAATTTGCTACAGCTAAGCTACAATTAAATTTAGATGTCATGTGACTTACATTGTCAAGTAACAAACATTTTATTCCAGCACCCCAGAGGTCTTTGGCAACCAGAGCAGCCTCAGAAGCTGTTAGATTCCCAGAGAAGCAAAGAACAACATCCGCAGCATGAACTGTTTCACCACTGTCGTGAAGAAGTGTGACAACTTTATCCATACAGATGCTAACACCAACAGCAGACTGACATGTCCCCGGGCGCAACATACCACTTCGATCAAGGGCTTGTCTTGATTAGAAACGAGAAAAAACAAAGCATATATATCATAGAAAACTATTTATGAAACTGACTTTTGAAACTGAGAACTGGTTTTACCTGAAGGAGGAAATCATACCGTCGTATCTTCCTCCAGCTGCAATCACCTCAACCCCTCCATGCCTGTGTTTATTCTTGTTTTCACAAACCAACTGACACATGACACCAGAATACAGATTTATGTTCCGAACAAGTACTGGACTAATTAATATAGGGCACTGTAATAAAAATATAAATAAATTTATCAAACAATAAGATATTTGATTATGTTAAAGCAAAATCACTAACTACCTTGATGCCTAACTTCTGGGCATGATTGATAGTGGTTTCAAGATCATGAAGGCCCTGTTTTGCCCAGGATGCTGCTGCTCCTCTTCGCTTACTTATCACACGAAATGATGCAGAGACTTTAGAAAATGGACCTTCTACCTCCAGCAATCCAAATAAAGAGACAATTTCTGCCTCGGAGAGCATTCCTTGCAATTGTTGTTTCAAATTATTTTTATCCTATGAATACAATGTATTTTTTTTTTTAAATTGAACTTATAGTGCTTATAGATTATCAGAAAATCATTTAATAAATGATATATTACCCTTGCCTCACTACAGACTGAAAGAATCTTAACATGGCGATTTTCACTGATACCAGCATGGAGCAGAGCAGCTTTGACCAGAGCAGTGTGGTTGAGACGAAATGCACAAGCAAGATCTTTCAAGCCAGGAAGTTCAGATACCACTTCCCAAGACACAGCTAATAGTTCAGCATCCAACAACAAACTCCCTAATTTTGAAAAGAAAAAGAAAAAATTATTGCCTACAAGGCTCCTGTCATTACCTTGAACAAAGCGCAAACTTAAAGGTTAATTATATACATTACCTGGATTAGGAGTAACAATATCAAAAGCACACTCATACAGTTCTCTAGGATGGAAGCCATACACTCTCTTTTCTCGGTAGACTCTTTGAATGGCATAACGTTTCAAGCATAATATATTATTCCAGGCAACATAACGGGCAAAGTTGACTCTGAGATCATGGGGGACATTTACAATGCCACCCCATCGAGTCATAAGACGAACAACAGAATCTACTTCAGAGTATACATCACATTGAGGCATCAGAAGGGGTGTGGTGAAGCTAACAGCACCTTCAGCATAGAGAAATATCGGAAAAATTACAAATGTTAGTCATATTTTCTCCATCCATGTTTCTTTCAACAATTGATATTGAATTAGGATAGGACATACCATGCTTCTTAAAAACTCTGACCACTACACCTTTGGCCATATCTTGAAGAACCAAAAATCGTTGTAGACTTAAAACTTTTTGAGTTACAGCCATATCAAATGTAACATCTTCCGCTGCGCCAACATTCTGTAGAAAGCCAATAGATAATTATGGTTGATGTGATGTGAACCACACGAGTTTCAATAAACTTACTTGTTTAAAGCATGAAGCTATAAGGTACTTATATGCTTTGCTTTGAGGATTTCTTAATGTATGACGAACCATATCTTGCAACTCAGCATCTTCAAGTTCAGGAGGCGGTAAGGAATCTGAAGCCAAAAGCTCTTCAGATGATGGCCTTCGCGACGGCTCATGATCAAGAAGCCACCTACAAAATTGGTTGTGTTTGAAATGTGAAAAATAAAAGAACATTAAAGAACAATCCAAGTAATGTACTCTGACATCATACTGACCGTATAACATGAGCCTGTTTTACCAAATCACTCAAAGGAAAATTCACTGGGAAGATGATCTGCTTGGAGCGGAGGTTTTGGAGGATGGTCATACGCTCCATGCTGGTTTGCAAAGGAGGATAACACATCTCAAAAAATATAATACCTAAACTATAAATATCTACTTTCTGAAAAATAAGAAAAAAATGAAAATGAATTCTGTAGTTTAATTTTTTTTTACACACCACAACTAAACCAAAAATTTGAAACTTTAAGTTTACCTGATTGTACATTGCTTTCGATGATGCATTGTTTACTTCTGGTGCGACATACAAGGCTGTACCAATATGACTAGTGAGGGACTGATCAGCAGTGTCATTCCTGTCGGAGCTAATATACAATTGGTCAATGAGGCAGGTATCCACCACATCCTTCTCTTTGGTTGCTGCCCTGTAAAGAATTATAAAGCATTCCAGACACATTTACAAGAAGAAAAGGCAAACAAAAATTTCAGAAAGAAGGAAGAAGCACCCACCTTGGCAGGCTGCTCATTGTCGCAAGGCCAAAATCACCAATTTTCACGTGATCCTGAGAGTCCAAGAAAATATTCACTGGCTTCAGATCTCGATGAATCATTCCTTGTTGATGAATATGGGCCAGCCCTTCAACTATTTCTCTGAATAATCTCCAAACTCGAGTTTCATCTCGACACAGGCCTTCATCTATTGCAGTCCTAAATACACACAACAGAGTAAGAAAACAATCGAGAAAGCAAACAATGATCGATAGATGCAGAGGAATATACTACCTTAGGGTACTTTTTTCACAAAACTCCATCTGGATATACATAAACTGAATTTCTCGTTGGAGAGGACTAAGAACATTTTTCAATTCGTCAGAATCAACCTCTGAAAATTTTCCGTTTGGTTCTACTTTATCTATGTCAGGAGACGCCTGAGAGCCATTTTCAAAGACAATGCTGTCGGATGAATCCTGCATAGATCTAAAATAAAACACAAAAGAAATAAAAAAACCACAAACAAAATATAAATCCAAGATGCACAGGAAAATAAATCACCAATTGTGAAAACAAACACAGCATAACTTACAAAAATCCCAACCAGTGATCATCATTTGGACCATCACTATCTGAGTCACTCTCAATATTTGGCTGCATGGCAGTGCTAGAAACACTCCACTCTAAACTGCCCTTTATAGCAGGAGCTAGTTCTTTTAAAGCCTAAAATTATTATAAAAATTAAAAAAGAGAAATGTATCAGTTGAATTGAGTTGATGCAATTGAAAGGTGATTTGTTCGTGGGTAATACCTTCACTGGACGGTACTGTTTAGGAATTGGTGAATTTTCACTACATGATTCACTCGAGGATACTTCCATTGTAGCACTTTCAATCCACGAATTGTAATACCGAACAACATTTTCATGGTTCAACTGAGAAAGAAGTTTTACTTCTCTCGTGATACGCCGATTAAGTTGGCGGTTGCGTGGGTTTAATTCAATCCGTTTAATAGCATACACCCTACCATCAAGTTTGTTACGCACCTGTCATTCACAGTAAAATTGCAAGTATTAGAGATTACCTTACTGTCACCTTAAATTTTTAGTATCAAGTTGAATAAATCAACTAGTAAAGTTGCATTTTCTATAAACGCAAGAACAAACTACATTACTTTTAAAACATCACCAAATGCTCCCTTCCCAAGAAATTTCAACATTTCAAATTCATTGAGAATGCGAGATTGGCTTTTTGATTCATGAGAAATAAAGCGCATTTCTGATTCAGGGTCTTCCTCATCAGAAACATAATCCTGTGTTGTCTGAAAAGGAACATAATATTTACAATTTATTGTATGCTGACAGAGAATTATCTTTGAAGGTTTTGAATGCTTAACCAGTTGAAGTCTAGAGGATAAAATATAGTTTACCTTTATATAACAGTCCTTGAATAAAGTAGGTTTGGTCTCCACAGACTGTTCTAAGTGGTCACTGGAAAACAGAGTTTTAAAGAAAGTTGTTCACTGTTTACTGTTTATTAGACTGCTTTAGAGAACAACAGTCTCTAAGATGGTACAACACAAGATGTATGTATAGAAAAAGCAGTGAGTACCAACCCATGAGTGTAGTTAGTGGAGGGGTCTTGGTTGAGTCTAAGACTTTCTCTTCTCTGGCGGCCTTCAGCACGTAATGCCTCTTGCTTGCGATGGACCTCGTCTTGTATTGCTTGCCTCTGCAGAATGTCAAAATCAGAAACCATTTCTTACTAACCTATCTATTCAATACCATATAGGAAAAGGGTGAATCTGGACGCAGGTTCACTAAAGAAATTACCTCTTTTTGTTCGCGTATTGAATTAAGTTGTTGCTGTTGTTGTTCCTGCTGTTGTTGAAAAAGCAACATTTCTTCGTGGAATGATTTGAAACCGGGTTTGTTGTGTTTGTGAAGAAATCCCTACCATAAAAGATGCGATTTATTCAAATGTTGCTTTGTAAAAACAAAGAATATGCAATCAAAAGTGAAGACTTCAACCAACCTGTACATGCTGTGCAATTTCAAAAACCATCTCTTGTCCAATGAGCTTAGAAGTTAATATTTCTAGCTCTTGTTGTAGTTGAGAAATATCACTTGTAGAGAGGCCTTTGCTTTTCTTTACCTCTAGTTTTGGCACTCTTATGGAAAAAGAATTTTACTTTAATACAATACCTCATTGCAATGTACGAAAAACCAACATACATTCATAAAAACCAAATTACTTCTCCGGGTAAAGACGACAGCATGATACATGAAGGTGAATTTGGGCATGGATTTCTTTGACACCGGAGCTTCCTTGTTGTGGAGTGAGGTTGAGTATAAAATCAAGGGGCTGCCAAACATCATTTTCAGATGGGTTTCGTAGATCTTCCAATTCATCACCAAATATGGCCTGTAACATTAACAATTCACAAGAATGGCGAATAAAATTGTCAAATAAATGCACTAGGGACAAATTGATCTGACTAAAAACGTGTCTGATATTCGTGATGCTGACACATTGCTAGCGTTCGAGTTAGTTTTATTTTATTGGGAATAAAAGGTGTTTACATACAACTGTTTATAACCTCGAAAAGCATGACCCTTCGTGTGACACTAACCTTAAGAGCATTTACTTCATTTTCTTGTCTCTCTAGCCTTATTTCAGAGTCGTCTAGCACAGACATTTTAATTCCGTGTCAATCATTTTGGAAAAAGCAGTAAAACCAATAATGTTTTGTTTAGAGTCCTGTCGTTCGCCGTCGTGTCGGGGAAGTCCGACTTCAGGGAGGAATAGCCGATCTAGCCGATGCTCTGCTGTGACGTCATGACGAGTGGTTGTGGCGGGAACGACAAAAAGACGCCTCGCACGCCTTTGATCTCTGTTTGCTTTGGATTTGTGGGCTGGATTATTGGGTACTGCAGCATGAATGCCGAACGGTTCTAGGAGCAACGCGAAAATTCAGTTACGTTCCACTCAGTTTATTGTACAAAGTATACGTATAAAATGTTACAGAGCAGAAATCCGCGTAGAACATAATGGCCGCTTTAACAAAATATTTGATTTCATGTAATCTTCCTGAGGGAAGACAACCCTTGGTTTGGCACAGCATGTTAAATATAATTTATTGTACAGATGGAGTTTATTTTCATTTTATATAAACCACAGGCTGGGGAATTCCCTAGTCGACTTCTTCCACAGTGGGTCCCTTGCCACCCGCCCCCGCCCCAGCCCCCGCACCACCACCTGCGCCCTGGTGCAGCTTGAGCATGATGGGGCCCACATCGGCCTGGAGCTCCTTAAGCTTGGCCTCGAACTCGTCCTTCTCGGCAAGCGTGTTGGAGTCCAGCCAGGACAAAACCGCGCCGCACTTGGCCGACACGGTCTTCTTGTCGTCGTCGCTGAGCTTGCCCGCCGCCGCGTCCTCGGCCGCCTGCTTCACGCCGAACGTGTAGCTCTCGAGGGCGTTCCGCGCCGCGACTCGCTCGCGTTGCTTATCGTCCTCGTCGCGGTACTTCTCGGCCTCCGCCAGCATGCGCTCGATTTCGCTCTTGGACAGGCGACCCTTGTCGTTCTGGATAGTGATGCTCTCGGAGCGGCCCGTGCTCGTGTCCTTGGCCGACACGTTGAGGATGCCGTTGGCGTCGATGTTGAAGGTCACCTCGATCTTGGGCACGCCGCGGGGTGCGGGCGGGATGCCCGTCAAGTTGAACGTACCGAGGAGGTTGTTGTCCTTAGTCATGGCGCGCTCGCCCTCGTACACCTACACAGAACACCGCGTCAATGCTGGCCAGTCACCTCGCAAGCCGCCGAGTGATAAGCCCTCGGTCCCGCCGCGCTCACCTGGATGTTGACGGACGGCTGGTTGTCCGAGTAGGTGGTGAAGGTCTGCTGCTGCTTGCACGGAATGCGGCTGTTGCGCTCCACCAGCTTGGTCATGACGCCGCCCGCCGTCTCGATGCCGAGCGAGAGGGGCGCCACGTCCACGAGCAGCACGTCCTGGATCTGCGAGGACGTGTCTCCGGACAGGATGGCCGCCTGCACCGCCGCGCCGTACGCCACCGCCTCGTCGGGGTTGATGGACAGGTTGAGCGCCTTCCCGCAGAAGAAGTCCTGGAACAGAGAGGAGGCGATGAGTGAACCGCACCTTTCCGTCGGCCCTGCTCGGGGGGCCTGGGGGCTTGACCACTACAGCTACGTGCCTGCAGCATCTTCTGGATCTTGGGGATGCGGATGGAGCCGCCCACCAGCACCACGTCGTGGATGGCCGTCTTGTCCATCTTGGCGTCCTGGAGCGACCTCTCCACCGGGGCGAGCGTGGACCGGAACAGGTCCATGCACAGCTCCTCGAAGCGGGCGCGCGTGATCTTGGAGTAGAAGTCGACGCCGTCGTGCAGCGCGTCGATCTCGATGGAGGCTTCCGTGCTGGATGACAGCGTGCGCTTGGCGCGCTCGCACGCGGTGCGCAGGCGTCGCAGCGCACGTGTGTTGCCGCGCAGGTCCTTCTTGAACTTGCGCTGGAAGTCGTCGGCGAAGTGCGTCACGAGGCGGTTGTCGAAGTCTTCGCCTCCGAGGTGGGTGTCTCCCGCGGTGGACTTGACCTCGAACAGGGCGCCCTCGTCGATGGTGAGCACGGAGACGTCGAAGGTGCCGCCACCCAGGTCGAAGATGAGGACATTACGCTCGCCCTTGAGGTTCTTGTCGAGCCCGTAGGCGAGGGCTGCGGCGGTGGGCTCGTTGATGATCCGGAGCACGTTGAGGCCCGCGATGGCACCTGTGTGGGCAGAGAACAGGATCAGGATCAGTGCGCCAAGAAAGCAAACCCGGCAGGATAAAAAACGGAGACATAGACCGAACGACGGACGACGTACCGGCGTCTTTAGTAGCTTGTCGCTGGCTGTCATTGAAGTACGCCGGGACGGTGACCACGGCGTCAGAAACCTTGCCGCCCAGGTACGTCTCGGCGATCTCCCTCATCTTGGTCAGCACCATAGAGCTCACCTCCTCGGGCGCGAACGTTTTCTGCTCGCCTTTGTACTCGACCTAGACCAGCAAGCGCCAGCAAGGGTGTCAATGTGAGTATATCCCATCTCGTCATTTCGCACTCCGTGTCTGCAGCACGCACCGTGATCTTGGGCTTGCCGCCGTCGTTGACTACGGTGAACGGCCAGTGCTTCATATCCGCCTGGATCTTGGGGTCGTCGAAGCGCCGGCCGATGAGTCGCTTGGCGTCGAACACCGTGTTCTTGGGGTTCATCGCCACCTGCAAACACACGGAGTGTCACACCGTGGCCACAACAAGGGGCTCCGCTGTCGCGCAGTCAACGCTGCCACCTTCAGTGGGCCGCCCGGCAGCTAGGCCACCAGTGGGGCGCGACGCACCGCGCCGCGGCGGGGTGCCTACCCCACAGGCGGGCCGCCCGGCAGCTAGGCCACCAGAGGAACGCAACGCACCGCGCCGCGGCGGGGTGCCTACCCCACATTACCATTACCATTAAGGGCTAGACCACACATGGTCGTAGGCGGGCCACCCTGCCGACCGGCCGCAACATGTCTGCGGTTGGGCTGGGCCGCCAACCAAGCCTCTCAACATAGCTCTAACGCGGCGTTCGCCTGGATGGCATTCCGGAGCACTCGTACCCGCGGCCATGCGCGCCATGTGCGCGGCGCGCGGCCCGGCGGGGGGCAAGCACGTCGACGGCGGGCTCGCGGGTTCAACGGGCTGTCAAAGGGCTGCTGTATTTGGCAGGGTTCGCCGGACCGGGGTGAGGCGCGGCGCGCGGTGCCCCGCCAGAGAAAAAGCCAGGACAGCTGTGGGACTGCAGGGGAAGCGTCCCGCCGAGCGTCCCGCGGAGAGGAAGGAAAGGAGGGGGCTGCCTCCTGCACCCGCGCCTAACGCCATATGTGGGCATCGCTCCGCTTGGCTCCGCGTGGCTCAGCTTGGCTCCGCTTGCTTTGCCAGACAGTCGCGTCGTCGCATTGGGTCAGTCACTCACTGGTCTGCTCACTCTCTTATCCCGCGTGGCGTTTTTGTGCGAGTTGACAGGAAGTCAAGTGGCCGTGCCGCGCCGCGCCGCGCCGTGCCACGCCGTGCCGTCCCCTTATGGAGCCGGAGGTGTTTCTCCTTGTCTCGACTCGATGATGAAGCAGCGAGCCACGCGGCCGTGCGAGCAGCGAGCAGCCAGCGCCTCCATTGCGTGCGCCAGACACCCAATTATTTTCGCGACCTGCCAATCATTAGGGCCGTCGACGTTGATGGCCGCTGTGGGCGAGGCGGGGAAGGAGGGAGGGGGCGCTTCCAAAGGAGGACTGCGATGAAGTCGCGACAGTTTATCATTTGGGTCTGGGTGTCCGGGGGCCGGGACCGCCCTGCGCGGCCCGCGCGGCCTGCGCCCGTCTCCCGCCCGAGACGTGTTCTTGCGCGTTCACGGAATCTCTCGCTCTCGGGCATCGCCACGCTCGCCTCAGCGCCTCGTCGCGATGCGTCCCGCTGGTCCAGCTTTGCTCTCGCGGCGTCCCATGCGTTCGTCGCCACGGCGTGCGCGCGCCCTTCTCGGAACGCGCAGCTCGTCGTCTTTCCTTGCCTTTCCTGGCCTTCCCTGGCCTTCCCTGTCTGTCCCCGGGACCCAAAAACAAAGGGCCCCCGTCCTCGTCTCCGACACTCTGCCCTTCGCCAGGCCCACCCCGCCCCGCCCGTTGCCGCGAATTGCCGGCCCACAACGCAGGCATCGCCAGGGCATCACCGAGGCATCGCCCCATGCCTTTCCGGGCTGCTGGTGACGCAACGCAACGCCCGGCCCGGCCTGGCGTAGCCTAGCGGCCTGACGCGTGGGCCGCGGGCTCCGGGCACGGCAGAGGTAGACAGTAGGCTCCTCTACTGGAAGTGCCTCTAGGTCCACCTCAACGGAAGAAAAATGCTCTCGAGTCAAAGAAATTCAGAAAAATGCTGAGGTAGCCCGGCACCTCTACACTGGAAACACCTCCAATTATTTTTAGCTATTTTCCGGGTCCAGAGTTGTTTGTAATAACATTTGTAACATGTCACTGACGGGTCGGCAGGCCGCCGCCCAGGGCTGAGGAGCGGTGCTGCCGCTAGCCTTCCCTGCCCCTGCCGGCGTCCGCAAGCGAGCCGCAAGCGACCGCCCGCAGGCCGCGGAGACGAGGCGGCGATGCGGCTGTCGCGTCGCTTCCTTCCTGCCTTCACGCTTTCGAGGCCAGGTCGCCAGGTGTCAGGCAGAACGCGACCCACGACACGGCCCCGGCACAATGCCTCCATAATGCGACTGTCGGGTCGGGCCGGCCGCTGTGCCAGCCACCCTGGCGGTGGCCGTGCCGCCGCGGCCCACTGCACGGCGGCTGGACGCTGGAGGGCTGGACGCTGGAGGGCTGGACGCTGGAGGGCTGGACGCTGGAGGGCTGGACGTGGAGCCCAGTTAACAGTTTCCACACAGTGTCGCACGTATCACGCACCGACGGGGCCGACGGGGCGGGCGTCTCCTTTTTTTCCTTCTTCCCCGCCGTCTTAATCTGGCGCTACGCTGCGCTGCACGTACGCAGTAATCCGCCGCGAGCACGCCGATAAACCCCATCGACTTGCCACCGCGCACCGCGCGCACCGCGTGCCGCGTTCCGCCGCGTTCGGCGCAATTGAGTGTCGCCGTGATGACATCGCCATGAAAGGCGTGCGCGCGGAGGGGAGCCGGAGAAAGAAAAGCAGGCCGGGCCGGGCGGGGCGGGGCGGGGCCGCCGCGGGCACGGCGAGGTCCACATGGTACTTGGTGGTGGCTGGCGGCCAGTGCGGCGGTCCGAACCAACGGAAACGGGCAGTGTTCGGTTGCCTAGATACAGGGGGCTGCTTTCTTTCCTGACGCCCCAAAGGCCCCTCCCTCGGCGCCCCTCGCCCCAGTGGGCCAGTGGGGGAAAGAAACGCCTGATGACACGGCCGTATGTCTGCCAAGACGTGTCGTTCACGCCGCTTAGTGTAAGGCGGCCCGGCGGCCCTGCGGGCGGGCTGTGGTGGCTGTGGTGGTCCGCGTGCCTGCGATCCGCAGGGAAGGCCCCCCCCCCTTCCCCGCCGCGAGCGCCACGCGAAGCGCGCCTTATTTGTTTAGTTGCCCGTCCGACTCGGTCGACTCGGCCCGACTTGACGCGGACCGCGGACGGCAATGAGTCATGCCGCGGAGTCCCGCGCTAAGCTTCGGGGAGGACCGCGGGCACCCCGTCGTAGGCGAGGCGGGGAAAGCCTTCATGACTGGCCGGGGTAACAACTGACCTGGCTCTTGGCGGCGTCCCCGATGAGCCGCTCCGAGTCCGTGAAGGCGACGTAGCTGGGCGTGGTGCGGTTGCCCTGGTCGTTGGCGATGATCTCCACCTTGCCGTGCTGCCACACGCCCACGCACGAGTACGTGGTGCCCAGGTCGATGCCCACGGCGGGCGCGTTCTTCCCCGGCATGATGTCCTGCAACAACAAAGGGAAGGACGAAGCTGACGCGTGGTCCCAGACAAGAGGCAGACAATTTGTCGTCCTTCAAATCGCAGACCGCCGTGGCATACTTTGAACGCGGCCGCCGAGCGCGGCAAAAATCTTCGCAAAGTTGTGAAACTCTTGAGGCTACGCTATTACGCCGCGCTACCCCGGCAGTGCCCGCCCCGCGAAGCGCGAAGCAGACGGACTGTAAATATCGTTGCGGGCAAAATGTTGGTGTAGGCCCTGCTTGCCTTGCTTGCCCTGCTTACGCCGTTGTGTCTGAAATAGAACTTGATATTAGATTTGGCGCCAAGGGGCGGTGGCTGCGTACGTCCGCGCGAATGCTCCCCAACTTTGCCGCCGCCAAGGGAAACGCCGTCCGCAGTCCGGGCCAGCGTCGCCAGCGTGCATTCCCTGGTATGGCCGCATGCCGGGGCAATGCAGGCAATACAGGCGCGGGGAGGCGGGCTTGGGTACCCGGGGTGCCGCCCCAACAATGTAGCCTTGGGGACGGCCTCGCGGCCTCGGTGTTGGCGGCGAGGATGCGCGCCGTTCTGCCGTTCTGCCGTTCATAAGCATGGCTTTTGTTTTGTCGTTTTGCCGGGTGGCCGTCCGTTTGCCATGGCGGTGTGTGCCACACTGTGTGGTGCCCCGCGCCTCGTGCTCCGCGCAGGCATTCGGCAAAAATAGTGCGCGTGTCAGCGCCGGGCTGCGCCGGGCGGGGTGACGGCACGAAGCGTGGGAGTGAGTGAGAGCGCCGTGCCGCCGTGCGTCAAGCGGTGCGTGCGGCAGAGCGGCAGAGCGGCACGCGTGCAGCGCCAAGTAGATCACCTTGACCGCCACCCTTCCTCGCACATTGATTCATAGTTTCGAGATTACTCCGATTGCCCCGCAGAAAATCCGACCCCAAAATAGTCATTCTGCACCCTCTGCACACCCGCGCGCGCGCACACACACACACGACTTGTTGTTGTTTACTCGTGAATCTAGATTTCCTATTTTCGTGCGTCGCCATCAAGCCCCCGACGACGCGAGCCGGTCGTTGAGGGACTTCGAGGAGGCCCTGCAGCAAGCAGTGGCGTAGGTGCTGGCTCCCCCTCCCCTCCCCGAACACCCCTCGCCCGCGGCCAACTCATTCACACGACACCAACAAACTCCGCGATATTTTTGCTTCCCCCCACACCGCAACACATACAAACTCGGCCAAAGACAGGAGCCGGCGGACCGGGGAGCGTTGCCATGTGTCGAGGCCGAAAGCCTCTCGGAAAGCCTCGGCCCGGGACTTACTGGGGCGTCCGTCACCGTCGTTAAGGTGATGCGTGAGGTTGAGAGTGGAGGCAGATTAAGGCGCCGGCATGACACGACGCCCCCGCAGCAGTCGCGGACTTCACCTAAGGAGCGCTAGAAGGCCTCTTTCGCTTCTATCAAAACTCACTGGCAGCGGAAGACGCTGACTTGTCCTCCGACCTCCCAATTCACTAGAGCAGTTCGTCCACGGCCGTGTCGTCGTCGTCGTCCTGGGGCGTCGCACCTTACCTGTGGCGTTTGCGCGGCGGCCGAGTTGAACCGGGTCTGCAGTTCGACTGATCCAGGACCTCGGCTGAGCGCCGCGCCGTGGACACGTCTCGCCCTGCCCACGCCCCTTTCCCCCTCCCGTTCTGTCCTGTTCATCTTCCGTCTCTCTCCTGCAGTACCAAACTTCTCCCCCTCCCCGCCTTAGCTCCTTCTTCTCTCAAGTCTCCTTTCTGCTCACCTTTCCTTGGTTGCTTTCATGGAGAAATGCATTTAAATGTAACGCATGAACGCGTGTTCGCGGACCCACCCGGGAAGAGGGTCTGTTTCCTCTCCACGTGAGGGCTTGCGCGGTTCGATTCGAAATGCCCGCGCTCGGTAGCCTCGCAGATGGCGCCACTTCCGAGCGCGCGCTACAGTGGTTTGTTGGTTAGGTTGGCAGCAGCGTTTCTTTGTGAGCTTTGCGAACTTTCTGTTCGTGGAGGTTGGCAGCGTTTCAAGTAGGATAGTGAAGATGGCAGCAACAATGTTCGGGAACCAAGATTGGGGAGGATTTTCAATGATTTTGTTAACAACGTTTCTAGTTTTAGGGTTTTCAAATTTCGGTAAGTGCTCACAAGCGTGTCTTGGTGCTCGGTTATTTGTTTCAGCGTGACTAGGCCTCCTAGTTTGGGCGTCCTCGCGTTTCGCCAATGTTGTTGTCGTCTAGGCTTTCTTTGGTCCCGTTGTTCAGCATTGTCCTAATAACGCATTCAAGTCCTTCTGAGACACGTAATTTTATTGTATTGCATTTACCACGTTCATTGCGAAAAATCGGTTTTGATGGTTACATTTAACCTCTACAGTCGTTTTGATTTACACCATTAACTTGATCTTGAAACTGTGTATATTTAGTCAAATTTGTGTTCCTTTTTTATTTTTGTTAGTCTTTTTATATCTAGTCTTTGCCATCAGTTAATGAAAACCTTTCTGTTCTGTGTTCTGATTTCTTTTTTCTCACCATTTACCAGTTTCCAGTAATATAATATGACTTGTCTGTTCAATGGCACGGCTGAGGTGTAGCTAATTGAATGAAAGTTTGTTGCCCGAAAGTAAAACTTAGTAAGCATCCATCATCACCATTTCTTTTTTATCTCCACATCATTGTGGCTTTCATGTGTTCTTTGTTTTGCTGGTTAAGCGCACCATCGACTCATCAGCTTGTGAGAAATCATCAGTTTTATTACTTTATTTTTTATTTTATTTTTGTTTCTTGATATACTTATATATGGCTGAGCTATAGAATAATCTGAATGACCTAAAGATTTCATACTATAAATAACGCTCTGATCATTCAATGTAATATTTTATTGCTGGTGCAAGAAATCATGCAGCCGGAGTGTTACTGGTATTCGATCAACTGATGTTTAAGAGTTATTCATCTAATTTCATGTCTGCACTTTCCCCTTATTGCTAATATTATTACGGGATAGCGAGTGGTAGAGAATGCACACCTATTGGTGTCCTTTTCGGAGACATAGGTTGGTTGCAACTGCAGACAGGAACAAGCTGCAGTGATGCGCCGCACTCCGCAGCCGCAACAGATGTCGATGCAGCAGCGCCCACGGCGGCAGACAAACCGGCTCGGCTCGGCGGTGCAGTGCCCCCTTGTGCCCCTGGCTTGGCTCGGCTTGTCTCGACTCGACTCTGCTCGGCTCGTCCCTGGCGCCGCACCGCCGCCCGCCACGCGGCCCTGCCCGCCTTCCCCGCCCCCTCCCCCTCCCCCACTCCCCGCCTCGCCCTCGCCACAAGGCCGCAAAGGTGCAGGATGTGCAGGGTGCACGAGCGTCCTGCCCTGGGTCCTTACCTCCTTGGCGTCAAGGCCTCATCGCAGGTTCATCTTTTTATGTTGGGTCTTTTGCTGCTCCGTGGCCTAGTTTGGCGTGCCGCGCCGCTCCAGACGCAAGGAGGTTTTCCCTGGTTACTCTTGTCAGCATTTCTCCACCCCGGTCCCCTCCCGACTCCCGAGTGCCGTGGCCGTGCCTCCATTGCCGCGGGCAAGTGGCGCCGCTGCGGCGCCGCCGAGCCGCGGCTCTCCGCCGCGGCCACGCCGTGCCACGCCGTGCCATCAGATGAGCCGGCCGGTGAACCCGCGGCACCAGTGCTAGGAGTCACCCATGCTGCGTGCTGCGTGCTGGGGGCATCGACGCGAATAAAATGGTCCAAAAGGCCAGCGTGCCTCTGTTCGCGTCGTTGGCGGCCAGCGGAGTATCGCTGACCGCAGACCTGGCCTTCCCCCGACCGCGGTGGCCGTGCCTCTGGCTTCGCTTAGCTTCGCTTTCTCTGTGTGACCCGCCCTGGGAGCTCTGCTTACTGGATCTGCACTGCTTCCAATGCATACAGGACTAGACTAGACTGACTAGAGGAGGGACAAGAGATCAGTGGGCTGTCTTACCCAGTCTTACCTCTCCCCGGCCCCCTTTTACCCCCTGTCGCGCCCTCATCTGCCTTGCGGCGTAGGGGTGCGCTAACGGGACTGGACTACCTTTTGGCTCGGAGACGGACATGAAATTCTTTGTCACGTGCACCAGCACAGCAAGCAAAGCGGTTGCAGGAATTATTTTGCAAAAATAGGAAACAGACGGTGGGCGTTTTGATGCACGCCTGCCCCGGGGTGACGCGGAACCCACTGACCTCGCGAGGGGCTCAACTTGGATTACAGCTTTCCGCTCAAACATGACAAAATATGACGGGGAGTGTGGAAAGTCCACGCTATGTTCTTTTCAAGCAATTTCTTCTTTTCTATTTGCAGGCAATGCTTTGATTTGCTACTGTGAAGGAAGTTGCCCTAATCATGAAGTCAATGGTACCTGCATTGCTCCACCAAAAAGCTTCTGCTTTGTATCAATGTCGGAAGTTATCACCCCAGAAAATACCATTGAGGTTGAATATACTTATGGATGTCTGCCCTCTGATGAGAGGGCACAGATGCAGGTAATACAAGTAACAAAATTAAATCGAGGTCCATTCCTAGCATAATAAGGACAACAGTATATCAATGTTGTATGTTACAGTGCAAAGGGAACCACGTTCCACATTACATTCGGAAGTCCATAGCATGTTGCAATGATAAGGATGAGTGCAACTATGGGCTACACCCTCCACCTTTCCGTCCTAGAACTACCACTCCTCTTCCTGACCTTGGCATTCCAGATAGTTCTATGCCTTATGTTGCATTGTTTTTGTCCGTGATCATCTGTTTCATACTGCTGGCGGTGCTAATTGGCTTCCTTTGGCTCTGGTGAGTGCAACCAACATAATTTTAACATCAGAAATCATTTATTTATTTCATTATTGATCTGATTACAAATTTTGTTTTAGGTACAAACGACGGGAAGTTCAGTTGAAGAAGAAACTGATGCAGAATAGCAGTCGAAATCTATACCTCACAAGTAACGGTACCCTTCATGATCTTATGGAACAGAGTTCTGGTTCAGGCTCAGGCCTTCCACTTTTGGTATGTTTTTTTTTTTTTTTTTAAGTTATTTGAATGTTAGTCAGTAGTTTTGGGTTTTTCTTTAAAAATGTTCTATACTACTTATTTTCTTTTTCTCTTATTTCAGGTCCAACGAACAATAGCAAAGCAGTTGCAAATGGTAAAGTCAGTTGGAAAGGGAAGATATGGCGAAGTTTGGCTGGCAACATGGAGGGGTGAACCTGTGGCTGTGAAAGTTTTCTTTACCACTGAAGAAGCAAGTTGGTTTAGAGAAACCAATATATACCAAACTGTTCTCATGAGGCATGAAAATATTTTGGGTAAGGAAAGAGAGCCTGTTCTGCTTACTTACTTCTGGAGGTCCTGAAGAATCAAATACAGGAATTGAATTGTTTACTTTTGTCTTTTAGGTTTCATTGCAGCTGACATAAAGGGTACAGGAACCTGGACACAAATGCTGCTCATAACTGATTATCATGAGAGAGGGTCTCTCCATGATTATCTGCAAACCAATGTTCTGGATTCATCTTCTCTTCTCTCTATGGCATTGTCAATAGCCAGTGGTTTGACTCACCTGCACACTGAAATTTTTGGAACTAAGGGAAAGCCTGCCATTTCTCACAGAGACATCAAGAGCAAAAATATTCTTGTAAAAAATGATGGTCAATGTGCCATTGCTGATTTTGGGCTGGCTGTAAGATATAATAGGTTTGTATTCCTCCTTATTCACCAGAATACCGTATATTTGTTGTCCTTCAGCACAAGGAAAGATCAATTTTTACCAACATAATTTTCTTTATCTCAGTGAGCGAGATGAGATCAATATTGCACCAAATGCTCGTGTTGGTACTCGAAGGTATATGGCACCAGAGCACTGGATGAATCCCTGGACACATCATCATTTGAAGCTTTCAAAATGGCTGATATGTATTCGTTTGGTCTTGTACTGTGGGAGCTTGGCCGTCGCACAGTAACAGGAGACAAACAAACAGTTGTAGATGATTATCGATTACCCTATTGGGATTGTGTGCCAAGTGACCCATCATTTGAAGATATGAAGGATGTTGTATGCCACAAAAAGATTCGTCCTCCTTTACCTTCCAGATGGCAATCAGAAGAGGTATGTCGTTAATGGCTCTATAAATGACCAAATAAATAGAAAATCGCAAATTGATCTATTGAATTAGAACTTATTTGTCTTTTCTTTTTGCTGCAGGTCCTGAAAACCTTAGGAAAAGTTATGCAAGAGTGTTGGCATCCTCATCCAGGGGTTCGACTCACTTCTCTAAGAGTGAAAAAGACTCTTGGTAAACTATGTGCCAGCAACACCTACAAAATAGTGTAGACGTTTGCTATGTTAGTTTTATATTTCATCCTGTCCAGATTCAAAATACAACCAAAGCAGACATCTGCTTTTACTCAATTTTATTGTTATGACCAGTGAAAGACAAAGTTTATCATATGTTTTGGTGTTAAACATTTTATGACTAAAAGAAACTCATTCAATCATCTGTAGAAATGTGTAAATTATTGATTGTAAAGTACTGTTAGTTAAGTGTATATTTTATAAGGGTGTATAAAGTTTTTTGACGGATTTTATGTTAGTATATGTACATATGTATGTGTGTCGTGTCAGTGCGAGAAACAGAAGTTCTGTTAAATATGTCTTGGCGATAGCTTTTAGTTTTACATGCCCTTTGTTCAGGCTGGTAGCTATTCTTGGGCTGCCCTGACAGCGAAGCAGTCCGTCCATTAGTAGTACAAACCACATTTACCAAAATGGAACTTTTTGCTGATACTGTACTTATATTTCCCGTTCCCAATTATCAGTTCCATCACAGTTTTAGCTTCTGAACTGTTTGAATGGAGAAGGGGTTTAATTTCACTTGTATTTTTGAATGGAATAATTATAGTAATAATAATCAGGTGCATCTTAAACAAACATTTCTTTCTGTAAACTTCATGAATTTAAGGGCTTGGGTATCCACTAAAGCTCATTTACTAATTCTGTTCCTCCAATGAATGAAACGTTTTCGTATAGAATTAAGCTGTAGGTGATGCAGAAACAGCAATTTTTTAAAATTTGGTTGGCCTATTCCCTTCTCAGTGAGCTCACATCTCAACTGAGTACCACTATTATTTTGTGTTTATTATATCAAGTATTACTTACCAGCAATAATGCTCAAACTAATTTTATTCTTGTTATGTTGTTGTACACTATATCATCCATTTTCTCTGTAGAGACTTGAGATTTTTCCTCATCATATCTTCATTTCAATATTGCTTTGTTTATATGAATCATCCCCATCCCCTGCAACTTAAGCGCTTCAGTTTTGTTTATTTTAAGGAGAACTTCCTCTTCGATATCAGGAAAATTGATGCCTCTTTTTCTAATTTAACAAACTTGGCTTTGGTCATGAATAATTTTACTGGTTTTCTGATTGCTTTTGATCTACAAGTCATCATTCCAGGTGTCTTGGTGTTGACTACTTAAAATTGAAATATGGCCTATGTGTCAAAAAGACAAAAATGTGCACAATAAATAATGCTGTGATATAGTTTGCTCGGGCAGGGGGGTAAGATTACTTACTTTCTTTATGACATCCTTGTTAAAAATTGTATGCCTCCTATTCTTTCTGTGGTTCCTTTAGTCAACAGTAGTTTTCTAGCTCAAAATGTAAACGTTTCCTTTGCATTTTTTTAAATACTTCATTTGGAATTATGGCAGGTACTTGAAGATGACCTCAACCCTCATACTACATATTTATGCGCGTATGTTAAGTTGCTGGTCTTATTGTTTAGTTAACTCATTATTTGCTTTGTGCTCATCTCTTTTTGATGTGTTGAAGCATTGCTGTTGTTGGTTTGCTATCATATAAATTTCAGGTGAGCTTGGCAAGCTCATGTGATTTAAGGAGAATTACTTGTTCTTATTTTAAAATGCCAATCATAAAGAAAGAGGTATTATATATGTATTCAGTGACGAAACTATTGTATTTTGATATTCCATGAATTATCTACGATTATCCCACTTAGACTTTTACATTGGCTGGAAACTACTCTGTGTGTTTCTACCTTGGTTCAAGTGTATAAAAATGTGTCAAACAGAAATTATGTTGCCATCAAATCCTTTTTGCAGCCATCATGCGAATTTTTTGAGAATTTTTTGTTTTGGACTGGCATGGCTGTAAGAAATAGATGAGAAGATGTGATTGTATTTGTGTTCAACTCAAAGTACCTATTTTTTAAAAAAAAAATCAAAACAACAAGAACAAAAAACAGCTAACAAACAAGAAACGAATAAAAAGTCTAAATTGCTAAGATGAAAAATGTCAAGTTATTTACCAGCAAGTACAATATTTTGACAAAGACTGATGCTGTTTAAAGGCTTAGGAACTTACTTCAGCAATATCGATGTTAAGCCATTTCAATGGAAGCAATTGTTGCTTGAACTCTGATCTAGTGTGTATGTGTGTAGTTTGAATGTAACTTTCAGTAATGAATTGTACACGGTTTTTCTATCTACTTTATAATTTTCTAAGAAGAATGCCAGAGTTCTGATGAGCTTTATTTAAGATTCAAAGCAACTTTTATGAATTTGATATGTATTCTCAGTTGAGCAATCGAGTGACCATGCTCAAAGGTAGTCGGCATGTACAGTGTGAAAGGTGAGGGCTGTGTTCATTGTAAGACAAAAGCACCTTCTTACACGCCAATAAGTATGGTTGGTTTAAAATCCCAGTGGTGTGCAATAAAGTTATGTGAAATGTTCCCTCGCTTTTACCTATTAGTTGAAGTTTCATTTAATGTGCATTTGTCGCTTCTGCACTTCCCTAATTTTGACAGTCGTTTAAAAAAAATACACTTGTGTTGAGAAACATGTGTAGATTCAACTATACTTGGCTGACTGACCATTGTGATTGAGTGCACAGTATATTTATTTTACTGTTAGTGTTCTGTTTTTTTGTATTGATTCCCCCTCTTGTGTGGAACAACTGCAGTTCAATGACTTAATTACTCTGCTTCCATGCATCAGTTTAAAATATGAAGAGGATATTTAAGACTTTTGTGCCATAAAGATCTGATATTATTATTCTTAATCATCCTTGTTTATTTTTGAGGACTTGATAATATAGCAACTTCATTTTATTATCTCATCTCCAGGAAATTTCATTTTAGCAAGGCCTTAGAAATTTGTGTACCACTTAAATGTTGCTTACAGTAGGTCGCCATTAATCGTATCCTGTTATCATCCAGTTTGTTAATTATTTACCCTTCAGTATTTGGTTTTTATATTTGCTATATGCTGTAGTTGGTTGCTGACAAACTAAGAATCAACATATTCAACTGCTAATCGTAGGCATATCATATGTTCATTATCAGAGTTAAAAGCCAGCAAGTGGTTGAACCACTGTTTACTCCTGTCAAATTCATCTAAAAACGCTTGAAGAGTAGTGAAAAGGTTGGCTCATGTGTAAATGTTTGTGTTTTAGAAGTTAAATAAAATTCACATCCTAAATAGTTATTGTTTCTTCATTCATTCAAATATCTCATTTTTGAAGGCTCGCGCTTGGGGAGCCGAACGGAGTCGGAGCGGCTGCGCGCTGCGAATAACCTAGTACTGAGAGTGCGAATAAGGCAGCGCTCTACGCCGTAGTCGCACGATATGGCTATGTTTTCACAAAATAAACAGCGAGTATGGACCGATTTCATAGAAAATGCTGAAAACTACACGATGACGGATTGACTTTACGCCCACTCTAGTCACAATCCAAGCTCTTTTAGTATTTGCCCTTTTTTTGGGTGCAGCTGGACGTTTTATCGAAACTGAATAATTTCACTTAAAGTGGGGTGTAACGATTCTAACCCTAGCTATCGCATATCAAAAGTACACATTACCAAAATGTCTTCAGACGACGAAGATTTAGCGTTCTACGGTACCCCATTGGATCCCATTGAAGAAGGTATAGTTCTTCAAACGAGAGGTATGTGATGCATCATGACAAATATTTTGACACTGTTGTTGTCTTGCAGATGCGATTCCTAGTAAAAAGCCAACTCCCATTGAGGAACAAGAGGTACGAGACAAGTATGGACGTAGAAGATTCCATGGAGCTTTTACCGGAGGATTCTCAGCAGGATACTTTAATAGCGTTGGCTCAGAAGAGGGGTGGACACCATCCGCTTTTAAGTCTTCACGCTCTGAAAAGGCGACTTCACAGTTCCAAAAACCGGAAGATTTTATGGATGATGAAGTATGTAGCATGTAGTTTACTGCTCTATTATGTGCCTAAGAAAATTAATCTTACACAGCTGGATATGTGCTCATTCTCAGGATACAGGTGAATTTGGTATTGCTCCAAAAGTTCTACGAGCAACTTCTGATTATAAGCAGAGCTCATCTCGCAAAAGACATCTCATGAATTTATCAACCGGACCTATTCCTGGTCAACCAGTTCTTAGAGACATTTTGCAACCAGCCAAGTAAGTATTTATGTCAAACATACCTTTATTAATTCCTCAATTGCTCAATCTTCCTGTTTAAAAAAACTTCTTCTTTCTGTTTGCAGAGAAACTGTTGGAGTCCGCTTGTTAAGAAGTATGGGATGGCGTCCAGGCCAAGGTGTGGGCCCACGTCTAAATCATCAGCAGAAGAAAACTCAACAGCGAGAGATTAGGAAGGCTTCTAAAAAAGTATATGGATGTCAGTTGTTACCCCAAAACACTTCAGCAAACAGTGAAAATGATTCATCTGATGAATCAGATAGTGAATTGAAATCCATCACTTTTGCACCTGATGACTATGAAGCATTTATTGTTAAAACTAAAGATGATGTGTTTGGAATTGGTTACAAGGGTCTTGATAAGAGGCCTGTTCTTTCTAAGCATGTTCAATTATTTGAACCATCTTACCTTGGAATGCAAGAGAAGAAGAAAAAAGTTGCAATTTGGGGACAGGTATGTGGGTTATAAATACTCCTTTTAACAAGTAAGTTGATTTTATTTATTTCTCAATTAATTTTCATGTATGCAGGCATTTGGGGTTGGGGCTCTTGAAGAAGATGATGAAGACATCTATTCAAGGGATGACATGTCCCAGTATGACTTTGCTTTGGAATCCAGTTCCATGATAGCTCAGCGGAAGAAGGAAGAACGAGCCTTGGAGAAGCGAGGGCATCTTGCATTGACTGCTCCTCGAGAAGCAGGGGCACCCCTAGAGGGCTTTATTCTTGGCAAGAATAAGCCGAACTCACAGAGAAAATTTTTCCGACCACCAGATCTACCTCCTGGGTTCAAGGCTTTCCATGAAACAAGAACATCAAGATGGGATGTGAACAGCAAAGGAGAAAAAGAAAATGTTGCAAAGAAACAAGGTCTTGGAAGGCATGATCTGGATGCAAGAGTAAGGTACAGGCACTTGGCTTTTTTGTGTGTATTTCATGGATAAGTTATATGAAATGCTTTAAAGTTAATAGTTTTGTTCTTTTGAATTTAACAGAGGGAGTATATTAGATGAGCCATTACCAAAACCCGCTGCACCTCCTACCAGTGATGTACGTCCACCAGTACCTCAAGTCTTATCAACATCGCTTGCACAGTCACCACTGATGGCTTCGTCTGACACTATCCCTTTAGCTGGAACTAGCTCATTTCGACCTTTCATATCTCAACCAGAAAAACAGGCTCGCTATGAGAGGTTTTTAGAACTCACTAAATATGGTCAGAGAGGTAAAATAACTGTTCCTGACAGTGTTTGTGTCCATTTTTTAAAAATTTGGATAGCCATATAATTAACAACTTTAAACTGAATGATTTTTGTTCAAATTTTAGATTTACTGCCCACAATTCAGCCTGCTTCTATGACTGAGTGGGACAAAGAACATGAAAGGAGTGAATTTGAACAAGCTGCTCGACTGTACAAACCATTAAGTGGCATCATGAATGACAGGTAGGATTTCAAACGTTTAGTTAATACATTACTTATCCTAATGTTCCTTTAATGAAACTCTGATCATTATTCTTTTTACATTTTATTTGTAATGTCTATGCTCACAGGTTTGTGTCAGCATCACAATCAGACGACAGTTTGAACCCACTCATTCCTGTAGAAAAAATGAAACATGGTAATGAGGAAATGCGAAATGCAGCCAAAATGAAATTATTTGGAAAACTAACTAGGACAAGAGGAAGTTGGCAACCTTGTGCTCTGTTGTGCAAAAGATTCAATGTTCCACAACCTTCTTGGTAAGAAGTGTTCAGTATCTTTTTTATCATTGCAATTTAATTTTTATTAAATGTATCTCAAGAAATAATGGTGTTTTTCTGTTTGTTTCTTTTTTTTATAAATATGATAACAGTCTTCCAGAAATGACTCAGCCAGGTCAACGCCCCAGCTCTTTTTCGGTGTTTGACTATCTAGAGGCCAGTTCTCATAACACCTCAGTGGAAGTCCAACATGTGGAGAAAGAAGACGCTTCTGACTGTATCCCAACTGTAGCAGAACACCCTTCAAGTTCTCAAGCAAAACAAGATAAGCCTGAGGATGATCTTAATGAAGGACCTGAAGCTACCAAGAAGGTTCACAACATTTCTGATACATTGGCAAGACTGCTAGCTGATGATACGGCAAGTTTCCTTCTATTGCATTTCTTGTCTTGTCTTTTTTTTCCTAACTCAGGAAATTGTTTTGACTTTAAATTCTTTTTACAGGGAAAGGAGCAGCCAGAACCTGAAGAGAAACCTGACCTGTTCAAAGCCATCTTCCTTTCAAGTAGTGAAGATTCTGAATCAGACTCTGAAGATGATACTGGTTCTCAAGCCAACACTGCTCTAGCAAAAAATATTTCCAAAGAGGATCTTGTTGCTCCTCGCAATCTATCACCACCAAGGGGTATATTTGCTAATCTTGACCTAGACGCTCTCAATACAAGACCTTCAGAAAAACAGGAAGAAAAGACCACCGTATCTGAAAGAGAAACTGGTGAAATACATCATTCCTTGATAAAAGATGATGCTCAAGGAGATGATATGATGTATGGTCCAAGACTACCGACAGCAACGCCGAAAATGAATGTTCCAAGTTCTTCTGACACATTTAAATCACATCGAAAAAGTGAGAGTGCCCTTTGGGTCGAGCGTAAAGTAAAAAGTGAAAATACAATTGCGTCAAGTGATTCTGATGATTCTTCATCATCAGGTAGTGATAAAAAGAAATTGTCTAAGAAGAAAAAACACAAAAAAGAAAAAAAGAAGAAAAAAGATAAGAGACATAAAAAGCACAAGTCCAAGCATAAAAGAAAATCTTGATTTGTCACTTTCTATTACACCGTATTGTAAACTCAATTCTGTGATTACTGATATGGATTTAAAAGACTTAGCATTGTAGTCATTTTGTCTCTTCCTTTTCTTTTCCTTCTAATGCCTTACTGAAAGAACACATTGTGGAAAATAGATGGCAAGCAACACTAATCCTCTACAGCATGCTGACAAGGACGATGAACAAAACAACGCCCCCGGGTGGGGTCGAACCACCAACCTTTCGGTTAACAGCCGAACGCGCTAACCATTGCGCCACGGAGGCATGTGTATCCACAGGTCCTTGCCGCAAAGGAATGATTCGTACTTTGCAAACAGTGCATCACCCAGGGAGCGAACACGCTGCCCGCGTGGCAGGCGAGAGTTCTGCTCAATTTTTTCTCTATCTTTGCTGAGAAAGTGTTGTATCCCAGTTTACTTGCCTGATGCTCTGATCACCGAGGTATTATCTATGAAGGCGGCGATAAGCCGGGTGAGAGAAAAAGTAAAAAGGGCTGTTGAGTTCATCAATCACTCTCAAAATTGAAGTCTAAGGCGGCATGTGTTGTCAAGTCCATTAGGCACATGTGTTCATCTTAGGAGTATTAAATTAAAAAAGCATTAAAAGTCAGAAATCACAAAAAAAGTCTTTAATTAAAAAGTCAGTTATAAGAAATAACATGACACATGACATAAATTATCAGGTAGTACAACCATATGGTACCATATTACCATATCATTTGGTATTGACAAAGTCTTCAGAGTGAAAGAAATCCCCGAAACAAGAACATAAATTACTCTTTAAATATTAATTTTTTTGATGGTAGTATGCTTTGACAGTATATTAATTACATTGACACAGCTTTATATAAATTAACAAATTGTTCAAGTAAACTGTCTTAGTTGAAAGAACCGTTTATTACTGCTTAAAAGTCTTCTACTCTCAGCCATGTACAGTTCTAGACATATTGTTTACAATACCAAAGCACAGCAAATGTAGACTAACATGACTTACGATGCCAATAGTGACTAGATGTCAGATAAAAGGGTTCCGTTGAACGTGGCGTCACAGCATTAGTGAGGATGGTGTGTTTGAATAACACAACACAGACTTTAACTTGTCAATAATGAAAGCAAATAGTCTTCAAAATTGATTGCTTCATCTGTGCATTAGGTCATTTTCTTTTGACAGAACAGAAGAAGACACTATTTATTAAGTGCTGTGAAACTAATACAGCATGTTTCTTATCAGGAGAGTGACAAGGGCAATAGTCAAAATTTATCTAGTTAAGCTGTCGAGTAAAATTGAGATAAGATTATCTCACCTATTACAAATTCAATGAATGGGTTGCAAGATTAATAAATCTTTACATGAGAAGATTGAATAATTAATGTCATATCTATATCACAAATATGAACTTAGTAAGTAGTGTAAACACAAAGAGTTCAAAACTGCCCAAAAGAGGCAGAACATTTAAAGTAAAAATATAGAGTTATCAACAAGATTGCTACTACATTGAAAATAATCGTCATATATTTGAATACTTTAAAGTAAAGGATAGGCAACAAATACGAGCATATTCAACATCTCTTGTACATTTAGCACAAATGTACAGCTAAAACTTCAAGAATATCACAACAAACCTGCATTCATTATTTTTTTAAATATTGTCAAGCGATACATGCAGAGTCACTTATACATGAGAAAACACAAGCAAAACAATTTTATCAGAACTCTGCAGCAGTACAGTGTAGATTGTAGGGCTATCGAGCACAAATCATTTAATTCATAAAGAAATCATTCAGTTCATTAAAACTAACACAAATCAAAAATCACATAACTGTCTCCTATTTGGTGTTAATGGAAACTGGAAATAGAAATTGCACATAAAAATGCAATAACAGCTACATAGAAAAGATGAAAAGAAAAAAAAATTCACAAAGACAGAAATTAAAAAATACACCACTTATCAATCAGTCAGTTTTTCCTGGAACAGTACAGCAGGAATGATTAAAGTTTTTATCTTACATTAAAAATAGGCGTATGCAGCGTAACCTGCATTCTCACTCAAGCCTTTGGCCTTGTTTCATAGGATCAACAATACGGTCTCAAAAATCAATAAGTTCACAGCCCTTTCGTTAGAAAAAAATAAAACGGGAGGAAATTAAAACACGAGATGTAGCCAGTTGGGCGGTATTTATGACTAGAAAGTGTCCGAGGTGTACGTGTGGACCGGCAGATGCTAACTACGTTGACTAGTCGGTCCAACTGGACGCTAGATGCTTGAAGGGCGCAGAAGCTACCGCAGCTACCGCACAGCCCAGTGCTGGGCACGCCATAGCAGCGCGCAGGTGCCGCTCGCGCTGTCGCTGCTGCTCAAGGTGGCCATGGTGTCGGTGTAGCGGCTGATGAGGCTGCGGTAGCCGCGGCCCACCGTGGCCACCAAGGGGTAGTCGGGGCCACCCTGGCCGAGGCCATGTCCCTGGCCCTTGCAATGCTCACCGAAGGACGGCCCCAGCCCGTTGCTGGGCGTGTTCTGGCCGAAGCCGGCGTCCGACGTGCTCCCTGTGCCGGAGGTCGAGTTGGAGTTGGACGAGGCCGACGCGGCAGACGCGGGGGTGGAGGAAGAAGAGACTTCGCTGAGGGAGCTCTCGGGCCGTGTGGCAGAGGCACCCTGACCGAGCCCCAGGGGCACGATGGCGCTCACCTCCTCCTCGAAGGGCCTGAACACGGTGATGGGCCGGAGAGTGGCGCGCTCCGCCACCACCACGCACCCCCACGTTGTGCCTATGTAGAGCTCGGCGCGCTGCACCGCCAGCGCGGTGACCTGGCAGCGGCCGGGGCTCAGGTGCTCCTCGATGCTGATGGACTTGAGGCTCTCCGAACACGGCACAAGCTTGGAGCAGTCCAGCTTGTTGATGAGGGACTTGGACTCCACGTCCCACTGGTGCACCACGCTGCTGGGGTACGCGCACGACCACACCGACGGGGCCGAGGAAGGGGATGACTCCGCTGCCGACACTAAGTGTCGCACCTCCGCGTTGTCTTGGTCCTGATCCGGATGCTGCAGCACGTCGTGGCCCGTGACTACATTGTCGTGGATCGTGTAGACGGACACGTTGCCATGGTCCTCTCCGCACCACAACTCGCAGAGCGTGTCCTCGAGGAAGACGGCGGCCAGAGAGTACAGCGAGCTGCTGCTGCCCAGCTCGGCCATGACGAAGCTGCCCTCGGCCATGGTCGGCGCGGCGGGCAGCGTGTCGCTGCGCACCAGGAAGAGGCGGCCGTTGGACATGGCCACGGCCACCCTCTGCAGCGCGGGCAGTGGCAGCAGGCAGCACACGCTGGCGCCAGGCTGCTCGTCCGGGTCCAGGCGGTAGGAGAAGAGGTGCGAACAGTCCGAGGCCGAGTACGCGTGGATCAGTCCGGCCGCGTCGCCCAGCCACACGGCCCCGGCTTGGCCGAGGCCGAGGCCCCCGAGGCCGGGCACGAAGCAGGCTGCAGAGAGCGTGTTCGGCGCGGACAGGCTGTACGACTGCAGCCAACTGCTGAGCGAGGCCAACAGCAAGTCCACCGTGCTTCCGCGCGCCAGCCACGCCCCCGCCACGCCGTCCTCGCCACCGCTGCCTCCCAGCCCCGCGCCGGCCACGCCCACCACGGTCTCGGCGTGGTCCAGCGACACCGCGTCGCACAGGTGAGTAAACTCGGGGGCAGAGGAGATCGACACCACCTGGCTGGCAGAGGGCCGGTCCGTGGGCTGCTGCGACCAGCACAGCGCCATCAGGTCCAGCATGTAGCTAGGGTACTGCGTCTCCTGGACGGGGAAAGAGGAAGGAACGTAAGGAAGTTTTGCGACTTCAATTTCTGGGGACATTAGTTCTGTGGGTGACATACCCGATACGTCAGAGGAGGGCGGCCACCCTCCAGGATGCACTCCTTGACAGACTCATGACCTTCAAAGGGTTGGTGTAGTGTAAGAAGCTCGTAGATGAACATGCCAAAGGAGAAACAATCAACCTGCAACATGAAAGATTTACATTAAGAAACTAAACAATAAATAAGGGTTGTCCAAGTTTTGAAGAGAATGATGAAAGTTACCTTTTCTGTGTATTCTTCCTCTCCATTGAATCTCATAATTTCTGGCGCCATGAACCCTTCTGTTCCTCCATAGCCCTTTGTTCCCGATGGCAGAGTGAGTCGACTTATACCTGTGGAAGAATTAAATATAAAAACAACGAGAAAAGGGAGAAGGTTGAGGTGGCCTAAGAAAAAAATGAACTTAAAACTCACCATAGTCAGCGAGCTTGATATGCACCAGGTCGTCGGGGTGGTCCTGGAAAGGTGGCGGCAGCGTCCAGACTAACACATTCTCGGACTTGAGGTCACGGTAAATTATGTGCTGCTGGTGGAGGTACTCGAGTGCCTTGGCAGCCTGCAGGATGATGGCCTGCAGCGCGAAGGGCCCGAGCCTGGCCCCGGAGCGGCGGTAGTGGCGCAGCACGGCGGAGAGCGCGCCGTGGGGCGCCAGGTCCAGGACCAGGGCCAGCGGGCTGGTGCACACCCCCACGAGAGGCACGATGTGGGGGTGCCGCAGGCTGAGCAGGATGTTGAGCTCCTGGCGCGCGTTGCAGTAGGCCTTGGTGGCGTACTGAAGGGGGTCTCGCGACCACTTGCCCTGCGCCGCCTTGAAGGCCATGACGGCCGACTGGTGAGCGTTGGGCCCGGGCTGCACGGGCTGCAGCATCTTCATGGCCACGTCCACGTTGAAGCTGGCGTTGCGAACGCCGCCCGGCCGCTGGCACGACCCCTTGAACACGAAGCCGAAGGCCCCGCGGCCCAGCAGCCTGCCTTGCTGCATGTACTCAGGCCGGATCAGGTAGCTCTCACCCAAGTCCAGGAAGATCTGTGTCAGAGCCAGAGTATAGCCAACAATTCAGAGAAAATGCAACAGAGCAGTAAAGCTGCCTTTACAGGCTCTAGAGACCTCCATAAATCTTACCGTATCCGGGGCAACCTGCGCTAAAGGGAAGTCTCCATGCGTAGGGCAAGTGACACATTTCTTGTCATAGGCTGCCAAGATGCACTCTTCAACCATCCAACTGAACTGCATCAAAGAATCATCCACAGGACGAAAAGCTTCTTCACTGTAGCGAGGATGGCCCTCTTTCGATGGATTCCGACTGACAAAATAAAGATGAGATGACATAAAATGAGGTTGCTTTTCCCACACCAAATACTTTATTGATGAGTGTAATTTAAAATTATAACCAACCTGGATCCAGCACTTTCCGGGCCAACCCCACTATCACCATCTGAAGCACAACTTTCCTGACTTTTTCTGGTCAATCGGCTCAAGAAACCGGATTCATTGTCAGCATGTGAAGGCGTCTAAACAGCACAAACAGCAAATGAATAACAAAATTCCTAGCACATCCAAGAGAAAATAAGAAGAGCTGAAATGATCTATGATGCATACCTTGGGAACTGTAGGGCGATCAGATTGAGAGACATGTTCCCAGTCATCAGAGTCATCTGAGCGAGTTCGAGGTCTAGTACCATCACCATTTTCACAATTAAGACTGATACAGCGAGGGCATGGCACAAGGCGAGTGACAAGAAACCGCCCCTCAGAGGTATGCACAAACCTTGTGCCTAGTGTGGGATACCAGTCTTCCAGCAGGACATCAATATGATCCACAGCTAAGGCAAGCAACTTGGTGACATACTCTAGGTTTGGATCTAGTACAACAGCTTGGTAACCAATGGGGCTGTCACCAGACAACTCGTCTGTGATAGGTCGCTTGATGACAACTGTGTCCACAGGAAAGTATATTTCCAGGATGGAGGAGTTGGCTAGGTCTACATCTGTCCAAGTTCCTTCTTGCTTAACCCTTAACTGAAGTTGGCTATAGTCCATGGGGCTGTTTTTCATTGTTCGTAAGATTTCTTTCATACGGAATAATGTTGTGTCCGCATAGCGTAGCTCCATTCCTTCAAACAAAAAGAAAGGGCAATTTAATAGAAAATAAACTGGACAGCAATCTAAGAATTATAATATTAATTGTAAAATATGAGTTTTCTTACTAATAGACATTACCTGTTTGCCAAAGAAACCAGTCAGCACGAACATCTAACATCTGAGCTAGGCGAGCATCTGTTGTCACCTCCTTGGGCATGACAAAGAAGGAACGCACTATGTCTACAACAGCATCATCAGCCAAGATACGGGTCATTAATCTAGACCAAAACCCACTGGGGAAGTACGACATGAGGAGCAAGCGCCGGATGGATACTTCGGGATCGCTACGATGTGTTAACTCGCAGCTTGCAGCAGCAGCAATAGCAGAGGCACTAGGCTCGACCTCCAGTGCTGCTTCAATAGCTGGAAATGAACAAATGATATTTTTACTTGGCTCCTGTTTAAAAAAACAATGTAAAGATAAGAAGAGATTCCTTACATGGCGAGGAGGGTGTTATGCGACCGGTGGAATCTTGAGATACAGATGTGTAGAATGAAGAATTGCCAATATGCACTCTTGCAGGAGCGCTAGCAGCTTTTTTACTGCGAACAGCCCACCCTCTAGACCGCACAGGAATCTGCAAAGACAAAAAACATCCATGAGTCATTTTGAAAACAAACTTTAGAAAAGAACACATACATGCAAAATTCAAGCCACAAGTTACTGCTGCATAAATATTTGGAGTAAGTGATGTGCAACATTTTCATTGGCTGTATACCACTAGCTTAGTAAAAAGTGCATTAAAAAATCAAAATCATTTAATAAATTAGAAAATTATCTAATCTAAACATCAAATTTTCTACAAAAACACAACAAAAACCAAACCAAATCCACCTCAAACTCAAAGCAACCAAAAATTATAACACAAAATTATCTAATTATTGAAAGGTTCAAACGGCACATGTCACCCAAACCAAAATACCATGCAGGAGTAGTGGTGGCACAGCACCTTTACCCTGACAGGGTTTGTTGAAGGGAGTTGCAAGTCTTCTTCGCAGGGCAACAAGGATGGGATGAGAAGAGTTCGACTGTCCCACGTCAAAGCAACTTCAAACTTGTTAAGCAGACTCACAATGTAGCCTCTTGTGTCAACAGGACCTATTGCCGAAGATTTGAATACATGCTTAAGATCATCCAGCTTCATTACTCCTGTAAAAACAATCAAATAGTTAGTTTCTGCTCAATTGTGTGATAGTTTTGAAACCAAGAATTAATTAATCTCAATTCATAAGACAGTTACCTGTTCTTGCAAATGGATTTATTTCCCGAATAGTTACTACATGGGCTAACATATCACAGAGCCACTGAGGGTCAAGAAAGTATAAGTCTTTAAGAGTTGCGTCATCATAGTGTAACAGCAAGCCTAAAAGAGAAATAAAACAAAAGGACAGTGAAAAAAGAAAGCCAAACCCAAGTATTTAAGCAAGATACTGTGAAAGATAGAGCTTACCGTTATCATGCAAAAATAAGGTTGCTTGATGCAGCTCAGACCAGTCTCTGAAAGTCCTGCCGTACCGGTGTTGCATCTCATACCATACGACCGCCTTGTACTGCTCTGCGTTGAGGACCGGGTCCACGCCTTTGGACTTGCGTTCCGCGGCAAGGTGTCCCACGACGTCCTCCAACATCAGGTAGCTGGCGGGGACCTTCTGTTCCAGCAGAAGTTCCTTGCTCCCTAAACACGAGGAGGTCAGAGAGGGTCTCCAGACGGACCGAGTCACGGTGAGCACGACCTAGTGGATTGTGTCACTCACCTGGGGGCCGCAGACTGAAGACGGTGTCGTAGATGAGGTTGCAGAGCAGCTTGATGTTGTGCCTCGTTTTGCAGCTCACTTCGATTGTGTCGAGGACGCGCGGCAACCCACACTTCTCCGCGTCCACGATGTTGATGAACTTGTCCCGAATCATTTGCTGCAGGTCCTCGGACACAGCGGCGGGCATGGCGCCCTGGCTGTCGCGCACCGCGTCGTAGTGCGTGCCCACAATGATGACGGGGGAGTTGGGCGCGCGCGCCTGGATGTTCACCAGCCACTGCAGGATTTCCTGGATGCCCTTGGCGCCATCCGAGATCTTCCACACCACCAGGTAGAGGCTGCGCTTGGACAGGAAGTACTGGTGCGTGGCGTAGTACTCGCGCTGGCCGCCGAAGTCCCAGGTGCGGAAGACGACGGGGCCGTAGTTGGAGTTGGACTGCCCCCGCTTCTTCTCGTACACCCAGTCCCCGATGTCCACGCCCACGGTGGACATGTTGATGCCGCGCGAGGTCTTGGTGTTGACGTTCTTGTTGCCCATGCGCTTGGCCCAGTGCTCCGGGCCAGCGGGCCGCTTGCGGAAGGACCCTGTGCCTTCCTGGCGCAGCTGCTCCAGGAGGGAGGTCTTGCCGATACCCTGGAAGCGAAGCGTTCATGCGTCACACACAGCCGTCGACAATGCGGACAATCGATAAGGAAAATGATACTTACCTGCACCCCAACGATCATTAGCTTGATACGCGCGTAAGGCTTGGCGTCCTCCAGCACGGACTTGAGGTAGCCGATGACGTCCATGGTCTTGAACTTCTTCGAGTCGATCATGGACTTGAGCGGCTCCTGCAGGTTGCAGCCGCGCGTGTTGAGGTTCCAGAGGCGCGACAGCAGCCCCATCTGGTGCGGCAGCTCGCACACGTCCGCGTTGCCGCTGATGTTGAGCACCGACAGGTTGCTCAGCTCGTGGATGTTGTGTGGTATCTCTTTGAGCTGGTTGTTGCTCAGGTCCAGCATGCTCAGGTTAGGCATCATGAGGCGCGCCTTGGAGCTCCCAGAGCCCTGGTGGCGCGCGGACGAGGCCGCACTTGACAAGTCCGCGTCCGTGGACTCCTCGTCATCCACCCCGCCACCGCCGTCGTCATCCGTCGACAGCTGGATGCGCGTCACGCGGTTGTCGGTCAGGATGAGGGTGCGCATGTTGTCGAGGCGCAGGTGGCGGCGGTGCACGCACACGCAGTCCAGGATGACGCTGCGCAGCGTGCGGCGGCACTGCAGCGCGCCGCCCAGCGCGGGCAGCTTCACCATGGCTGGGGCCGCGGTGGGGATGGGCGGCGAGGCCGGAGCGGCGGCTTCAGCGCTGGGCGCGAAGCAGGCCAAGGCGGCGGGGTCCATCTGCAACAAAACGAGCACGGTGAGCATACGGTAGGAATGAAATTCCACTAATTCTTGAAAAGTGAAGAGGGCGGGCCATGGTGCTAACCTGGGGCAGGCTGGGCCAGCAGGACACCTGGTTGTGCGACAGGTCGAGCTGCTTGAGCGAGTTGGGGTAGGACGTGATGTAGCCCATGGAGCGCAGACTGTTGTAGGCGAGGTTGAGGCGGGTGAGGTTGACAGCTAGGCATGGCAGAGCGGCGGGGATGCTGGCGAACTGGTTGTGGGCGAGGTTGAGGGCAGACAGCTGCGAGCAGCCTTCCTGGTCACCCTCGTTGAGCAGGATCTGCTCCGTCACCTCCACGCCGTGGCCGCGGCTCCACATGTTGTGGTGCGCCAGGTCGCGCTGCCGCAGCGTCTTGGCGCTGGCGTACGAGGCGTGCAGCGACCGGCTGTCCAGGGCGTCTTCCGCGGGCGACAGCAAGTTGAGGTTCAGTTCCTCCAGGGCCTCGAGCGCACCGCCACACGTGTCCGTCGAGGAGCGGCTCGAGTCGACGGACGACACGCTCAGCGTGTCCGCGGCCGCACCGTGGCCATGGCCGTGGCCGAAGCCAAGCCCCAGGCCGACGGGGTGCCCCAAGGGGTGCTCGGAGGGAAGTTCGCGCAGCAGGTTGAAGGCGGCGTTCAACTCCTTGAGCTTGGGCGCGCGCCACATAGAGTAGGGCAGCGCCTGCAGCTGGTTGTTGGAGACGTCCAGCGTCACCAGACTGGGCAGCGAGAACACCTCCTCGGGCACCTGCACCACAGCAATACATTGAACCGTTAGCTTCATGATAAAAAGTTCCAAAACATTCTGTTCTAGAGTACCCGGGTACTGAAACCACGCCCAGCCGTGTGGCGGCAGGCGGGTACAAACTTCGACGTTTTTGAACAAGTTACCTGAACGAGACGGTTGTCCTGCAGGTAGAGCTCCTTGAGCGAGGGCGCGTTGTACGCCGCCTCCTCACTCGCAGCTCCTCGAAGCTTTCCCTTGGACCGCCCCTTGACGCCACGCGACGAAGGCGACCCTCCGGGTTCAGGCAGCCGCTCTAGCTTGTTGTTGGCCAGGTTGAGGTAGCGCAGGCTCTGCAGCTGCATCACGGCGGCGGGCACGTACTCCAGCGCGTTGTTGGACAGGTCCAGGCGCGTGATGGCGTACAAGGCGATGTCCTGGTTGCGAGGGTTGAGCTTCAGCTTGGGGTTCACGTGCAGCGCCGCGTCCACCAGCCACTGCGTGCGCACCTGCAGCATCATACCAGAGGGAATGTTAGGACAATCAATAATTACGATGCGGTCTGACGAAATAAATCAAACAGCACCATTTTTGAAGGATTTGCCACTGACCTGTGCTAGCCCGCAGCGCAAGCCGTGCCAGTTGATCATGGCGGGCGTGTTGGGGAACATGGAGCTGTACGTGAGGCTGGCCAGCCCCGCGAACTGGCTAGCCGCCGGCACGTTGTCGCTCATGGCCTTCTTGTTGATTTTGAACTCGGGGTCCGGGTGGGCCTACACAGAAGAAAGACTGTCAGCATACGCGTTCCCGCCGAGTAGTTTCCAGCTTTCGCCGCTAACCGGGCCGTACCTTGATGGAGAGAAGCTTGGCCAGCAGGATGTCCTCCTTGGCCGTGCCGTGGCCGTGGCCGGCCGCCACCCTGAGCGCGCGGCACTCGTCGTCGCGCGCCCCGAACCGCAGCATCAGGTCCACCATGCCGATGTCCCGGTTGCGGCACGCCTCCACGAGGGCCGTGGAGCCCCCACCCTGCGGCCCGCCCTGCGGCCCCGCGGCCTTGCCGCCGCCCTCGTCGTGGCCGGCAGACGAGTACGCGGCAGGCCCGCTGCCGGGGACGGGGTCCTGCGCCACGATGTTGGGGTCGGCGCCGGCCTGCAGCAGGGCGTTGGTGATGTCCCAGTGCTTGCCTCGCGCCGCGGCGTGCAGCGCCGTCTCGGCGTTGGCGTTGCAGCGCAGGTCCAGCAGCAGCGGGCTGAGCTGCCGCTCCGTGGCCGAGGCCGTGCTGCCGCCGTTGCCGCGCGAGCTGAGGCTCAGGTTGAGGCGCGACATGATGGAGTGGATGCCGTCCGAGATGCGGCGTGCGCCCCCCGTGGGGCTGCGGAGCTCGGTCGCTTCGTTGGCCTCGGTGCCGTCGGCCGTCTCAGCGGAGGACTGCCAAGGCATGGTCAAGGGGTGCAACAAGTTAGCCTACGTCGCGAGCGCGATTACACTCCAAACAGTCGGGCAGTGACGTCCTAGTGTCCTTGCCCTGCAGTCTGGAGGGAGGACATGGAAACAAACGACTCACCTTGATGCGGCGCGCCGTGACGCGGAACTTGAGGAGCATGTCGACGAGCTTGAAGTTGCCGAGGACGCAGGCGAGGTACAGCACGTTCTGGCCGGTGCGGTCCTGCATGTTGATGTCGAAGGGGAGCTCGTACTCCCACTCGTTGACGGCGTCCTGGAACGTCGTCAGCACGCTGGCCGGGTAGCTGTGCTTGAGCAGCAGCTCGATGACGGGCAGGTGGCCGTTGATGGTCGCGGCGTGGATTGGCAGCCATTCCTCCACCGTGAACAGCTTCACGAGCTCGGGGAACCGCTGCAAGAAAAACAGACGTCAGTACATCAGTGTATAAAAGCCCATCGTGAGATTGGAACCCGATTTGTCGGTGAGCCGCATACCTTGAGCACGATCTGCACCACGTCCTTGCGGCCCTTGAAGCAGGCGATGTAGAGCGGCGAGTAGCGCGTCACTGGGTGGATGCGGCCGTCGGCGTGCCGGTCCAGCAGCTCCTGCACGATCTCGCGGTGCCCCAGCTCGCACGCCCTGCACGACAAGGAGCCCGTCAGGTAGGCCGAGTCTCGCAGAGCGCGAGCGCCTCCTGCAGAAGGGACACTGATACTCACAGGAACAGGAGCGTGTTGGAGCCGTTGGGCGCCATGTTGATGACCAGCTCGGCGTCGGGGCCCTGCTCCGCCAGCAGGCTGCGTACCTGCGCCAGGTCGCCGGCGATGACGGCATCGCGGACCTGGGCGTGCGCGCCGCGCCGCACCGACTCCTTGGCGTCTGCAACAGGCACATCGTGCACGGGGCGCACGGCCGTCAGGGAAAGGGCGAGGAGGCGGCTGGACGGGGAGGGGAGCCCGCAGCATCGAGACACCTTGGCGGCGACAGAGACGAGACCGAGTGGCGGTACCTCGTCGACTTGCCTTCAGTGATGTCGTCGACGAAGTAGCAGCACGCGTCGAAGGCCGAGTCCGCCGCCGCCCCCTCGCACTCGGGGGGCGGGTCCGGGGGCGGCGGCGGCGGCGGCGTGGGGTGGGGCACCTGCTGGGACTGCCATCTCTCTTTGAGAGGCTCGGCGATGGCCACCGAGAGGAGTCGCTGGAGTTGCTTCATGGTTCATCCACCTCATGCTTCATTGCGCGCCGAGACGTCCTGTACGAGCACATGCACGCCGTGACAGTCCCGCTTCACTGACGTACCCTCATGGGCGCGGTGGTGGCCCCGACGGCCCTGCCTGCCCTGCCCCACGCGCCGGCCGGAAGGCGACTGCCAGGACGTCCGGCCCCTCGCACTCTCTCGCACATGCCTGACGCCGTGGGCTGGGCCGCTGGGCCGCTGGGTCGCGGGGAGGGGCGCTAACGGCCTGCCCCTTGGAGCCACCCCAACAGTAAGCGAGCGCGACCCCAATTTTGACCGGGACCCGGATGGCGCAAAAGGGCCCAGATCGGCAACGCGACGCCGCGACGCCCCGTAAGCTCATTAAGAAGCCACACACTGCGGCACTCGGGGCAGCCTCGCGGCAGCGGCGGCAGCGGCGGCAGCCCGATGGCGGAGGCGGGGCTGACAAGCCAAGGCTGGCCGTCCACGCCGTCCACGCCACTAGCAATCTGCCGGGCGCGCTTCCTTTGTCAACTCGCCAGCGCGGACAGCGCAGCAAGCGCCGCCATCGAACGGCCTCGCGGGGCCTCGCCTCGCCCGCCGAATATAGAAAGGCAGAAAGGCCCGGGCGGGGCTCGAACCCGCGGCGACTGGCCACCACCGGCAGCGCGGTCGTTGCACCGCGCCGTTTCGCCGCGGACATTCCTCAGAGCGCGACCGGGCCGGCGCAAATAACAACTTTTTGACGAGAGCTAAGTCCGAGGCCGGGCCGCCGGGCCGCGATCAAGAGGCGCAGCGAGCCAGGCCGGGCCTCCAGCGAGCCCGGGGCCCCCGGGCCCGGCCGTTGCAGCAAATGCAGCAAGTCAAGCGACGCGTGCGGTCATGCAGCTCACTGAATGGCGCTTGGCTCCGGCTCGGCTGGCTCCGGCTTCCGGGCCCGGTCAGGCCAGCGTCATTGGGCAACGCGGGCAACGCCGGCAACGCCCCGCGCGCCGAGCCGCGGTATCCTGGCCGCGTTATAACAACGGCACACCGAGCGAGACCAGCCGCCAGGCCACCACCGCCGCCACCGTCCCTTAGCCCTTAGCGCCCGACGAGTGGCGGGTAGGCTGTCCAGCGGCGCAGGGCGGCGCGGCGGGACTGCCTACCCCACGCCCTGCAGGCGCCAAGGCCCACGCGCTACCACGCAGCGCGACGCGTTGCGCGGGAACGGGCCACGGAGGCAAGACTGTTCCGCCCGAACCCGGACTGAAGAAGAACCGGAAACCCAAACATCGCGAATTTATTCCGTCACATTTCAATCCGAAAATTAGAAAAGGCTCAATCTAACCAGTCAAAATGCCCAAAAAGGCTGATTTCTGGTGGCTTTCTCGTTCTTGACCGGAGGCTCTGCTGCGATAGTCTAATCCGCGCCGGCCATGCCCATACACGGATGCTCAGCCCGACACTCGACACTGCCGTTTGCACACAACCCCACGAGGCGGCTATGGAGGCGACTTGTCGCGGGCCGTGGGCGCCAGGCCGCCACGACGGCATGTTCATGCACACGTGGGGGCGCGCGGCGGCGGGGATCGCGTTACCGGCGAGGTTACCGGCCACTCTGTGCAGCCGATCTTGAAATCGGCTTTCGACGCACAGCTGCAGCCGGCTGCAGCCAACAGGCACGGACACCAAAGTGTAGTACAGTGGAAGAGGAGCGCATTTGCCGGCCGGCGCGTACTTTACGTAACGTACAACAGCGTGACGCAACACGCGAGCGCCTCACTCGGTCCGGGACGAGACGAGACGGACCAGACGAGCACCTGTCGCGGCCCTGCGCCGGCCGCCCACCCAGAGCACTAATCCGGAATCGGGGCTGGATGGGCACGCGCTGCACCGCTCGGGACACAAGTGCAGCCCCCCTGTGTTTACGTAACTCGGATCGAGCACCAGCGGATTGACCTTCGGGCGCACGACCCATCGCGTGTTAGGTTCAAGCATTTGAGTTTCTAGCCTATGGAGTTTCTAGTGGGCTGTTGCGCTCCAGCAGGGCAAAGCCTGGCGAAGCCCCTCAAAGTGTTCCCTCCATTTCCAACCTCGAGGCTCACCGCCTCGCGGCGCACGCAGGGCGTTACCCAACCGGCCGCAGCGCGGCGTGGAGCATCGAGATGCAGTCCGAGAAAACACGACGGTCGCGGCGTGGCCTGGCGTGGCCTGCGCGGCGCGGGGTGGCTTTGACCCTCCAGCCAGACACTGCCCCGCCCGGGCCGGGCCGGCCGTCGAGGTTCGGCTGTGCCATGGCTGTGCCGGCCATCGACGCGACATTTACGGCCACGCCTTTGTCCGCGCCGAAAGTCACGGTGGGAAAAAACAGCCCGTGGAAAGATAGACGGCGGCAGCGCCAAACCGCGCTCGGCCAGCCAGCAGGCAGCCAGCAGGCACGCCTGGAAGCGGCAGGAGGATAGGTGCGGCAAGAAAAATAAAAATAGAAATAAGAAGAACGCGCCGAAAAGAAGACAACAAACGGACGAAGCGACGCCGGCCAAGGTTGTGGTGCGGACTGCCGGGCCCAAGCCGCCCAAACCCGTTACTCACTCGTCTACCGTGCCAGCCGAGCCAGCCGTGCCAGCCGTGCCAGGAGCGCCGGCGAGGTCCCAATTCTACGCGTGTGCCGCAGCGCGTCTTGGCGCCAAACTCTCACTGAACGCGGAGAGCGGCACGAGCGTGGACGCCGAACGCGCTCGTCGGCATAATTGGCGCCATTACCATGAGCGCACCGCACCAGCTCGCCGTACTCGCCGTCCACGAGACTGAACAGGCAACCACTTTCCCCGCGCTTCGCAGTGGCCTTCCCCGAGACTAGCGGCCGAGACCGATAGGTGCGATAGGGCTGGACGCGCCCCGCCCGTACCGGGCACCGCGGGGTGCTTGTGCTTGCCGCTTGGCGGGAAGACGAGGTTTGAGCTGCCGGGCCGGGCTCTGCCACTCTGCCCCCGCGCCTTCAGTCGGACGCACTGCGGCACGCGACGCGGCGACACGGCACGACGCGCAGCGCGTCCTACTTGCACACCAGTCTTGCGGTATCCTTGGCGGGGACGCGGGACGTGCAGCAGGAGCAGGGCGTCGTCGATCGTCGACGCGAGCGGCGCGATAGGAACGGCGAAGCACACCGGCCGCGCACCGCGTACCGCGTCGAGGCGGTGGAAGCGAAGCGCGCCGCGCCACGGACGCAACACGAGTGCGGCGCGGCGAAGAGCGGCGGCGGAGCCGTGCTAGCCCAGGCCCCCGGCCCCAGTCCCCAGGCCAGCCCAGTGCCGCCGGCCGCGCCGGCATTTCATTGGGCCCCCTGCGCCCCGCGGCCCCGCGGCGTCTCCAAGGGATGCAGCGCGGCGTGCGTCGCGTCGGGGACGCCCGTACCACCCCACGCCGCGGCGTGCAGGGCGTGCACCGCAACAACGTCAACCACAAATTAGTTTGACCCAGCTTCAGCCAGCTTCAGCCACGACTATTTGCAGCCACCCAGCCCAGAGGGACCGGCGGAAAGGGGAGGGGGACAGGCGGAGATACGGGCCAATCCCACCCTCGCCGAAACAACGAGCTGTGCGAACCAATGGACCCAGCAGGTCCGGCAAAACAACTTGCTGAATAAAACACACCCCCTCTCGGTTTCCTGGCTACGCGTGTCGTCGGGGGACTTTGAAACTCACACAGGCCTCGAGAGCGGATGCCACAGCCCAGCCGAAACGTTCGAGGATGCGGGGCGGGCGGGGCGCGAACAAGGAGGGGCAGGGGGCAGCCCCACGGCCACGCTGCCAAATCCACCGGCCGCCGTGCGACTCTGAGGGGCGGTCCGGTTGGGGGCGGCACGAAGGGCCTAGCAGCCTGGGGCTGGGTCACCCAGAGACCGTAATCTGGTTAGGCCCGTGACCGTGCCCGCGCTCCTCCACAGGTGCGTCTGGGGTGTAGCGGCGAGTCACACATGCCACACACACACAACGCCAGCGGGGTAGGCAACCCATCCGGCTCCGTCGCGCTCCAACGGCGCGGCCAAGGAAGCGTGACCCATACCATACAGTGGGCTGGGCTGAGACCTCCAACGTTCGGTGTCCGGTGAACCTGCCTCTGGAGAGGCCCAGCTTGTTATCAAAGTAGGGCAAGGTGAGGGGCACGGCCACGGACGGGCCGTCCGGGACGGCAGAGGACAGGGAGAGAATGCCAGACTTTTCTCATGCTTCAACCCGAACCAAACAAGCAACACAACAGCAGCCGCCAAAGTGGCCGACAAACTCCAGGTACTAACCTGCCGCCTCTTTAAGAACCGCCATGCAGTCATGATGACCTCCCTTGTCTGCCAAGTCTCTTGCTGTCTGACCATGTCGGTCTGTAGCCACGAGGTCAGCATGATGTCTTAAAAGTTGGAGAACGTTGGTGACATGCCCATGGACTGCACTCACATGGAGTGGGGTCTGAAATAAAATGCATTTATTAAAACTGCGTAACAGTCCTTCTTATTTATTTACTAGTTATCAAATTATTTTATAGAGTTTAAATTTAAAACTTACTCTTGTATCTCCTCGAGGGCCGCAAGAAATATTTGGGTTAGCTGTAAATTGAAGAGAAATTTTCATTCGATTGACCCAACTAAACATGACACACCAAAGCAGTTCATGAAAGAAATTTACCTCCAGCTCGTAACAACACAGAAAGACAGCGAGATTTTGAGTTTGTGGCTGCTGCATGTAAAGGTGTTCGACCCCAAGAGTCCTGGCTGTTTATGTGAGCTAGTTGATCTCCATGTAATAAGTCTTCTAAAAGTTCTGCATTATCCCAGAGGGCAGCCTGAAAGAGGAATCAAGTTTTTGGTGCAGAGCAAACACATTTTTAACGATTGTCAAAATTTAATAACAAATAATTTTAAACAAATTATGGGAAACACTTACCTGATGCAGAAGCCTCCCTGGAAAATCCTCCTCTTCCTGGACTGCCTCTTCCATTTCTTGCACAATGACCAGATGTTACCAGTCAATGAGGAATAAGGCACTTTTCTGACATCTCGACGCCATGGTTAAACCTAAAATGGAAACAAACATGCTCAATTAGTTCCCCATTAATATAGTGCAAAGTAGACAGAAAATATAAGTAAACTCATGGGAAAATTAAATGTCAACAATAGAACATATCTGAAATGAATTCTAAAATAACTTAAGATCACCTTACAAGAAGGCTCAAAATCCTAGAGAAATATAAATTAAGGAAAACGAAACAATCTGCTGATGGTCTCCCATTCAGCACAGTGGGGGAGCAGCCGAAAAGGCACTTTCACTAGCTTTCCACCAACAATCCTAACCCCACTTCCGAGAGAACACAGATACGTTATCTAATAAAGTCACTTAATTTTTATGAGAAGTTGCAACGAGAAAGACAAAAGTATGCATAATAGTCTGATAAACAACGTGCAGCTCGACGACGTCGCAATTTGAACCCAAACAAAGCAAACTCTTCTGCTGTCAGACGAAGCTTTGGAATAACAACAACTTGAACGAGCAGGGCGGAAAGGTAACAGTTTCTACACATGTTGGATGACGAAAACTCCACTTACTAATGTTCATAAAACATTATCTTTGACTTCAAAGAAGCAGAATACGAAAGTACTTAGTTTATTCACAGTTTATCTTCCCCACGACGATTGAGAGGGAAAGAAAGGGGAGGGGGGGTAGTGTTATCTCCCTTCTGGCCGCTCCGCCTTCCTGCAGCACCGTTCCTGTATCAACCTCAGTGGCGCGAAACTGTCTCGGATTCGAACGCTTGTCAAAGCTTCCCCCAGCTTCAGGCTTCTCAGTCTCAAGGCTTCCCCCAGCACGAGAGGCATGACGAGCCATTCCAACCCAAAAACGTACTACCGCGTGTTGCGCTCTTGAGCAAAATGAAACGAACAAGGAATATGTGAGTGTAGACTGCACACATTCATCATAGTGCGATTGAATCGGGTTTTCCCTTTATATTTTGGACGTCCCAGGATAAAAATGACCACATATGATGACATGCTCTCATATCTTTTATTTCTTTCAGACCACCACAGTTTGGAACAAAACCACTGTAAAGCAAATCTCATTAATAGTAAACGTTAGAAGATCAAATATAGGGCATGGTGGCAGCATTCATCACAGATATTAAGATACAGTAAGAAGCAGTCACAGAAAATCATTATTTATAACAATTCTTGACTGTTCAAGTAATTTTTCTTGAAAAGGTTAGACATTATCTTCATATAGAGATAATAAAAAAAGAAGTAATAGCAATATTTTCCAAGAACAATATTGCATTTCCGGGACTTATGACACATGCAGTCAAGGGCATTCCTTCAAAGATGTGTAGAGAAACAACTTCAGCATGAGATCATTATCATGGATCATTTAATACAATTGTATACTCAGTTTCACTTAATTGTTCTCATATGCAGTTAGTAAAGACAACATATGCAAACCATTAAAGCATTAAAAATATATAAAGTCCCACTTACAATTCATGTCATACTTGCAACACAAAATATAAATACACATAGAGCTTGCATCACTAGCCAGTTTAAAAACAAAGGATAAAGTAATGTACAGGAACCTCATTTACACATTTTATTCTAAAATATCTTTTTTTTCCTCATTTTTTTCTCATCTTTTTGGTCCACCTTCCGGGTCTGTATATAAGTCAATATCACGTTATACACCCGATATCATTATATATCACCGGCTACATCAGCATAGCTGATGTACAAAACCTATTAACTCAGCTAAATTAGTAACACAGCTACTGAGATGGATTCTATCTTCTGAGTGTTTTAAATGTTGTATTACAATTATATTGAACTCATAACAATAACAACAAAAATAAAATTCAGACATTCATGTTGTGAAAACAAAAGGATGCCAAGAGATGTAAAGACACCTAAATTAAAATTTCAAATTCATCGTAAAGATTGTACATCAATATCACACAAACTAAACCTTACACAGCTTAAGTCGAATGGACGTATAAAAAAAGCTTCTAAGTGAAGCCAATGATCACTAGACACACTATTTAGATAGAGCTTTGGGCTCCAGTGGTACACATCAATAAATACTAACAGAAAGAAGAAAATGGAGAAAGTGAAGATTAAAGTAAAGGAGGGTATGAAGTTGTACAGAAGGGATGAAGGCATGTGAGATAGGGGCAAGGAGGAAAAATGACAAGGAAACAGAGATATGAAATAAGACATCGATGAGGGAACAGGGAACAGGAACAGTAGATGTGAAGGGGAGACGAGAGATAAGACAAATTAACAAGTGATGCATATAATTTTTTAAAACAAGGAAATGCCGATAAAAATGATGAGTGTAAAGACAATTAACTTTAACATTGACTAATCAATTAATAAAAAGGACTATTCGAATAGCGATACTTGAGAGGCTAATCCCGCAGCTCACAGTAGGCCATGAGCTCGTCGATGGTGCACGACTTGGAGCAGCACTCGTCGAAGACGCCCCTGGTGACGCGCGTCCGCTGCGTCCGCGACTCCAGCAGCGACGCGGCTCTCAGGCGGTCGCGAAACGGCAGCTGCACGGGCGGCGCCCAGTACTCCTCTGCAAAGGCAAGACAAGACCGAGGTTAGAGCTGACTGTGCACAGCATGCTGCTGAGCCGGGAATGAGGACAAAGACAAAGCAGTGTGCTGCTGGGCTGCTGGGGCCACAGTCGAAGACTGCTGACTGCTGAATGGGGTCAGAGGGGTCGCGGGGTCGCGAGGTCCACATGCTCCCTCGCTGAGACCCACACGGAAACTACTCTTGGAGGACTTGCCCCCTTTTTTCAAAGCAGAAGGGGCTCGGCCGCGAGGGGCGGCAGCAGGGACAGCCGAGGCCCCGGTGGCGTTGGGGGTAGCTACACTGCTGCAAGGCGAGCAAGGCGGAGGGGACGGGGGAAATTAGGGGGGAAGGGAGGGAAGGGAGCGGGGGAGCCCCGGGACTCGGGTCAGGGTTGGCCTCAATCAGGAGCGTCCTACATATGTCACGCAAAGGCGACTGACCTATCATCATTACGCGCAGACGCATTAGGGCATTAAGGTCAGCTGTTTTTGTACCGCCAGAGAGGCCAATAAGCTCTCGGTCAGCAAGCCGCTTTTGGAGAAGCAACGCTGGGCTGGCCTCTAGCCTGCGAAAGCTGCCTGCAGCCCTGCAGCCCTGCAGCCCTGCAGCCCTGCAGCCCTGCAGCCCGCCCGGCCCGGGCTGAGAGGACTCACGTGACTCACGTCTCGCACTGACTCTTGGTGCGGAGCGGAGGGCGGCGGGGCGGACTCACCTGGAGGGGGCGTCTTGTTGGTCTTGAAGTACGAGTTGTACTGGCCGTTGCACAGGAACTTGAGCGCGTCGGACAGGCGGCTGCCGCAGTAGGTGGAGCTGCCCGACGTGCCGGTCCGCGCGTGCCGAGGGTCTCGCTGCGCCGCGGCCAGGCACACCTCGAGGCACGCGAACGCCACCAGCACGGCCACGGCCACGTGCACGCACCACGAGCTGGCGCCACACATCTGCAACAACGAGAAGGACGAGGACGTGAGTGCAAGTTCGGCCGCGTCATGGTCGCGCAGTGCTTCATCTACCCAATCAGGGCCTGAGTGCATGCTCTATGCCGGCCGGCCCGGGCCCACGTGTCCAAGGCGTGCACCGAGGTGGGTGCCCCGTCGGCGCCCCCTCGCCGCCCCAGCACCCCCGCCCCCGGCGTGCCCTGGAGTGGACGCAGCTCTAGTGGCCGCGGGCCGCGCCATGGGGGGCATGGAGCCCGCTGGGCCAACAATGCGGCCACTTATTCCATCAAGCTCCCCCTCGGCCCGCCCGGCCGGCCGGCTGAGCCCCACGCAGCCCCGCGCCCCGCGCCACGCAGCCAGCCACTCCTAGGGCTCTCTATTCTCCCCCAGTGCCGGCGAGGCTGAGCGCTGAGCGGTGGTCATCCGTCAAAATCGCCACCAAAAGCGCGACTTGGACCCGGCCGCCAGCCAGAGGACCCGAAGAGGGGTCCAAAAGAGGTCAGTAGGAAGTAGGCCTGCAACCAGGCCGGTAAACGTAGCTTGACTAGCAGGGGTCGATGGCCAAAGTGACAAAAACAAGCAGTCTCCCAGAGCAAACGGATTTGGAGGAAAAGGTCGAGGGTCGAGCTATAGTTTAAGCAACAAAGTGGCCCAAAAGGGCCAGGAAGGGCGAACACTCGGGCTCAGTGTCGCACGGCCGTGGATGCACGGATTATCGGGTGATCAATCCGCACTCTCCTTACATAATAACACAACGCGATGAAGTGGAGAAAGGGGAAAAACCGTACACCGACAACATGTTTTGGCAGAGTCGCTCCGCGCGGCAAAGCGGCGAGCAGGCGCCACGTTGGGGCGGGTCATGGGGGGGGGGGGGAGTTTTCTGTTGTTTATTCGTACCTTCTAGAGTGGGAAAGCGAGGAAAGGATCCCACCGGCGCGGCCGTCGAAAGCACGTGCCTTCGTCGCCCGGTCAGGGTGTCCGGGCGTGTCCGGGTCGGGCCGCACTTCAGCCGTCCTCCACGGAAGCAGTCTAGGCATTATCATGGCCCACGCAGCAGCACATCAATGAATCCGAGTCGGCGAGCGAGATTGACTATCGCGACACCTCGGCCGTGCCGTGCCGTGCCTGCCGTGCCGTGCCGTGCCGTGCCGGCCGGCAGCCGCGGCCCGCGGCCAGTAAACAAGCTTGTAAATACGGGGCGCTTACGCAATGGCCAATGCGATGCAAAGGGCGGGGCCCGGCGAAGAGAGAAAAGAGGGGGGAGGGTCAACCCTTCCAAGTCTCAAAAGCACGTGTCGACACGCAACCTCCCATTATAACCACCAATCGCTTTCGACTCGCAAAACTACGTCACGGCTGTTCACGGCACCTCGTTTAGTCAAAGGTCTGGTGGTGACAATTGACGACGAAGATGTTGACGGTGACGAGACGACGGGTGGAGTGCGGCGTACGGCCGCGTACGACGCAGAGAGCGTGCCGTCGAGGAGGTGACCCGGCCAGGACGCGTCCACGACGACGACCCGGACTGCACTCTGAGCTTTGCGCCACCCCACGGCCCACGCCACGCCACGCCTCGCTGTTTGTGCGTTTTGGCGCCTGCCGCGTGCCGCCCGCCGCCGCCCCCACGGCGCCTCGCCAGCGCGTCAACAGCACCAACAGCACACGCCCCCGCGTGCACGCCGCACGCTGCGCTCTGTACCACTCTACCCGCACCGAGACGACCGGGACCGAGGCGGGGTGCGGGTGGGGTGCGGGCGGGGCCGCCACTAGAGCAGGGCATTTCCATTGGCAGACTCCCTCCGGCGCGTCGGCCTGCCGCTCCAGCTGGTCCAGCACGGCCAGTGGAAACGTCCCGCCGCGCCGCGCCTAGAGGCCCGCGCCGCCCGCCCGTTTGGCGCGAGGCGCGAGGCGCGCGACGACGGCAATGGAACGGCGCGCCCCGCGGCCGTCGCGACGCCACTTATCACCTTGACGTCAGCGCGTCCAGGGCGTCGGGGGCGTCCAGTCACCGCCTTCTGGGGACCGGCGGCTTCCAGGCCCTTCCGAGCTGCTCTATGCCGGATGAGGCAGTGGAACGCGTAGCGCTAGGAGTGTTCTGAGAACTCCTTCAATGAGAGGCGATTTACAACAAACAGACCCCAGGCCCAGGACGGAATGACCCGGTCTCTCTCAAGCTTCCGGTCTAAGGCTCCACAGGGAAGACCTTCGACGGTATCGAGGAAACCAATCCCTCATTTCCTTCTGGGTGCGAAAAACCAATTTGAGACACAGACGTTGCTCGGCCCGTCCGCGACCTTGCCGAGAAAGGACGGCGGACGGAAGGGCGTGTTGGGAAAGGTCTGCGCGCTGGCACGCTCGAATGAATGAACTCTAGTCAAGGTTCCTGAGGGTTCGGCGCTCTGTGGCCCCATCGTGACCCCAGGGACGGGGCCCCACCAGGGGCACCAGGGGCACGCACCCTCGCCGGGTTGACGACCCGCGGCGACGCGCAGCGCGCAGCACCGCGAAGAGTCGGCGACGAGTCCGTTCCAGGAATTAAGCATAGATAACGCGGAATGGTGGCGCTTGCCGCGGGAATGTCAACAAGCATTCGTTAGCCACTCGGGGAAGGCCCGCACCCGCACGGAGAGAACCAGGGCAAAATCGGCGCTCGCGGAGCGAGAGAGGCCAGACTCCCCTGGACTGTGGAAATCCAATAAGCCACTCCCAGATCGGGGTGGGCAAAAGAAACCAAAGGCAACAAACAACAACAAAAAACGAAAATGAAGCGGACACGGCGCGTACCTTGTGGGAATGATCGGGCAGGCGGTGATACGAGAGAGGCAGACACAGCCTGGCGGCCTTTTCACGAGCCAAGCCTCCCCCAGGACATCCAGGATCTCCAGGTTTTCCGGGACCTCACGGGTCAGGTGGCAGGGACTTGCAGGCACGAGTCGATTGGCTGCGAAGGAGGCGGCGGTACTGTCCACCAGCAGACGACGCGGTAACGTGTAGATGACGAGCAGACGACCCGGCGACGAGCAGACGACGAGCAGACGACGCACGCTGCTGTGGCTCCTCGCGCTGACACGGCACTGGGAACTGGCACTGCCGGCTGCCGGCGGCCGGTCTGAGTGGAGCGGAGGCCGGGCCCGGCCGGGCCGGACAGCCGGACCGGGAGCAGGGAGCAGCGGCACAGCGGCACAGGCGAGGGTGGCGGGCGGCAGCGGCCAGCAGCGGCCCAGAGGTAGAGGGGAGGCAGGGGGAGCCTACTAGCCAATGCCGCCAATGCCACGCAGACTTGAGGTTGAGGGAGGCTGTGACGTGGCATCGATAAGTAATAGCAAAAAACGGCGCACGGGTTAACGAGATAATACGTTGAGCGGTTAGAAAGCTCCTCGCCGAGATTGGCTGGCAGTCTAAAAATATGCCCTCCGATAAGGAGGCGGGCTGAGACTGGACCATCCTGGACCACCCTGGACCCTGCACGTCGACCAGCAGGCCAAGAAGCGCGGCCTTGGCGGTCATTCTGGGCTATTCTGGACCATTCTAGCCGATCATGGGCCCTTCTGGCTCCCTACCTGAAGGGTAGGAGAAAGCCATACTCTGCCCCTGTAAGTATGGGTGAAAAGTGCTTCTCCCCCCCCCCGAAGAGGTCGCCTCTGGATCCGCCACTGGTAGCGTCCGGACTGCCGGCGCGTGTATCATGGACTAGATCAGAACTCAAGTCAAAGCCTAGCTAATTTTACTCAATCAAATTGAAACCCCGTCTCGACAGGCCGTTTCCTTTTCCTCGCCAATTAGCGAGCGATGCGATACTGGCCCGACACGAGTTCGGTTGTTTTATAACACGGCTGCAGCGCTATCGCCTTTGTTTTTCTTTTTCACGCAATTTTATTGCTCATTCCGCGGCGCGCGGTCCGCGTGCGTGCACCGTGCCGATAAGCCGCCACTCCAATTCAATAAGAATCAATCAATTTATTTGTGGTCTAATTTTGCATCTATAATGAGGGCTTGTTAACAACAAGTTCGATGTATCGCACGGCGCGGCCGGCGATTGATGCGATTGGGGTTCGAGAGCGGGACACGGCCACGTGGCGATTTGCTCGAGGAAGGGTTCTACACAAGGGTGCACCCAAGAAAGTCTGTTGATGCACTGGCCGGCAGTGGTTCTCTGCTCCGACACAAATTCGGGAAGAGTGCTCGCTCTGTGTTTGGGGTGGTGGTAAGGCCTTGGAGTCTGTACCCCGCTACCGCTCCACTTTGAGATTCGTCGCTTCGACAGGCTGTTCCCACTTGTGTCACAGCGAAGTCGAAGAGGGCGCGTGCAACGGGATAACTTGATGAAATTTCAAAAAAATTTGTTGACACATTTTTAAGCAGGGTTTTGAACACGTTCGGGAGGGGTGGCGTCAAAGAATGATAAAATCTGTGTGTCGATGTCCTGCACAAGACTATACTTGTTTCAGCAAACTAGCACAGCTCGCTAGAGCACTGCTCCTTCTCCCCTTTCCCCTCCCCGATGGCGCACTGCCGCCCACTGCCGCACTGAGGCCATTGTTTGTCGGCCCCGTGGCTCCAATGTCTGCCATGCATCGCCACGCATCGCCACATCGCCACGCAGGCTCGGCGTGGACACGTCGTGGCTGCAAGAAAGTCCGCCACTCAGCTTCATCTATTTACGCCAGTACGTACGTCAGTCCCCTGCCAGCCCAGCCCGTCCTGCCCGCCCTGGCGCAACAGTGTAGCAGCAGCCGGCAAAGCTTGTCCCGCCTCGCTCAACGCCAAAAATGATTAAAAATGCGCCTTTTAACCAACCGAAGTTCAACCCCACTGCGACGCCCAGGGGTGGCAACGGCGGCGCGGAGCAGTGGCCCACAAACAGAACTATTGTTTTACAGAAAAAGGGAAAATAACAGCCATGCGAGTTGCCGGCGACGCTTACACGAAAACAGCTCTGAGCGACTTTGGACCTCGTGACAACAAGATACAACTGCTGCAGGCTGATCTGGTCACGCCTGCTTCGCTCCGTCTCGGCCGCGTCGTTGGACCGTAGCAGGGTGTGGCTTGGTGCGGCGGGGCGGGGCGAGGCGGCGGGGCGGGGTGGCAGGGCGCGCAGGTCCGCGCCCCGTGGTCCTGGCGGTCCTTGCGACGGCGCCGCCGAGGACCGGGACGGTGCAGCGCCCGGCCCGCCACCCCGCCGCCAACAAGGGCACAACACGGTTGATAACCTAGAGCCGGGCCGCCACGGTGCATTGCACGGTGTCATTTATCGGAGAGAGTGAAAGAGGAGACCGGCGGCGAGAGGGAGAGAAGGAAAAAAGACGGGACAGTACGCTATTTTCGAGCGCGGCCTAGCATTTGGACCCAGCTGTTTGCAACGAGACTATGTAGCGAGTCAACAACGACCCGTCGCGCACAGATGGCCCGGTTGCGAATCGCCTAGAGCTGCGGAGAGGCAGAGACGGCCGTCGCGGTCCTCAGTGGAATTATTTCGAGAATTTCGGCAGATAAGCCCGCACCACGGTGTCAAGCCAAAGGTCGGCGTTCAGTGACACGGCGACACCAGCCCGACGGGCGCACGGTGTCCACTGCACGGAGTGCACGGGGGAGGCCAGCCGAGCAGCGCGCTGTTGGTCTCGTACTCACCCTCATCGGCATCCTGGTTCCCCCCGGTATGGTGGTGCTGCTGCAGGACGCCTTCTTGCGGCGCGTGCTGGACGTGGAGTACCGGGGGTGACGCCAGCCTCAACCTGCCCTACGGCCAGCCCTGCCTGCCTGCCAGCCCTGCCTGCCAGCCCTGCCTGCCAGCCCTGCCTTCCAGCCCTGCTGCCTTACCGCGCGCCCGGCCTGCCTGCCCCGCACTGGCCGCTGCGTTTGCGCTGGGCCCGCAACAGCCGCACGCTGGACAGCCCGGCGGCCAGCCCGGCCAGCCCGCCGGCGGAGAGAGGGGGCGTCGTTTCCTCGTCTCGTCGCGGAAGGCGCGCGGTGCCGGCCGCAGCGGCCCTCGCGCTGGCCGTGGTCCAGCCAGCCGGCCTGCACTCCGCCCCGCACCCCCACGGCTATAAAAAGCCGGCCGTTCATCATCTGGGCGCGCGGACGCCGCTGCACTGTTGGAGCGGCCGCGTACCGCCCGAATCCAGAGCCTTAGCCGCAGAGGTCCTTACCGCGTGTGCGTCACAGTGCAGCGTGCGGAGCGTGCGGAGTCCGTCCAGCGAGCCGGCCGTCGGCCCAGCCGGGTGGAGCCGGGCGGTCTCGCGGGTGGGCCTGGCCCACTGGGCCACCCGGCGCACTCGATAACGGGCATCGCGTTATCGGTCCTGGGCCAGGCTAGGCCAGTACTGGGACAGGCTCGGGCCCTGAGTAGTGTCTGAGTGCGTGGGAGGGGGAGGGGTGGAAACTAAGCTGAAGGCAGCTGCCCGGCTGAACGTTTATGCCATCACGAGTCTGGCCCAATGAACAGAGATTAGTCCTCTCCTGCAACGGCCTTGTGCGCCTTGTCAGCTCGGGACGACACGGAGACGGGCGCGGACAGCAGTTCCAGCAGCAGGCACTCCGCCAGCGCGCGGTCGGCCCGCTGCAGCAGCACCGCGTTCGCGGCCTTGCCGCTCCGCCCCACGTAGTCCACCAGCGTGGCCGCGCGCGCGAAGCCGTCGCCCAGCACCACCTGCAAGCAAGCGGGGAGCGCGCTCAAGAAGACTCCGCCAAACAATACCTTGTACTCTTATCGTTCCTAATCCAGCCGGACCGCCATGAAAACAATCCAAAATCGGATAACAGTTTCCGAAGCGCTTCCCCCTGGACGGGGCCCTGGCTTGTCTCTGACCTGGACGTTGGTGGTGGTCCTTTCCGTGATCAAGTCGGGCCGCAGCACGAACAGGGCGAGCATGGCGTCCGCCGGGTTGTACCGCTTGCCCGACCGAGTCCGGCGCTCCGCCAGATTCAGGAACTCCATCTGTGGAGTGGCGAGCGCGCCCAGCCGGTCCCTGCGCCACTCCTGGAACACGGTTGCCTCTGAGCTGGCACGGCAAGTCGTTTGGGGTGGGGCGTGGGGCACGACGCGCTACGAGTTAGGGCGGTCGCGGTGAGTCGAGGGACCGCACCTGGGAGAAGTTGGTGGCCGTGACGGTCTCCCAGGGCAGCAAGAACACGGGCTTCGGCACGCTGCGCAGCACGGCCTCGAAGGCCTCGGCGTCCATGTACACGTTGAACTCGGTGGCGGCCTTGGTGTTCCCCACGCCTGCACCAGATGACGCTTAGTGCACTCGGCACACTACGTGACCCCACAAACGCTTCACTCACCCATCGAGGACCCTCCAAGCACGAAAACGTCCCTCAGGTTGTCCAGGAACTCCGGGTCGAGGCGCGATGCCAGCGCCACGTTGGTCATCGGCCCGAGGCACACGAGGCTGATGCGACCTGCAAACCAGGGCCAGGACCCGGAGTGCTGGTGCGAATCCCAGACGCGCAGCGCGCAGCCATGCAGCCAGCGCGGCACTCACCAGGGTACCGACGGGCCAGGCGCACCAAGGCGACGGCGGCGTGCTCCACCTGCACCGAACTGTAGCTATCGTTGGCGGGGAGGAAGTCGCCGAGGCCGTCCTCTCCGAAGTGGTGGTCCGTGGGCGGCGTGACCAGCAGGGACTGCGCGGCGCCCCCGAACACGGGCACATCCGCGCGCCCCGCCGTGCGCAGCGTGGCCAGCACGTTGCGTGTCACGTTCCTCAAGCCCGTGTTGCCCTGCGCGCACGTCACCGCCAACACTCGGACGCGCCTGCACATCGGAGCGCAGTGCGTCACGGCCTTGCAGGTCAGCGCGCCAACGAGCCAGCGTGCTGCACCGCGCTTACGTGCCCTCCACGCCGCCGGGCTGCTCCGCCTCGGCGCCGAGCAGCACCAGGAGGGCCATCGCGTCGTCGGCGCCGGCGTCGGTGTCCACAACCAGCAGCCTGCAAGTGGACTCTATAGGACTCTAGTGGCGGCCAGGCGGCGCGATAGCAGTGGCTCCAAGAAGAAGAAGGGGAGGGGCAGGGAACTCACCTCTCCGTCATATCGGCTCCGGCCCCGAGAGCAGCGCCCGCGATGGCACCTGAAACCGACAGAGCGGTTCGAATTTAAACCGGGACGAGCCCTTCCGACTCCAAGACGTCAAGTGTCCCTGGCCTAGAGCACTCACAGCAAGCAGACCCGCGGCAGCCTGTCGCCGGCACCGTAAGGAACACGGCCTGGAAAACCATTTCCCAATACTTAGGCGGCTCCAAGAAGTGGACGTTGTCGCGTGGGTATAAATCGTTTGTACGACCTTCTTTTGTCTAACCCGGCCAAATTTCACCTGCCTGGTAATCGTTGCCTCGTTCGGGCGATCGAATCCCAGGACTTACACATTTTTATTGGTTTTACCATTGCGGTTCGAACCTATGGCTTCAAAGGACTTCGTTCCACGAACAAATCTACATGAGTTGTGGTGGCAGAGAGCAAAGAGACGTCGGGTACCAACGACAGAGTTCGGGGTTCGATACCCGCTCGGTCCCAAATGTTTTTACCAGGCAAGGAAAGGCGTACACTTTTGTACTGGCTTCACCACTGTGATCGAACCTCGGGTCGAACCGGCTTCAAGCACTTCGTTCCACAAACGGGTCGACATGAGCGGTGGTGGCCGAGAGCAGAGAGGCGTCGGGTCCCGACATCAGAGTTCGGGGTTCGATACCCGTCAGGTCGCAAATGTTTTTACCAAGCGAGCATAGCACGAAGGCGGTTCAAGTATACAAAATCGGCCGCCTACCGGCGTGCCTCTCATAGCCCAGTGGTTCCGCTGCTGGGCAGGGTGACGCAGACTCCTGAGTACCAGTAGCATGGCCCCTGAGTGGGAAGGGGGCCGGGGATCGAAACCCGACTACTGGGAAAGGTGGCAGCCTGGCCTACTATGAGAGGACTCCTCCACATCACAGATGACGTGACCAATGACGGGGCCACTGCGGTTTAACTCTGAGGTTGCTCCTGTGATGAGATGGGGGAACTGTCTGGTGAGCACCACTCCCGCAGGGAAGAGGGCCGGTTCGCCGGGGTGCCCTCTTTCGCTGAAATTTTCTATATCTTGTTGATTTTATTTATGGTACTCTATCGTTGCATTAAAATGTGTTTGGTTTTTCTTAAAAGGAGAAACATTATCAAACCAAATAAACAGGATTAAGAATTTTGTTTTGAGAAAACTGTATTGCAGCCATGTCGTGATGGACAGAGAGTACGCCGCGGGTGTTTGGACCAATGGAGCGCCGCCGAGTCGCTCTCCAGGCTGTCCGCCTGACCCCGTGGCGGTGTAAGTGGACCGGACAGAACGGAAGTCGTACAAAAAGGCAGGTAGGACAAAACTAAGGCCGGACAAAATCTTCTGCCGATTCACGGGCAGGCGATGTTTCGGCTCTCTCGCACTGAAGAAAGTCGGACGAACTACGAGCACCGGTCACCCCTCCGGCCACACATACCAGCACTGTTGCGAGCGAGGCCGCAAGCACCGGGGAGGCTGCGCGTCGCAGCGAGGCGGTCCTGGTCCCCGTCCTGGTCCCCGTCATGGTTCACTGCGAAATGACTGTTCCTGGCGCGCAACACACCCGAACGCCGCGGTGGCGCCAAGGCCGTCGGGTTATGGCTGATAGCGCCACCTTGGAGGCGGCTTACACGTCAACGCGGACTGCAAGCCACCAGGGAATGTTTGTCACGACACGCCCACCTTGCGGCGTTTTTCGTGACCTGGCAACGCCTGGCACATGAAAAAACCAACCACAGCTCAGTGACAAAATGATAATAATTATAAGGTTGTTTATCCCTCTTTTCCTGCGGTACCTTCACCCGCGCAAGCGCAGCCGAGTCACTCTGCCTGGCCTGGCCGCGGAAGGGTTGTCTCACATTGATTGGTCTTCTCACCCCATCCACTGCCGGCAAGGCGGGGGCGGGGCTCTGAGAAATGCTGCCGGCGAGCATGTGGCCAACACCGCGGATGCGAGTGCGGTACGTCGAGTTGCGTCCCCGAGGCGCCTGGCAGGTAGGTCGGGGACGACCAGATAAGATATTTTTCAAGGAAACGGTAAGATTTTCTGAATAGGGACCAGCGAATTGGGAGGCTAGAATGCCACCAGTAGTACCAGGAAAGTCGATTCGGGCTACACTATCTACGAGTTGTCCATTCAGAATCAAATCAGGATAGTGATAAAAATGGTCAACGAGGTAAAACGTTCACGAGCCTTGTATTTCAGTTCAAAAGAGAGATCGTCGCGGAGGTCGAGCGACTTCAGGCCGAGCCGGCCGCGTGTTCGCGCTCCGCGAGCGTCCCGTCCTGGTCTTGTTCGTGCTGGCCGTGCTCCACGAGCTGCTGGCGCGAGGCGGTCGACGAGAGGGCCCTCTCGCGAAGCTCGTCCTGGACCCGCACGAGCGTGCGGCCGCGCGTCTCGGGGACCACCAGGATGGTGAAGACGGCGATGAACAGGTTGGTGAGCGCGAAGACGCCGAACGGGATGAAGTACTCGCCGATCTTGCCCAGCGCGCCGAAGGCTTGCTGCGTGCCGAAGGACGTGGCGGACAGCAGCACGGCCGACAGCGGGGCCACGATCATCTGCAAGGAGAAGCATCAGGGGCATCATTCTTCCCGAACTCAAGGCGCGGGACCACAGACATGAGGGCGCTCCTCAGGATGCATGACGGGTGCACTCACCTTGGCGCGCTGGCTGAGCAGCTCGCCCTGCAGCACGTGCGACACGGGGATGACGCCGCCGCCAGTGGCGGCCATGAAGGCCATGAGCGCGACCAGCGGCACCCACTTGGCGGGCCCCAAATCCACGGTGAGGTGCTCCTTGACGAAGAAGTAGCCGCTCATGGCCACCATGGCGATGAAGTTGATAATGGCGGTAGCGCTGAGCTGTACGCGCCGTCCCAGCCGCTCCACCAGGTACATGGACACGACTATCATGACCACCTGCAGCACAACGCCGCGCCACGCGCCACTTTTCAGCAATGCACACAGGGCCGCAGGCGCGGGTACAGGTATCGTCCCTCACCTTGACGCCGATGACGAGCATGGAGGCGACCTTGGGGATGGGGGCGCCGGCCTCCTCGAAGATGCTCTGCGTGAAGGACAGCACCGTGGTGACGCCGAACAGCGCCGGCGAGCCGCTCAGCACCATCACGATCAGCGCGGCCCGCTTCACGCCTGCGAGAGGGGCAGAACAGCAAAGCCATTGATACAATACAAGCGCCTGCAAAGTGAGGATAGGCAAGCCCGCGACGCGCAGGTGCGGCGTGCTCGCGCGGTTGCCTACCGCCGACCTCACAGGCGCCATGCCCCGCCAACACCGCCAACCAGTCAGCCGTCTCGTCTCCTCCCGTCCCCGGCCTTACCGGGCGGCGACAGCGTGTCCCTCCAGGACTGCGCCTCCTCCATCTGGCGCTGCACCGACCTCCGTATCTTCGCCATCTCCTCGCGCACCGCCGCGGGTTCGTGGCCGCGACGCAGCTTGAACAGCACCTGCGGGGCGGATTCGAGAGCCGTCATTGGCAGGTAATCAAGCACGACGGCAGACCTTCCCCCTCCGACGTACGCACCGCTTCGGCGTCCTCGTGGCGGCCCTCCATGGCCAGGAAGAAGGGCGACTCGCGCGTGCAGAACAGATGCAGCAGCAGCGACGCGGCGATCAGCGGCAGCGGGGACAGGGCCTGCGGGGGCACGGTGGGGCGGCCGTCAAGCACGAGCTCGCGGGGCGCGTCGCGAAACGACGTGCCGCGGGGCACGTCGCGAAATCCTGCTCGCTGCGGGCGTGGCTGTGATCACGAGATAAGGACCTCGGCCGCACAATGAGGAGGGAACGGCTCGATTTGACATCGATTTGGGGTTTCCTCCTCAGTAAGCGGAAATGAAAAGAACAAAAGCGCGGGGGCCTCGATGCACAAATCTACGAGGAAAGCGGAATATACAGTGTACCAGAAATATGGGCTGAGTACCCATAGATTTGTACATAGAGGGTTCCGTTTTTGTGCCTTTCACTCCACCGCTTCAGAGGAGCTAGCACTATTTTTCGCAACCGTGCACCTCCTGCCAGTACGTGAGTTGCGGTCCGATGACGAAGGCCAGCAGCTGACCGGACGGTGCGAGCAGCGTCATGACGAGGATGAGGACGCTGCGCATCACGGGCGTGGCCATCTCCCCCAGGTAGATGGACGAGAAGGTGAAGTTGACTCCCATGCCGGTGCCGGCCAGCAGCCGCGCCGCGTACAGGTGGCCCGCCGAGGAGGCGAAGTACGTCAGCAGCACCCACACCAGGAAGGCGAGCGGCGCCACGGACAGCGTGTAGGGCCGGCCCAGGCGCGTGAACACGGCCCAGCTCACCTGAGGTAGCGCCAACACTCTCTTAGAAAATGCAAGTCATTTTGGTGGAGCAATCACGGAATATCTAGGGCAATGGAGATGCTTTCTAGAACTGTCACCAACCACACTGTAAGTGTTTAATCCTTCGTTGAGCGACTCACCACGGAGCCGGGCAGCAGACCCAGCTCGAAGAGCGACACGATCCAGGTGCGCTCCTCGGCGGTGGGGACGAACGGGCCCTCGCCGTGCATGAGCTTGCTGACGCCCGGGGACGACCAGCCCTGCGCCATGCCCTGCGCCAGCGTCTGGCACATGAGGGCGGCCGCGGACAGGCACTGGCACCCCACGGACGGCCACGGCACTCCGGCCGCCCCGGCCGCGGCCCTGGGAGACGGACGAGGGGCCTCCGCCCCCTCCGACGAGGCCGGCGTCTCCTCGGCGCGCCCTTTGTCAGTCACCGCCATGGCCGCGGCGGTCTCGGCGTCCTTGTGCGTCAGCATGGCGCGGCGCTGCGGGGCGGGGCGCTGCGGGATGGCGGTCGACGGCGTGCCTTCACCTGAAGCCGGCGGACGACAGGGATGCCCCAGCGGTCCCCTGGCCACGCCGGCCACGCGCCGTTCCGGTCAGCAGGCACCGCCACGCCGCGCCACCACCTCGAATCGAGATAAACACTTGACTTAAAACTGGCGATAAAGGCGGAGACAAAAAAGAAGCTCAGGAAAGTGGAGAACATGAAAGCAGATAATACTGTTACTTTTCAGAAAAAGCTATTCATTTTCGGAGAAAATCACAGCGCAGTGAGAGGAGAATCTCCCGTGACTGGGCGTGACGCAGCCTGCTCGCGGCGTAGGGGCAGTCCGGGGAGGGGTGGGGTACGGGGGGAGGGGGCGCGGGCGCAGCAAGCGGAATCGAGCCCCCTCACAGATATTCTTCTGACTCACTGCTTGGCGCCTCACAGCCTGAGGGTACTGGCATGCTGACACATTATGTATGCTACTATTTCTGTTTTGTCTGTATGTATAACGTATGATCTGGTCTTTCTGTATAATGCAACATCTGCTATAAAGTCGGATCAGAGCCAGACAAACAAGGAGCGACCACAAAACGTTGGACAAGCTTGGAATGGAAATGCTTACTCTCTTTCTACTATGTGGCAAATAAATCATCTTTCAATATTTTGCTCTCTGGAGCCTTAGTGATATACATAAATCAATGTAATTTTAAAACCATCTGGTTTGCAATACATGAATTGTCAGTAATCATTTGGATTAAAAATAAAAGGTCCAAGTGACAGAAAAACGTGCCTATTAAAGAGAGAAGAAGAATATAGAAGATAATGGGTAAGATAAAGTGGAGGTCAAAGTAAGAGGAAAAATTATTTTAAGATCGTGTAAAGTTTGTTGCAATTGCAATGACCAAAAGCACAAACACTAAATTGAAGTTACATACTCTCAAAATTGCAGCGAGCTGCTGTTGGGTCTAATATATTGGTTCAGAACAAAATAAATAGTGGTTAAATAGTATTTCTTTGTTTCAGTGACACTACTCTTACGGCCTTCAAAAGAAACCTATGTGTTATTGTTTTGCTTTAAGTTTATTTTGAACGTTTTGGACTGAACATAAGACAGCGAAGAAAGTAGTATGTACACTATCTCACTAAAACTTTCACTGGGAGTTTATTAGTGAAGTTATGTTGCAGAATCAAAGGGCTGACAAACAAAGTTTTGAAAATATCAAAATCTTTCAACAAGTTTTTAGAACAGCAAACGTTTTACCAACACAATTACTAGACTTTTCAACAAGCAATAGTATCCAGCACTACCACACCATAGGAAATTTTCCTTCCAAACTGTTGAACTATTGGCCCATTGACAATCAAAGAAAGTAGAGAGTCAAAACTTGATTGAAGAGACATAACCTCAAAAAAGCATTCCCCACCAACCTGTTGAGCAGTAGCAACAGCAATCAGCTGAGCGGCGGCCGCGGCGGCCGACTGCGTCCGAGACGGCTTGACCTTGACGAGGCACGCATAGAGCTGCATTCGTCACTTTAGAGCCACGCCGAGCTTAATGTGGACAGCTTCGGATTTGTTGAACGCGATAAATTCCTAGTGGGCAGCTTAAGGGAGTGTTCAGCAAAACTAATACAGTTTGAAAAACTTTCTATTTTCAGAAAGAAACAAATTAAGTAGTGAACCGCGAGCCTATGAGAGTTAACTATAGAAGCGAGACTACATGTTTTTTCTTCGCTTTGAGCCTCTGCGGAGCTGGCGGCTGGCCGCGGTGTGGTCTAGCCCTTAATGGTAATGGCAATGTGGCAGCAGGCAGCCACACTGGCGCGCGCGCACGTTGGGTTGCCTATCGCCTGGCGGACGGTGCGCTCGCCGGCCAGCAGGGACCGTCGCTGTCGGCCTGGCGGCCTGGCGGCACGAGCGGGAGGCACGTCACGTCGGCACACCGAGGAAGGCTATTTCCACCACGACGTCGCCGCGTCCCCAAGCCGCGTCGTCGCGACGGCGTGTCACCCCGTGCCCGCGAGCGCACGTGTGCAGCAGGGGCCACGTCGGGCTGCACGGGGGAGTGGTTGCGTCTGGTGAGTCGAGTCCAGCCCAGACCGAAGCGAGGAGCGACCCCGCACCCTGGGCACCCTAGGCAGCCGGCCAAACTGGACGCCCCGATAAAATGGAAAGGGATGTCATACTGAAATAGACACGCAGGAAGGACCCCACCGAATCGAAAGAGAGTCCGCGGCGCCGACGCCGCCCCGCGGCCTGCGGCAGGGCCCCTGCCCACGAAAACACGCCCCAGACTGAAACGAGAGTCGCCCGAGTACTCCGCACCGCGTCCCTGTTTAGGCCCCAAAGATTGAGCGCCACACCAAGAACGTCAAAAAATCGACCGAATTGAGCAGCAGGTTTGTGAGGCAGTGAGCGGACAGGCTTCGATCGTCCAACCCCACGACCGGCGTTCGACCACAACTCCAAGCTTTTCTTTACGACATGTCCTTGGCGGCAAACGCTGATTTCACTCCGTGACCGAGAGTGTACGTAGAGGTATCGACACCGTGCACACAAGTTGAGCGTTTCATCCTCTATAGATCTTAACATTTTTCGATTGGCTCATTTACCCCGCTCGAATTGCCTCTCGGGGTTTTCCTCAGCGCCCTATACGGATCCGCTATTTCCACACCGGCCGCTTTCCAACTAATTTTCATAACTCACGGCCGCCGGGTCCTCTCTCTCAGCCCCACAGTCGTGTCGGGCACTTGTTGAACACGGTCGAAATGTTGGACGCCTCGGGCCGCCGTGGTGCTGAGGTGGACAGGCCCTATCAGGCCATCGACACACCCGTTAGGCCCCCCTGCCTGTCCCCGCGCGCGCAGGCTCGGCTCGGAGAGGGGCACGCCAGGGCACGCCAAGGGGGTGTGGGTGGAGGCAGGCGCCGCACCGCACCGCACGCCCACGCCCCGGCCAATTATTCATCGCCTCGTTTTATTTTTTGTCATTTCCCTCCCGTCCTTTCGCCCCTCCCCTCCGCGGCCGTGTTGGCCCTGCGTGCAGCCTGCAGCCCTTCCCCTCGGGCCGAGAGGGCGCGGCGGCGCGGGGCGCTCCTCCATCTCGGCCACGCTGCGAAGTAAACACGTGGCCGGGGCCGGGGCCGGGGGAGGGTTCAGCGGACTTTCGTCGCGCAGCCTAACGTGTCGTCCTGGTCGCAGACGCCCTCCGCGCTGGCCACGAAAACATAACCCTTCCACCGAATGTATTCTATGGCAGTTGCCATTAAATCGACTGAAACGGCTGTGGCATGTTTGTGGATGCAGTCTCGAGTCTCGCGGCGGGCGGGCAGCTCGGTGTGCATCGTGGCGACGTGTTTTTCACGGCGTGCGACTTCCACCCAGCAACGGCCACACCCACCCACACTGCGGTCTGCGCGGGAGGCCACTTTGGGGGCCCGGGAAAGGAGGAGGCAGGCACGCGGACGCAAAACAAATCCTCCGGGCGGGCAACCGAAGGGAAGGGAGGAACTCTAGTCCTTAGTAGACCGCCCGCTACCATCCCTACGCTAGACGCTAGGAAGTTTTAAGCCCCACAGTTTGACTACACCTCCCCCCGCCTCTTATTTTGAGACCCTCAGCATGACAGGTAGCTCGGTGACAGCCAGTTTAGGTGATTAGCAAAACATGCCATCAAAACAAATTCCTCGACGATCTGAGGGAAAGGGGGAAAAGGGGAAGGGACTCTGCGACAGGGTCCCGCCGCCCCGCCCCGCCCACGCTGCCGTCGGGCCGTCGGGCCCGGCCGCCGCGTCGGGCGAATGGGAACGGGAAGCACCCCGGCATCGCGCTGCGGGCCAAGACGGCCGAGACGGCCAAGGCGCGGTACTGCTGGGCCTTCTAGGCGGCCTGCCTCGCACCAAGCGACACGACGCAACGGCGACGAGAGGAGGTGTCTCGGACGGTCTCGGTGCCGCGCCGCGCAAAGCCGGAATGGCGGAACGGCGCGGCCTCCAGGCGCCTCCAGGACGGCGCGCTGCTGGCCGCGGATTGGCCGGCCGCCGTTTCCCTCATCGGCGGCCGTCGCGGGCCGTGCCAATCGCGTCGCGGTGCGGTGGCGGCTGGTGGCGGCTGGTGGCGGAGCGGACCGCGGCCGTGGCGGTATTGTCTTTGCGGCCGTGGGAGGGGCGGCGCCTACGCGAGCAGCAAAAAAGGGGGGATACCATGTACAAAAGAAAGGGGGGAAAATCATTTCACGGAATCATGGCAGTGACGAAGTTGATTTCATGACTGAACATGTTGCGCCCAAATGGCACAAACGCTCATGATCAAATAAAGTTCTCGCTAAGCTTCTTGATCCGCTGACGCAGTCAAGTGACTGGATTGATAGGTGGCCAAGGTGGGTCGTCTCTTGAGCCTCAAGACAAAATTTGCGAGGCTGGTGCCCCTACACTTGCTGTGGTTAAGGTCTAAAGAGTACTAGGACGTCGAGGGAGGCCTTTTACCACAGCTACATTGGACGCAGTGTCCGCCTACAGTCATAAACAAGTCAAAAAGCCATTAAAAAGTCATACAAAAAGTCAAAACAGCAAAACATCACCGGCTTTTTTAAGGTTGCTTGCACGCAACGAAAAATTTAAAAAATTCTTAAAAATCGTAGCCACTCATTCCACTGAAACCAATCCTAGCCATTGTCGGGCTGCCCGCGGAGTGCTGCCCACGAAGTGCTGCCCCCTCGGGTGCCGGGCCGTCCCGCAGGACGTCGCCAATGCCCTCCATCAAAATGTTTTGCTGCGGAGCAGCGTGTAATGCGTTTGCATTAGAACTTGTTTTCTTAATATCCGCAGCTGCACCTGGGCTGTAACATTTTGATGGGATGTGACGGAGAGGCCCTCGAGCGCTGCGGCTGCGACTCGAAGGGGCCTCAAAGGGTGACAGTGTGACTCGCGATCCGAAGCGACAGCGCGATGCACGCACGCCCACACGCCCACCCGCACGCACGCACGCACGCTAACACACACACACACGCACACACACACACACTCACACATGCGTTCGCGCTCGCTCACACACAGAGAGCCTGTCTAAAATTTGGCGTGAAAGGGATGCGAACGAAGGAGAGAAATTCTCTGTGATGTGTCTTCCTCTGCGCCGCGCCGCG